TTTTTTTTTTTTTACAAGCATTTCAATATCAAATTTTGAATTGAAAATTTTAAATATTACGGCTTTTCAAAACATGTGTAACCAAACTTCGTTCGGAATCGTTTTCGTTGGTAATAGTTTATCGTTACCTCCAGATATGTAAAATAAATAACATTATGTATCCTACCTTTCCAACTTATCACTGATAACAGTGGCAGTGTTAGTTTTCTTTTTAATTTCTAACGCACTCCAGAATGATAGACCGCGAGTCATTCGTAGATAGTTCTTGGGCTTTCTTGAGCTACGAATGACGAATGACGAATAATGTGTCTGTTTGTACCTACCACGAATTAGGATTAACAGGATACCGAACTGAATGGTCTTATCAATGTTTTTATCATTCCGTTCGGTTCTCTCTGTTTGACACTAGTTTGACAGCAAGTGCTTTAAGGCAATATTGATATGAAAATCAACTAAAACCAGTTAAAAGTTTAGACTGTAGGAGTAGAGTATCTAATAAATTGCATAATACATACTATTCTATAATAAATAATATTGGCATAATTTGTAAAGAGTACACTAAATAGTGATAGTGGCCTTGTCAAAAGTGAGAAGGTTCGAGCCTCTCTTATCACACGTTCGTTCGATATCCTGTATAGTACTCTACTGACGAATTTTAATGAAAAGAGAATCACGAACTATGAACTATGAATACGCGTACATTTACGTCTATTTTTTATCAATTATAATTTTTTAAATGACTCATCCCGCATTCATTGTTCTTCGCAATGACAATTTAAAAAAATATATAGCGATGATGCAATCATAGAATTGAATATGAACAGTAAATAATTATAGAGAAAATACGGATATGATGCGATAGGTTGGGTAATTATATCAGTATTTTTCATTTGAATTTGGAATTCATTTAAATTTATTTTTTATAGAGAATCTTTTCAGGAATATTACAAAAGAGGTATTCTTTTATAGAAAAACATTTCTCATCAATTTTATTTAACTGAAAACAAAATTTAAATTTAAATAACTAACTATATAATATCATTATAAAACATTGAATAAATAATAATAAAATATTTTAAACATCAGTATGAACAATATAATGTTTTAAATTGCTTGGTAAACGTAATTTCTTCTTATTCAAGTAATACTCATAAGGCTAGTGTTCCAGTATAAATTAATTTACGTTTGTTAAAAATGCATTTTCAATAATTTTTTATGTCTCTTTTTGTGAACATTTAGATCGGAAATTTGAGCAAATGTTTTATGGCAAAAGTTACAATAATAAGGCTTTTGATGATGAGTTTTTTTATGTCTCTTTAAATTTTTTTTTAGTGCAAATGACTTTACACAAATGTCACATTGGTGTGGATATTCTCCACTGTGAGTTATCAAATGCTCCTTTAAATTTCCTTTTCGAGAAAATGTCATTTCACAAAAATCGCATTCATAGGGTCTTTCTTTCGAATGAGTTATTTTATGTTTTACCAAGACAGCTTTTTTTGAAAATGTCTTTTTACATATTTTACATCGATTGTGAGTTATTTCATGATCCTTTAAAGAGCTTTTTACTGAAAATGTCATTTTACACACTTTACATTCATACGGTTTTTCATGAGTTTTTAAATGATTTATTAAACTAATTTTTTGGGAGTATATCTTTTTACAAATATCACATTCAAAAGGTTTTACTCCCGTGTGAATTCTAGTATGTCTCATTAAATTTCCTTTTTGTGAAAATGACATTTCACATAAATGACATTGATGTGGCCTTTCCCCATTGTGAAGTTTTTCATGAGCTGTTAAATTGCCTTTTAACAAAAATGTCTTTTGACAAATGTGACATTGATGTGGTCTTTCAGCAGTGTGAATTCGTTCATGAAACTTTAAATTCGATTTTCGCAAAAATGTCTTCTTGCATACATTGCATTGGTGCGGAAAATTACGATTATGAACTTTCATGTGATTTTGTAAAAAGGAAAAGGTCGAATATGATTCACCACATATTTTACATGGGTGTGGTGTTATTACATTGTGAGTTATCATGTGACTTCTCAAACTCGATTTTGAACTATACGAGTTACCACAATGAGCACACTGAAATTGTGATTCATTACATAAAATAGATTTCACATTATCCTTTTCAATAGAAATTGTACTCTTATTAACAAAACCGTCAATGGAGACTACTTTTTTTACTGGGGTATTAATCCTTTCTTCTTCTTCTTCAGATACGGATATTGATCTGAAAAATATAATAATCGTACAAATTACTGCTATTCCAATACACATATACAAAGTCTTTACAAAACCATCTAATAAATTAGGTACTAAATATAATTTAGTATCTACCATTATCATAAATACCATGTCTGTGGAAGGGGCCATATTAACTCTAATGATTGTAACACTATGTTTACTTTTAAAACTTCTTTAACTTCTTAAACTTTAAAACTTTTAAAACTAATAATTTCATGTCAAGTACTATTCAAGCCTATTATTAAATTCTAACAGATATTCTCCCATAAAACATATAGTATCTTTAATCATCATATACAACAATACTAAAACAAATGTAATACAATTGTAATAATAAACTTTATCATATATTAATATGCATAACATAAATACTACAAAATATAAGCATAATGTGCTCAGACCTAATAAAACACTTTTTGTTCACTTCTCTACTTATAATCATGTTATAATCCAACCTAATTAGATAACTATGGACAAAACAGCCTATTCACTAGTTATTCCTAACCACCGTAAGTGTTAAAAAAATTAAAAATTTGATTAGGTTATAGCATTATAGGTACATTTTTCTAATGTTTCCGAGAAGTTTAATAAGGTTTAGAACGCCCGATATTTACTACATTTGCTATCCACCATTTGTAAAATGGATTTAATCTGAAGATTCTTTATTAACAAATATCAAAAATAATAATGCCAAAAACACTAAATTAGGCAATACTCACTCTGTGTTTAATGATATATTTTCAAGATCATTGTTATAACACGTGTTGTCTTCATCAATTTCATCATCAATTGGTCTATAAATATAAAAATAAAACAATTCAATTTTTGGAAAATTTTACAAATTAATTATATAAATGGTTTTTTAAAAATAAGTATCAAAACAAATTATTTTTTTAAAATTCAGTATTAACCATAAAGTAACACAGGGTAGAAATTGCACACAATTTGAGGTACAGTATAAATGTATTTGCAAAGGAAACCAAAAAATAATAAAATAAACTGGATATTCAAAATAAGTAATAAAAATGTCAGAAAATAATTCAAAGAATGTATCATGTTGTATAAAACTCCTCATATTTTAATGAATGTTACTATGATACAACAACATAATTTTAAATTCTTAAATACGTTTTCAAAGAAAAAAAATTAAGTCTTAATAAAACATAGCTTTCTTGCTCTCCTCAGCCTCTAAAAAATGTGCATCACACAATTTTTTTTGATTGAAAAAGAAATTAACAATCTTTTCACATGAATCAAAATATTTGTTTATATGTTTGAATTCAATTTGATCATGATTACTCAATAATGATTCAAAAATAGTCTTCAAACTCTTTTGTTAATGTACTTTAGGTTATCTCATACTCCAAAAAATAATAAAATCAATATTATCCCGGACATTCATGATTAAATGTTTGTTAATATTATAAGATTATAACAGAAATACTTGAAAAACCACAGCTAGTAAAACAATTAATTACGGAATACTCACTCTGTGTTTACTGATATATTTTCAATATCAATGTTATAACATGTGTTGTCTTCAATAATTTCTTCTTCAATCGGTCTATAATAAAAAAAAAAAAAAAAAAAAAAAAAAAATGGTTTTTTAGAAAATATTACAAATCAATTATATGAATGGTTTTTTAAATAAGTTTCAAAACAAATAATTTTTTAAAAATTCAATATTAAAAACAAGGTAACAAAGGTCAGAAATTTCACATTATTGTATGTACAGTATCAATTTAATTGTATAGGAAACCCGAAAATGAAATTTCAAAATAATAAAAAATCGGATATTCAAAATATGTAATAAAAATATGCGAAAATATTTCAAAGAATGTATCATGATGTAAAAACTCTATATGTTTTAATGTATGTTACTATGATACAACAACATAATTTTAAATTCTTAAATACATTTTCTAAGAAAAAAAATGAAGTCTTAATAAAACTTATAGCTTTCTTGCTCCCCTCAGCCTCTAAAAAATGTGCATCATACAATTTGATTTTATTCAAAAAGAAATTAACAATCAATTCACACGAATCAAGTTATTTTTTTTATGCTTTTATTATATTTGACAATGGTTACTTAATTATGATTCAAATATACCTTTCAAACATTTTTTTTTTATGTATTTTACGTGTCTGCTATAAATTTAAAAAAAAAAATATTTCTCAGTGTACATGGTTAGGTCAATAAAATAGGTGGACATTTCATAAAATCAATATTTTCCTGGGCATTCGAGATTAGATGTATGTACAATTATAAGATTTAAAAGGAAATACTTAAAAAAAACAGACAGTATCAGTTAACAAGACAGTATAAATCTAAATTACACAATACTCACTCTGCATTTACTGATATATTTTCAATATCAATGTTATAACGTGTGTTATCTTCAACAATTTCTTCTTCAATAATTGGTCTATAAATATAAAAATAAAACAGTTCGTTTTTTAGAAAATGTTATAAATTAATTATATAAATGGGTTTGTAAAATAAGTTTAAAACAAATAATTTTTTTAAAATGCAATATTAACAATAAGGCTAGGTTACACAGGTAAGGATACGCAGGGCAGAAATTACACATAATTTGAGTCATAGTATGAATTTAATAACATAGAAAACCCGAAATAGAAATTTAAAAAGAGTAAAAAGTCGTATATTTAAAATAAGTAATGACAATTTTAGAAAATAATTCAAAGAATGGGTTACATGGAAGAAACCTCTACGCGGTGTACTTCAGGCAACAGCAGAATCGTTCTCTCTAGATTACTACCCCGGTGCCAAACTCTTCGGCATAGGCAACGTCAACATAAACAAGATAAAATCACACAGAAGAACAAGCAAGATCAACAGGAACCCGGGGCCAACCTTTACAACGATTTTAATCAATATCAAAGGAATATCACCCAATAAGCAAGATATTCTGACGTAATTGTAGAAGGAAACGCCACAATAGAGATAACATCCTCGGAAATGATAAAAGTATGATATTGAAGTTATAACAGCCGATTTAGGAAAATGCACAGTCACATCTATGTGCAAACCAGTGGTGCGTAACCTTTTTTTATCCACGGCCACCAATTAATATATTTCGACCTCCCCTTCCTACTAATATTACATTAGTGTACAATACGTATATATTTAATTAATGTATATAATAATTATAGTCTTATAAATTAAACCGTCAATTTTAGGCAATTTTAATATTTGTTGAATTTAATTTATCCAAATTTTTGATTCTAAAACAAGAAAAAATTACCGAAATTGTTATAATTATAATCAACATTTTAATGATTTAAAATTATAAAATTACATGGTTTAATGAGACCAATTTGCTTGTGACCTATTAACTATAGATATGATTGAATTTAAATTGGGGTTGATATTTGAGACTGCCACTCTTAAATCTACTTCGGCATTCAATCTGGGGCGATATTTGTTTTTTATTATCGCTAGTAAATCTGATTAAATTTAAAAATAACACATATACTGCGTGATTAAATAGAATTTGTTATCGCAAAATTAAGATAATAATATGACCATATTACGATTAATATGACCACAAACGGTACAAGAAATATTACGTTATATAAAATAATATGTATATATATTTTTCATTTGGTGTAAAAATATTGACGACCAACTTAGGTGTCACGACCACCAGGTTGTGCATTCAAAGAACGTATCATGAGGTAAAAACTCCATACGTTCTAATATATGTTACTATGATACAACAAGATAATTTTAAATACTTAATTATTTTTTCCATGAAAAAAAATTACATCTTAAAAAACTTATAGCTTTCTTGCTTCACTCAGATTCCAAAAAATGTGCATCATACAATTTGTTTTCAATGTTATTACATTTATTTAAAAAGAAATTATGAATCAATTCACACGAATCAAGTTGTTTTTATATGTATAAATTCAATTTGATAATGATTCAATAAAGATTCAAATAAACCTTTCAAACTTATTTGTTAATGTACTTTGTGTGTGCTATAAAATACAAAAAAAAATTTTGAATTTACGTAGGTAGGTCACAAATCAGGGTATTTGTATGTGTTTAAATTCTATTTGATAATGATTACTCAATTATGAATCGAATGTAACCTTTAAATGTTTTTGTTAATGTACTTCAGGTGAATGCTATAAAATAAATAAAATTCTTGAGTGTACATGGTTAGGTCAATAAAATAGGTGGACATTTCATAAAATCAATATTTTCCTGGGCATTCGAGATTAGATATATGTACAATTATAAGATTTAAAAGGAAATACTTAAAAAAAACAGACAGTATCAGTTAACAAGACAGTATAAATTTAAATTACACAATACTTACTCTGTATTTACTGATATTGGTATATTTTCAATATCAATGTTATAACGTGTGTTATCTTCAATAATTTCTTCATCAATAATTTCTTCATCAGTAATATCTTCATCAATAATTTCTTCATCAGTAATTTCTTCATCAATAATATCTTCATCAATAATTAGTCTATAAATATATATATATATATATATAAATACAATTCATTTTAAGAAAATTTAGTCAAATTTTTCGACACTCTGTTTATATTTTTGTTTTAAATAAAATAAAACAATATATTAAAAAATGCACATGTCATTTAATGGCATTTTTGGCTGTTTTAATGCATTTTTCAATAACTATTTTTAGTGCATTTAAATCCGTGCCCTAGTTATTATATTTTATATTTATGTTTACTTTGAATGATTTGAAGAATTTTCAAAGCTATCTTCAACTTCTATATTTGTCCGAGGTACAATACATGACTCGCGCCACGCCCACGTTTCCCATGGGTTATGGCCTTCTACTGGAGCAGCATATAGGATGGTGTCCATACTTTGCCAAGCATACGGATTGTACCTGTATGATTAACGATTAATATGATAAATGATAAATGAAAATATCAGAAAATAGTTCAAAAAATATATTGTGATGTAAAAACTCCACGCGTTCTAATGTATGTTACTATAATACAACAAGATAGTTTTAAAAAGAGTGCTATGTTAGAGAGAGTATGGCTATATGGAGTGATAAGAGATTAGGTCAAGGGCGTCCATTGGGGGGGGGGCAAAGGGGAGACATGTCCCCCTTGACTTTTCAGTTGCTATTATACATTTATACAAATATATTATAATTGATACATTGAAGAAAAATTATTGTGTATTATATTAGTATGAGAAAAATATGTCAATGATTTTATTATGATTGTTGAATAACTGAATATGTCATTGATTTTACCAAAGTCACCAAACCCCCGCTTTTTGTTTTAACGTTTAATTATATTTTATTACATAATGTTTTTACTTTTTTAAGTATCTAGTAATAGACACTAATTGTGTTAATTAAACAATAAAGTGAATTATTTATGTTGTATATTTTACATTTTATTAAAAATTGAGCGACTTCTCTTATTTATTCTATAAATAATTATATAGTTATGATAAATTAACAAACACTGTTATATGAATACAGTCATATAATATTATTCTACGTAAACTTATATATAACAGTTAACAGGTTAACAGAATGGTCAATATTATTGAAAAAGTACAGTGTCCCACCCCCTGGATTTTCGAAGATGGACGCCCTTAGATTAGACCGCCATTTATTGGCTAAACTGACATTTTAGTGCATACTAGTTACTAAGTCATTACATGTTTTTTTATAGTTTTAATTTCAAATTGTTTTCTTTTATTCTCAAGTATTAATTTTTCAAGCTTTATGATAAAGTTTTAATTAATAATATGTTATAGGTATTTGTTATTATATTCTAGAAAATTTCAAATATTTATTTTAAAATTAACAGTTTCAAATTACCAAAAAATATAATTTTTATAAAATATTTCTTGTTAAATTATATTTAATATAATTTTATTTTACTATATGTAAAATAAAATATTATTCTGAGTGTACTAATTTATAATTTCTTTATTTCATACTCGCTATGTAACATATTGTAGTAGGTAAGCAATTTATTGTAAATATTGACATTATTAATGAACAACCATAACTGATGAAATTGGTACACAAATAAATTATTGTTGATAAAGCGTTAAATGTTTACCATTTTCTTAAATGTATAAACAGCTATATATTATTAACAATAGACAAGGTATTAATGGAAATATATATTTAAGTCCTATAAAACGCTTTTCTATTTTAGAAAATCCATGGCAGCCGTGGCCTCTTGCTATAATGCCACATTTTAAATAAACTTACTCAGTGATTAGTTTTACAATATATTAACATATAGATTTAAAACAATGTCTTAATTTATTTTTGTATAGCCCGTTTAAAATAGCCAATCGATTTCCCTTAAAGTATGTGTAGGATTAGTTATTTACTTACTATAAATTAAAACCTAAAATTGAAAACATCTAACTTCATTGTGATGTTACCTGTATTTTAAAAAACCTAAATGTCCCTTAATACGAAAACTGAATTTACTTAGAAAGTATTACTCATAGATTATATGAAATAACATACATTTTGTACAATTTTTCCTTTTTTTTCCCCATTTGTTGGGAAAACTCCAAAGAAAATCAAAAAATGAATTTTTAAAAGTACCACCACAGATAGATTTTCTTTCAAAAAAAGTGCTATCATTGTAAATCGGAGGAAAATTGTTGATAGAAAAGTTGTTCACAGGGGAAAAAAAAGCCATAATATTTTACTATACATTTGTAAATTTTCCTATTTTTTCCAATTTATTGGAAAAACCCCTGAGAATCTATGTACCTTCATACCTGCATGAAAACTTAAACTAGTAATTTAATATTTATTTAACAACAACTAAATAACTTGTACATTAAAAAAATCTATATGACATATAGTAATGTATTTTAAAACATCTTTTCAAAATGAAAAATAGCCAATTAATAGCGGTCAAATCTGTCCTCCAATTAGAGCAACTCTCAGTATGTCTACACTCTCTTTATATTTGCACTGTAATAAAAAATAATTGAAATATTTTTTTTTTAAGAAAAAAAATAACATCTTAAAAAAACTTATAGCTTATTTGCTTCCCTGAGACTCTAAAATATGTGTATCATACAATTTTTTTTTATTCCAAATGAAATTAACAATTAATTCAAAAAAATCAAGTTATTTTGTGCATGTTTTAATTCAATTTGATAATGATTAAAATACAATTTTTTATTAATATAATTTAGATTCCCTCATACTCCAAAAAATATGCATCATACAATTTTTTTTTCAATATTATCATATTGATTCAAAAATAATTTAAGAATTAAGAAAAATATATTCTGAGCGTACCTGGTTCAGTAAATATAATATGTGGGGATTTCATAAAATTAATATTATACCGGATATTCATGATTCGATGTTTGTTAACATTACACAATTTAAAAGGAAATATTTAAAAAATAAACAAACAGTACCATTTAACGAAAAAGTAAAACAATAAATTACTCAATACTTACTCTGTGTTTACTGATGTATTCCCAATATTAATGATATAATGTGTATTATCTTCAATAATTTCTTCTCCGATTGGTCTATAAATATAAAAATATAACAATTAGTTTTTTAAAAAACAATACAATTATAAGATTATAAAAATGGGTTTTTAAAATAAGTTTAAAACAAATTATCCTTTAAAAATTTAACATTAACAATAAGATAACACAGGGCAGAAATTACACATAATTTGTGACACAGTATGAATTTAATTGCAAGGGAAACCCGAAAAAAAAATTTCGAAGGAATAAAAATTGTATATTCAAATTAAGTAATAAAAATCTCAGAAAATAATTCAATGAATGTATCATGGTGTAAAAACTCCAGACGTTTTAATGTTTATTACTATGATACAAGAACATAGTTTTAAGCAGTTGAATATTAAAATATTTTTATCAGAAAAAAAATAACATCCTAATAAAACTTATATCTTATTTCCCTCAAATTTCAAAGAATGTGCATCATACAATTTTATTTTCAATATTATAATAATGATTTTCGAAAATAGTTCAGAGTTAATTCACACGAATCAAGTTACTTTTATATGTTTGAAATCAATTTAACAATGATTCAATAATGATTCAAATGTACCTTTCAAAATGTTTTGTTAATATACCTTAGGTGGGTGCTATACAATACAAACAAAATGTCTTAGCAAACATGGTAAGGTCAATATAATAAGTGGGAATTTCATAAAACCAATATTATCATGGACATTTAAGATTAGATGTTTATTATCTTTTTACATTTAAAAAAGACGTCCTAAGATAATTGGGGATGAGTACAGTCACTGTTATAAGTAATTTAATGTAATTGCTAACGAAAAAAAGATTTTGACCGCAGTTCAGTTGATAGTGATGCTTTGTCAACAATATATATCATATTATGGTAAAATAATTAAATATACATTATATATTTTTATTAATAATATTTTATTTATTGTTGTACCGATTTTCCTACGATTTTTTCCCGATTTCTTTCATTTATTGGGAAAACTTCTGAGAAAATCGAAAAATGACCTCCTTAAAATACCTTCCTAGTCAAATTTCCTTTCAGAAATATTTCTATTATTATAAATAAAAGCCAAATTGTTTATAGAAAAGATGTTTACGGGAAAAAAGAAGGCCGTAATATATTTTAACTAAAACCTATATTTCTTATATTTTCCCGTTTTTCTTAAATTTTTTTCAGATTTTCAAACATGATAAGATAATTCTTGAGAAAATCGAAAAATACCTCCCTAAAGTACCTCTCCACTCTGATTTTCTTTTAGGAAAGGTACTACACATACAAATTTGAACAAGATTTCTGTTAGAAAAGTTCTGCGCACAAATATTTATAAAACCATAAGCTTTTTCGCTCCACTCAGAATCTAAAAGAAAAAACTTAAAAAACCAAACAGTACAAGTTCATCAGAAGGTATAACACTAAATTACACAATACTCACTGTGGATTTACTGATATATTTTCAATATCAATGTTATAATGTGTGTTGTCTTCAATAATGTCTCCTTCAATTGGCCTATAAATATAAAAATAAAGCAATTTATTTTTTAGAATATTTAATTGAGTTTTTTAAATTTGTTTTTTTTTTTTTATAAATAAAATTAACATAATAGAAATTTCCTAATAAAACAATAAATTAACAACATGTATATGTTATTTTTAGTTATTTTTTAATGCATTTTTCTATGATTTTTAGTACATTTAAATCCGGGCCTAGTTATAATATTAAATAAGTATGCTTACTTTGAATGATTTAGGGAATTTTCAATGCTTTTATCGACTTCCATGCTCGTCCGACGTAAGATACATGACTCACGACACGCCCACCTTTTCCATGGAGTCGGGCCTCTTACGGGAGCAGTACACAGGGTTGTGTCCACACTTTTCCAAACATGCGGACCATGACTGTACGATTAACGATTAATTATAATGTTAAATGAAAATGTCAGAAAACAATTTAAAGAATGTACCATGTTGTATAAATTATACATGCTTTAATGTATGATACTATGTTACAACAAGATAGTATTAAATAATTTAAAATTTTTTCTAAGAAGTAAAATTACATCTTAATAAAACCTTTCTTGTTCCCCTCAGTCTCTAAAAAATATGCATCATACAATTTTTTTATCGCAAAAAAAATTAACAATCAAGTCAAAGGAATCAAGTTAATTTCATATATTTTAATTTAATTTTACAACGACTACTCAATTATAAATCGAATATAACCTTATTTTGACTTTTTTGTTAATGTACTTTAGATGGGTGCTATAAAAAACGAAAATGGTTTTTTTTAAACAAAATAAAAATATCATAAATTACCCAATAAAACAATCAGTTAAAACAAAATATGTTATTTTTTGAAAAGAATTTTCAGCTATTTTTTAATCATTTTTCGATGATTTTTAGTGTATTTAAATCCAGGTCCTAATTATAATATTTAATATTTATGCTTACTTTGAATTATTCGGAATGTTTTCAAAGCTTTTACCAACTTCCATGTTTGTCCGAGGCACGATACATGATTCACGATACGCCCATGTTGCCCATGGATTCGCGCTTCTAATGGAATCAGCACACGGGGTTGAATCCATACTTTACCAAATATGAGGACCACGCCTGCACGATAAACAATAATTAAACAGGTAGGTCCTTATTGAAACTTGTAGTGAATCTCAAGATTTCGGGTGAGCGTTGAAAATTATTAGTACAATTATTAAGCACAAATAAATATTTAATTTACTTAATATATTTTATTAAATATTAATATTGAATCTATACGTAAGTCACGAACAAAATACACAAATTAACAATAAGCAAGAAATGTACCAGATTGAAGACTTCAGCCTGTTACAGTATTGACCGCTCCTTTAGTAAATGAACTATGAACGCGACGATCGATCTTAGCGAGCAATTTCGTGAGCAACGACGCGCGCATCTGTTTTTTCGGCCGTAACAGTGGGAACGCCCGACGGTGTTACGATGCTACTGCGTTTGCGCGTTGTTAAACAACGAGCGTCTCATTACAAAGGACGGAATGGGGGTCACATCCCTTAACCATGGAAGAAAAAAATCCGTTTCATTGCAGCACCAAACACATTGTCTTCTGAGAGATGGGATCACTTTTTCCGAAATCGTGTGATGCGCACGCAACTATATACCTCCCACCACTTGTTCTGACTACGCTCGCTTAAATGTGGATTAAAAATAAATAGGGTAGAGTGCAATCATGCATTTATTAACCTTTCCTACTCCTCATGTCTTAACTTAAAATGATTAAAACTCATGAACAGTAAATCTAACATTAGCAGGGCGCTATTTACGCAAGGTGGGTATTTGTCCAGAGCCCATGTGGATCACGGGCTCACCTACTGGATTTAATTTTTCTTTTAATTTTAATTAATCCTTAAAGTTGAAGAATGCAAAAAAAAAGTTTACACAGTCGAAAATACTTGTAAAAATATAAATTATTTTTTTCGGTTGCATATAAAATATATGGGTATGAGATAAGAAATATTCATATTAAATGGATTAAAAATAGGCCAACTTTTTCTTTTTGTCCCGGGCTTAAACAATTATAAATCATGCTCTGGATTATGCATATCAAAGTTTCTAAAAAAACATTCTCGATTCAAATTTGTGTTCAAAAGAAAGATTCCTATTTGAAAAACAACAGTATATACTTATTTAAGGTAAATTGAATAGAGGTAAAAATTAAAAATCGTTTTAAAATAAAACTTAACTGATTCCATAATGACTAAAAAATAGAAATAAAATTCACTTAAAATCCTCTGAGAAAACTGCTGGTTTATAATAAAAAAAAAAATCATGAACCATGTGAATCATGGAATATTCGTTTTACGCACTTGGTAGGACATAATCATCCAACAATATGGGGATAAATTCGAAAAATTAAATTTGATGTTACAGCTGATAGGGCAAATATAGAACTCAAGTTCCACATCAGTGGAAAATAATATTAGAACACGCCAAGGTTATAAACAAAAAATATATTTTTTATAATGTCATAGTTTATGTAATATTTTTTTGTACTTTTATGCAATCAAACAGTTTTACGACTTTTTTCCCAGTATTATTTTCGTCGGGCTTTTAGGTAGAATACCGTAAAACACACCTAATCGAATGTTTAGTATTTAGTTTTTGTTTATGATTAACTTTAATATTTTACTTATTAGTAACCTAGAGTTAATAAATCAGTTCCTATTTATCCATTACCTATTTATATAAGATTAGTAAACCAGTTCCTATTTTCTTTACCTATCTGTATAAATTAAGTATAATGTAGTTTGTCATACTGACCAATACCATATTACAAAAACTGACTATTTCCATTGGTACTCATATTCAAATATTGTGATAAAAAAATATTATTTAACTGATTTATTGGAATATCGTCGTACCATAATGAAAAACCATTTATTGTATATTCCAATGGAATGTTTATAACACATGAAAATGTAACATATCAACAATATTTCCAAGTAACAAACAAATATAAAATAAGATAAATATATATAACTTTTTTTAAGTACGCTGCCAGGTATCAAACCTCGTACCCAACAGCTAACTTGGAGTGTGGTTAATATTGGAAAATATATTGTTGGAACCGTATTATATCAGAAAAACAATTCGGTCAAATATAAAAGTATTATCGGAAAAAACTTTCCTATGAAATAATTTTCTAACAAAATACGATTCCGATGAAATATTTTTCCGACAAATTATTATCAAACGAATTATTTTTCCGAAAAAAAACTTTTCAACAAAAAGGGTGTTACAAACGAAGTTTATTAATGACATTAGTAAAAACATTCAAAATTACTTACTTGTATCATTGATACCATTGTGTATACCATCGACTTATTATGGCGTGTGGTAATATACAAGGAAGTTATAAAGTTTGCAGTAGGTACAACTGTAAAATATGCAACGTTATAGTATAGATAGAACCTATACAAAATAGTGATAAAAGTTCGTTAACATAAGACGCTGGTCGATTTATACTTATACAAATACTTCCTATAGTATAAAAACCCCTGATGAACTTTAGTATAACATCGCAATCATTGCATTATTATTATTAATATTGATGGTAATATGCTAAATGAATACATTTTAAACATTTAGATGATATTATTTGATACCAAAATATAAAATAAATGTGTATAGTTCATCGCAGTATTATGTATTTAAAATATTGCATCAATGTTGAATAATAAACATCAAAATAACGTTACTCATAAATAATTAACATACTTTTTTTAAGGAACAACTATATTTCATCACAGTAATGTGAATTACTGGTGATGTTTTTGTTGGAACACAAATTCGACATAGTGGCAATGGTTAGTAATATCATTGGTATTATTTGTAGAAGTAAAAACTTTTGTTAAATCTACTCTGAGGGGGAGCGAGGCCCTTGCCCCATCACTGGATCCGCCACTGATAGTTCATTGTTTCGTAAATAGAATCAAGTTCAGTTTGTAAACTATATTCTTCCGGTTATCTAATAACTACATCTGAACATTCAATTTCAGTACAACTAGTTAGATTTGGTTCTTTTAAATACACTAAGCATAATCATCATGTAATTTTAGATTCTGAGTGTAACGAAGAATGTATCGATTTTAAAAAGATATTTATTTTTTTTATACTGGGTACAAAATTTCTATCAGAAAGCTTACTCAGATGTATACGATGTAAACTATTTTTTGAAAGGAAATTTTCTTGGGGTGGTAGTACAAGGAGGTCATTTTTGATTTTCTCAGGAGTTTTCTAATCAAATGTGGAAAACCTCCCTCCAAAAAACGGAGGAAAAACGAGAAAATGTACGAAATATATTAGTAAAATATTACGATTTTTTTTTTTTTTTACTGTGAACAACTTTTCTACAAGTAATTTTGCTCCGATTTACAATGATAGCACTTTTTCTGAAAGGAAATCTGATTGGGAAGGTACTTTAATTGGATCACTTTTTGATTTCCTCAAGATTTTTTCTAGCAAATTTGAAGAACCGAGAAAAACATATGAAAACGAGGAAACCCGGAAAAATCGGTACAACATTAAACAAATATTTAATGCCTATTTAATTATTTTACTTTAATATGACATACAGATTATCGGCAAAGCATAAATTTCATCTGGACTCCACTCAGAATCGTTTTTTCGTAAGCAATAGTTTGTTGTTATTTACAAATATACATTTAATTCCTTTCTGTGTCCTACCTTCCCAACTACCCATCCACAACAGTGGCTGCACCCATCCCCAGCTTTTTAAATATTTAATTACGAAAGTAGTTTGGAAAATAATAAATATGGATGAAATTATAAACAAAACACTTACATATTATAATATAATTTCACATAATCAGACAAGAGCAAATTTTTAATAGTGATAACAGTGTTAGCATTTCGTGTTCCCGATCTCATACACCAACTCGCGCACCCAATAACGCAGTGTGTTTTATTGTTCTTGCTCGCTTCGTCTTTCATTATGAGTTGTTAGAATCCTGTATCTACCGAATTTCAGTCAATTCGAACTTCTTCATCCAGCTTCGTTTCTCAGTTATTCGATCAACATTATCATACTTCTCTATAAACAGCTAATCCACCGACTGACCATTTTTCAGAGACTTAGATGCGGGGTATTTAAATTGTACCTCTATCTTCCATACCACTTTGTCTCTTCAGTTGCATATCTAAATTTTCCAGGGTCACTTTCACTTCATGAAAAGTACTATCTCTCCTAATTCTAGTCCAATTATGGGCCAATTGAAATTCATCTAATAAAGAATCCAAAGCACCTCTTTCAAAATTTACTCCTCTTTCAACTGAAGAATTTCACCTGGCTATATCCAAAATTCGCAGTACCCAAGATGAGTGTAATTCCTTAAGTTTGTTTAGCGAATTAAAAGCCAGTGTTGACTCGTCATCATTTCAACTAGCGGAGTTACGTTCCACGAATGTTACTACCCAATCTGATCTTACTTTCAAAAGAAAGTTCGTACCCTTCAATCGACTATTAAGAACGGAATCTAAGTTGATCAGCTTCTCCATGAAATATCTGATGGGGATAAATGCCAGTTCAACATTGCCTTTCAAACTGGGTGACGACCAGTTTACGTTCGGCAACGTGCATCCCCCACCAGGTACCACCAGTCACAACTTGCGTACTATAAATCAGTTTCTTGTTGTGAATTGGCATATAGCTTAGTGTCAAATACCATCAAGTTGGCATTGGCTACTACCATCACCATCACCTCAATAATTTGCTCAGGCTGTCGAAAACCATTAAGTTGACACTCCAGATAAATAATAATATGAACTAAAATGTATACAAATTACGCGCGATTCTTCAGTCACCAATCATATGCTTTAAATAATTATAAAAAACTAATTTGAATTTGGTTTATACAATATAATCGACACGCTCGTTACCACATTTCGGTGAGAGTGGGATAAATTGGCCTTTGAACGGTCGTCAGACGTCATTCGTTATGCACGAAAACGGTATGTTCTCTTTTGAAAATCAGGATAGTTGTTTATGGCCTCTTAATATAGAATCCACTGAGACATCCTCTACCACTCAAGTTGCTGATGACATTGGATATGCATTAAATGTTTCCCATCTAAAGCTCTACACTAATGTAGCACTTGCCATTTAGATTCAAATTCATTATATATTTTTAACCAACCGTCTGTACTAAGTATAAATAATACCTGGAATAAATATTCAATAAACGTCATTATAATACAAAATATAATTATGTATACATATTTATGATACACTAATGATTATTTATGCTTACCTCATATTTTAGTTTATTCCAAATAACATTACAACAATCAAATATTAACTTAGAAATTGTTGAATTTTAATATATATATTTCATATTTGATAAATAAAACCCGCGCATATTACTCACTAAGTTTGTTCACAACAAGTGAAGACAGAACCCATTCATGGTACATAGTGGTACCAAATTTTGGAAAATCCACGGTGGGATAAAATACACAAGTGCACGGTGTAGTGTGAATTCGCCTTAATACTGTAGTAAGTTGTAGGTAAAAATTTCCGGCTTGTACACTGTAAGTATACAAAAATAAGAACCAACCCAAGTCGATAGGTTTTACTTTGTACTCAATTTACAATGATATTTATAATTTTTATTAATTTTACTTTTGATTAGATCCGATATTATGAAGATTTATACAGTTTGTGCAGTTTTATTTTTACATTGTGTACAAATGCCTATCTGTATCGACAATCAAAATTGATAAATACGGTTTATTACTTTTTCATCACGATCTTAGAAGAACAGGTCCAACGATTTGTCCTTATCAAATGTCCGCTTAATGAGACATTTAAGTTTAGATTTTACTCAAGAGCGTTACCGGTTATATTTATTGAGGTTTTGAGCTTAGTACTATTAATTACATGGGCCGCTAGAATTCCGCCAAATTTTAATAATAATTGTTGGTGTAGATTTTGATATATTATACATAATATTGTTATTCACTACTGATGCATACATAGATAATACTACATCTCGCTAATTTTTATTTTATCCTTAATTATATTTTAATTACTCATAATTTTCTTTAAAATACGGCCAACAATATATGTATATTGGATAAAAAAATAAAAATAAAAAACTCAGTTTTTTCTATTCCAAAAATGATGACATTAAAAATGAATGGTTGAGTCCATGGAGGTCGATAATTTGTATGATACTAATTCAATTCGTGAAAAACTTTTTCGTGTTGATGATGAGACCGTGTACAATACTGTGATATAATCATTGATATTCTTATGTTTAATATCTATGGTCTGTATATATAATATATAATATTGATATCATAACATAATTACATAACTTCAATAAGCATAACCGGCAGCGCCCGTGAACAAATTGTGAACTAAATCTGACTCAGTAAGCAGCCGTCGGTCTATAGGCAGGAGAGTGACAGTCGTCGGACCTGTTCTTCTAGGACCGTGCTTTACATTGACATCATTCTCTAGTCAATTGGTTACATACCAACGTAACAAACCTATTGTATTATCAACGTTAAAGTTTTCTTATTTTTTCAATTTTATCTTGATAACAACTCACGAGTTTATCAAATCTAATAAAAATACATCAAAATTATGTTTGAATTTTATCATTGTCATTTTTATTACTTCAAGACTAAAATTAAGACGATTATTATACCTATTAATAATATTATTACGTATTAAAATTGTATTTAATTTATTATATTTATATTTATAAATTATAATTACAAAGGTATTTATTTACCTCCGGACATTTTGAACTTCGGGCATCTTTTCCTCGGACATATTGATAGAAACCCATTGTGGTAATACTATGATAAAATAATGCTAACACCATTGATTTTAGAATATATATACATATATATATAGCCCATTGCATAGTGATTAGTGATATTTGGAAGCTATAATTATTATAGTTATGTAAAATCTGTCTCAAGATAGAATACACCGGGTTTTCGTGACTGGCCTAACCACCCGATTTTCGGCCTACTATGCGGCCACTAGCAGACCGATTACTGTAACGGATGCGCAGAAACGAACAGAAACTGGTGTATTTCAGTTTGAGACAAAGTATAGGCTTCCCGAAAGATAGCACAGTAATATTCAACAAATAATTTTAAATTAGTATTTACAATAACAACGACACGATGACGTTACGTCGATGTGTTATCTAAACAATTTTCCATATCTCCAACCGATAGGCCTATGAAATCTAAATATTTTTTTTTTTTTTTTTATTGTTAAATAATTTACCACAGTTATTATCCTGACAATAATTACCAGGCATAATTATTAAATAATTATAGCCAACACACACACTATAGTGGAACGCCAATTATGCGGCTCGTCAATTTATCATCTGCACCACAAAATGTTTGTACAAATTTATTTCTAGTTTAATCATTTGTTATGTTCGTTTGATCGTGTTCTATACATGCATATTATGAAATGCGAGATTATTTTATTATGTACTACGGCTCACTTTAATGTGGATTTATATTTAATCTTAAATTTAGTTGGTTCATAAACGCGATCTAGTTCACAGTACACGTTTGAATTAACTGAATTGCTAGGGGACATAAGAAGATATCAAATAGATTGTATTATGGTCAAGAAGAGATTTGGAAACCAACTAAAGGACTGTAGGAGTTATCCAGAAGCAAACATAGATAGCGATCATAATCTAGTAATAATCATATAGAATAATATAAAGTTCATGAAAATAGTTCTAAAGGGAAATAACAATTGATGGTCTATAAGCAAGTTAAAAAAGGATGCAAGGATATAGAGGTACAAAATAAAACTGGTAATACTGGTAGCAGAAATTCAACGTACAAATCAGTTAAATATTTCTCTAAAAGTTATAGATCAAAATAAACATAATATATGATAATATCGGGTCAATTATTTATGAAGATAGGTAAATTATTATATTTAAAACTCGTTTTGTGTCTAATATAAAAATACAAATTTGATTTTATTAGTTTATATATAAATATACAAATTTAGATTTCTAACAAGATTTTGAAATTTATAAAATTATATGAAAATAAAGTAAGTCCGTTAGAAAATAAAATAAATATATATATATATATATATATATATGGGGCCCATATAATTCTGCACCGGACCCCGAAATCTATCGGGCAGGTACTGCGGCGTTTATATATTCATTAGAATTTGCCAACTTTTGAAAATGTATCAATTCGGTAGCGTTGAAACATAATTTTTGATTTTGGCTTGATTAAAGATATTAATATTTCTACATCGGGACTTTTTAAAAAATCGGAGACTTGGAATTTTTTTTTTTAGTGGTAATTCTTTTATTTGGTATTTATTATTATTATTTTCATCAGTTGACAACATTTTTTGTACCATTTAAATTTTTCAATTTGTACTAATAGTTTCGTCAAATAATGAAAATACTACACACTCATCAGTTAAATAATATAAATGATTAACAAGTTTTCCTTAATAGTTACTTCGTAAATACTATCTTATCGATTTCTTTATATTTAGGTATGTAAATTTCGTATGAACTTTATATCCATTAGTGAAACAAGTATTGTTCCTAGTACATAAATCCAATATTTAACATAAAATATTACAATAAAACATTGGAAAACAATTCTTGGAATGTCCATGTTGGACAAGCGATTTTTCCTCGGATTTCGTTAAATTAAATTCCGTTCGAAATAGTTACAGTTTTAATGTGTATATCATAGCCGTATGATACACACCGAGCTTTCTAAAATGCATGCCGCCTAGGAAAATAATTTCTAAATCTTACAGTTCTTCGTGATCATTTTATCAAGAAATTGTTTTAGAAATAGAAAAATTTGTTTTACTTCTGAATTTTTAACACTTAAAAATAAATTTGGAATAGGTATTAATTCAAACTGGCTGGTCAAAACTATTTTGAAATCTTTTAAACAACGGATTATCTGGTCCTGAAATAGAGAAATAGCTTCTCTATTAGTAATTACATTTTCAAAAAACTACCGCCAATATAATTTTAAAAACAAGACAGCGACATCCAAAATACAATGTAATATATTTTTCCAGTTTCTGCTCTAGTAACATACGCAGTATATTTTACGAAAATGATTACGTTGGTTGCCTATAAGTTATAGATGTCCGATTAATTACATGTAGAGTTGGGTCCAAAGCAACAACTTCCATAAAGGTCATTATTAAATTCCGGATTCAATTGCATATAAAACACACAAAAATTGCATATTAAAATTATATAATTGCACCAAAAAATACGTAAAAATCGCATAATAAATTGCACTATAAAAATGCGAATGTTATTTAAAAAAAAATTTGATAAATGTTACTATTTTTTAATTAAAATTGATACGTGCTCTCTTTATTGGATACTAGTAAAGTGATAGCTCAGAATTTTTACTACTCACTTCTGCAATAGTACAATCAAAATCCCAAGAAAGTTCATTTTGATTATTTCTTAATTTCACAAGAAAGGGTTAACATTACAAACAAATTATGAATCTACCTTTTTTATTTAAATTAAACATTATAACAATAATGATTGATTACGATTTGTCGGTATACCTGTACATTTTAAGTAAACAATTGGAAAGAAATAAAAACAGGTTCGAAAAGTTAGTCGCACATTTTCCTCATTTTTGAACCAAATTATGTAAGTATTTCAGTATTTGTTGTACGCATAAATTTTAAATTTGTCAGTCCAGCAGTTTTTATCCATTCAAATTTATTTCGCAGCTAACCTGGCTGTTTTGCCATTTCTAAATTTTCGATTAGACCGAAATGTTTGCATTGTTTGAAAGTATTTGTGAGCACAAATTCATAATTGATCGGTCATTTCTTTTTTGAGTTACCCCTGAAAAAAAAGTAAGCCAAGGTTCGTACGGCTTTTTAAATTTCGACCTGGCCAAAATGATTTACCTTGAACATAATATCATGTTCATGAGAAAAACAAAATATAGGTGTAAAAAATAAAATATTAAGTATTAAGTATAAAATGAAAATAAAATAAACTATTATTAAATGTCAATTAAAAATAAAGTAAATTATTATTAAATATAAAATTCCAACGTTAAAATGTTATATATTCTAATAATATAGATAACAATAATATAATATCTGTACACAGTCTTTAAAAATATCTAAAATATTATTACATACGTACATTTATTTTAGAAAATAAATCAATAATAATAATTAAACAAAAAACCAAAAAAAAAATACGTAGAAATATAGTTGCGTCAAAATGACGTAGACTCAAAAATATACGCCCCTCAAAGTAATAACTGCAATCACTAAATTAGTGTACCTAAACGCAGGGCCGTAGCAACCGAATATTGCGCCCGGTGCGAAACTTCAAAATGCGCCCTTACGATCTATAAATTATAGCGATAACTCCAAGCTAAAAATGTTCAAAATTAGTGGTTTTTTTTTTTTTTGTTACTCGACATTAATCGCATTCAGATTCCAATTTTTCTAGCTTTTCTCCCAGCGAAGACTTCAATGAGCATACACAGTAACATTTTAAGCAATAAATTATGACACTTGACTACCTATAGTATTATATATGAATTTATTTTATTATTATTAAATGACATAATAAATAAATAATAGTAAATAACATATATACCACTATATGAGTTCTTTCTTTCGATATGAAATAATTTCTTCGTTAAGGAGTCAAAATACTTTTTTCGTTATATTAGGACCATCTGACCAATCACTAATAGCTTTGATAAACTAAAATTAAATTAAAATTTTTTAAAATAGAAATGATGTTGTTGTATAGTGTTTCTCCATCTGATTTACCCAAAATTACTGTTTTTAAATGTCTACTAACTACTTCTTCATTTTTATTAGACCAGAAACGAATTAACATTTGAAATTCTTGTCTTCAACATTAGTTGTTTCATCATATGAAATAAATTAAAAAGTCGATTGGGTTTTGTCTAACATCGATACCAAAAGATATAGAGCTAGACCATCAGTAATTAATTAATGCACTTTATTTGGATTTCGTTTAAAATGTTTTTCAATACTACTACTATAAGAAAAAATTGCTTGAAAAATATCAGACATCTTTACATGAAGCAGCTGAAATCACTACTTTCACAGATCAGGATAATTCAGCTCGTGTAACGAGGTTTTTTGTATTACAAAAATGCAGGATAGTTGGAAACTGTGCAGGAAGATTTAAATGGATATTGTCCATGACATCCGTAGAATGTACACTAGTTCTAGTTAATACCATTTAATCACCCACTTAAGCTAAAGCACTTTTAGCAATTTTGATATGTAAACACAATAATAACAAAATAATATATAATCAAATATATTTATATCTATGTTCTTGTGTTATGTATTTTACTATTTTGTGTCTGACAAAAATAATTTTTTGGCGATTACGCTATCTACCGGACCATAACAACCAACTTTTTAACATTTTACATAAAAATGTGAACGAGTGACTTTTTAAGAATTTGTTTAAAAAGTGCTTTAAGGACCAATTTTTTTTTTAAAAAAATTTTCTTACTAATTTTTAAAAAAGTGACTAGTTATGAAGCCTGTAATATTTACATTTAAAAATTTAAATGACAAATACCAAGAATTTTCATTTTTTCGAAAACTTCAAAAGCTTAAAGCACGCCCTGTTAATTAGATCAAAGTTCAAATTTTACAGACCATATTTTTCAATGTATTGAAACACATTTCCAGCTTAAACCCCATTAAAAAAAAAAAATGTCTTTATATAAATAACAGGCAATCAAATATACAATAATATATAAATAATTCTCATATATCAAGTGGAAAATATACAAACCAAAGTTGTACTAAGTATTTCGCGATAAATTGATAATTTTTTCCAAAGCATCTAGTAGAAAAGTTTTAACAAAGAAAAAGCAAAAAAAAAAAATATTTACAAGTAATATCAATATATTCCTAGCTCCGATCAGAATTCAATATATTATTCTATATGCGGAAAAAATTTGTAAAAAAAATGGGGCGAAATCAATAATAATTAGAACAATATTAGAATATTAAAAATAGACAATTCAATTTATATTTAGGTTATATTTATTGTTTATAAAAATAATTAACTTATTAAAATTAAAACATTAAACACACTTGGAGGAATAAATTGTATACTAATGTTTCAGTATCAATAATAACAAAAGAAAAACCAATAGTTATTAAATATTTTGTCAGTATAATATTTATATTTTTGTATTATATATAATATCATTGATATAATCAATAGTAATATCTATTTGAAATGTCGTTAAACAACATATTATCATTATTGTAGTTAATGAATATTATTGATTATACTATTAAATAAAATTTGTATACAATAATAATAAATCCATTTAAATTAAATAAACATTATAAATTATAATTCATATAAATAATAATATAGTAACGTAGTTAAGGAGGCAAATCACATACAAGAAAAATAATGTAAGTATTGTATATAAAACATAATATTTAACAATTAAAAATATAAGAGGTGACTTAGAAATTGAAATAAAACCAATATATATTTAACAAATATTTATAAACTAGTGAAACTGAATAATTCAAAATAATGGAGAAATTTTATCAAAAAAACTATGATGACAAAACATAAAATGAGATATTAACAATAATAAAGAAGAAAAAATCCCAGAATACATAGAAAAATATTAAGCTGGTAATCAATGCAGAATTGGATGATGAAAATTGAAAATCGTAAACATATGATATAAAGTATACATTTATAACATTTAAACTAGTAACTTCTTTTTATTAGTTCATGGTTTTAATAAATTCTATTGCTGCACAAAACTGAATCCACCAATAACTTTCTTCGCCCTCTAAACGATCGCCATAAAAACTATTTATATACTGAACAGTTGATAATAATGATGGTGGATTAGCCTAAAAAAAAAAAATCATAAATATTTGAAATTTAAATAAATAAAAATTAATTATTATTATAATTTGTTGTATTACTTTGATAAGGACATATACAAGAACGGGTACTATGTCATCAGCAGCTGGGTGCATATTGCCATGTTCACCAGCCATTGACATTAAATTTAATAGGGTTGTAGTACATCGGAAAACACATTGTAATTTGTCTTTTGGTGTTTTATAAGCTGAAATTGCTGAAATCTCAGCTTGAGCTGAAGGCCAAGGACATTCAAAATGGAATTTCTAAAACAATTTGTTTCATAGTTTTTTATTTTTATGTTTCATTTTTTTTTTTTTTTTTTTTAATGACTATAAATACTTTTGGAATGCGTAAATCGTTATGCGTGGGCAATATATTCTTTGACAAATTACACATGTGTTCATGTAAAACTCTGAAATAATATAATATTTAAATTTAATACATCTTATGAAACAATATTACAAAACGTTACATACTGATCTCTATAAAAATCAGCATCGCCATTAGGATACATTGCCAGTGTATACACTCTACTGATGATTGCTCGTTCGATTGCTAATTTTGCATCATCAATTTGATCAAAACTAGCAGCTATAAAAATGAAATTAATAATAAGATTTGTACAGTAATAAGAAATCAAAGAAAAATAGCATTGTAAATAAAATTAATGTAAGATTTTCAAAATTCAATAATAATATAAGTGTTACTTTTCCAAATATTGTTGCGTTTCATCTCAATTTCGAGTGTAGACAAAAACCTATTTAAATGTTGATTCTTTTCGTCAGCCAACTTGCGTTGTTCAAATTCAACAATAAATTCTGAAACCCATTGCTCGTTTTGTTCTAAAAATATCTGCACACATTTTGTTATCAAAAACTGACTGCACACTTCACGGTCACATTTAATTTGTTCCAAGAGTCTTATAAAAACAAATAATTACAATTCAATATTCATAACATTCAGAAATAAATTTAATTTAGTTTTTTTTATTACCTGTTTAGTTGGGCTATACTGGTTAATAATGTTTTTCTACATTTCACCAAGTATGTAATATAAGGCGCTCTGGATTTATAGTCTTCTTTTAATGCACCAATTAATTTTTGACAACTAAAAAAACATATTGTTATTAGAAATTAGTATTCAATAGTTTATTAATAATCAGCAGGGCAACATTAGAATGTTTTGTTTACTCATTCATACCCATGAGTATCGAACATCTTCATACACCTAATTGTTTCGTTTAGTCTGGCAGATAAAAAATTATCATTCAAATTGGTCGCTTCTGCTAATTGATATTGTAATAAACCAACAAGTTCATTATCCTTATCACGCCAAGTATTCAACTGTTTTAAACAATACCATTGTTCTTGTTAATGTTTCTAAAAACTAATAGATTTTCAAATAATAATGTTTTACCATAGGTTTAGATTCTGTTTCATTACACCAGGGTACGTATTGTACATCAACTGTACTTAATACAAGTCGCAGTTTTTTTTTTGCATCATCAAAAGAATATGTTTCTAAATCAATGTTTTTGTTCAAGTCTGACACAGAGTCTTCAACGTTCTTAACAGTTCCCAGCATTTGACTAGAATTTTTTTCATTCATAGTTAATATATTGCTGGGTTTTTTACGATATTTGGCCAATATGTCTTCAGAAGATTCTGTTTGATTGTTTTAAATAAAACAATAAAATATATCAATAATAATGAAATAATAAAAATTTTATTTTTATTAACATCTACAAACCATCTAGTAAAGTATTTTCAGATAATATATTATTACTCAATATTGATTCATTTCCAGTGTTATTACTTGTACAGTCTGGTAATGAATCGTAGCTAAAAACAAAAATTATATTTAATACACATTTAATATTTAGTTGATATTAAAAATGTTTTTTAATTTACCTCAGTTCATCATTTCTGTACCACTTTCCTCGGCGATTTTTAAATGAAATCTTGAAGTTTTTGAAAAATCCTTTTTTATTTTTACTATCGTCATCATATCCTTCTCTATCGCCCCGCTCTGCTGTTTTATCAAAACTAATACTTTTCGGTATTGAGTTTCCATTGTTTTTTAATTTGGCATTAACCAACACTGCATTAGGACTGGTTTTCATTGTTTCAGCTAAACCATTCAGTAACATTGGTTTAGGTCCTAAGCTACTACCACTACTACTACTAGTTGATGCTAAACTACAGGAACTCATGTGCAAGCCAGTGTTTGTATCTCCATCATCAACTGAAACCTATGTATAATTAAATCATCAATTAGTATTAATTATATACACAACAAACGTTTTAAATTATTATTTACTTCTTGACTGGACAATGGTTGCGGTCTATGAGAAAGTTTTGGTGGTTCATTTGGTATTTGTTCTCCTGAAGTGGAAGCAACAGAATATACAGATCTAGATGCATTTAATCCAGGATCAGGTCTATTTGATGGCAGATCATCAGAAGAACCAATAAACTTATTAGTATTTGATTCAGCACTACTATCAGATACTTTTCGTCTTTGTGTTCTGTTGTTGAATAATGAAGAATTATCAGACCGTACATTATTATCTTGCTGTACTTCTGCTATTGGTCTAAATACATTTGGTGCTAAAAATGAATAGAGAATATAAATTTAATGAAACATTTATAGTGATAACCAATATGTTAAAATTATTTTGAATATGTCTCAACAAACAGTAATGGTAGTTTGAAGAATCATCAATTCCATCCAAATCACCACGGCTTTCTAATTCATATCTTAACATATCGTCAGATCTAAAAATGATAACATAATATAAATATAAATCAATTACAGCAAATTAAAATTATTAACACAAAATAACATTATATTCATGAATAATATACACAATATTTACAAAAACAAACACCTAGGATTTATTACCTTGCAACACTTGCTGTATCATCTGTATCAACTTCAGCTAGTCTGTCAGTGTCCGAAGCGAAAACATCTGTACTCCATGCTTCAGATGCGGTTTCATTAATATCCGAACTCTGTATTTAATAATTTCAATAATCAGGTTAAAGTACACTGAAAATATATTTTACAGGTACTGACTTGTTGATTAACAGGAATAGCTTGTGGTGGTGGTAGTGGAGGTGGAAGTTGAACATTTATTTGAGATCTATCGGACTGATCAAGTATTTCGTTATCACTAGCCAAAACATCCATACTCCATGTATCTGAGACCATAGAGGATGTAGTTTCATCACGCCCCATCCCTTAATTAATAGTATTCAAGTTAACAATGTAGAACTTTATTTATTAATTTAAATTTGATTTTTTTTTTTTTATTTACCTTGCATCTTAGATTTGATTTCAAATTTGCAAAATTTATCGTCTATATCAAATTTACATTGTTTAGCCGAAGGATTTATACGAGCAGATGGCATTGGTGGACCATTGGCTACGTCTTCATTTTCTGTAACTTGTGATGATGGTGTATCACGACCTAATCAATAAAATAAAAATAACTAAAAATTATGGATCCAATTTATAATAAAGAAAATTACCCGATATATTTGGTGTACCACGTCCCGATACATTTGCAGATACCATATCTGATAAATTATCATTTTGATCCTGATCGAGCTCTACAGATGATGGAACACTATGATTAGATGCAGCTTCTGAGACAGCTTCTAAGTAATCACTAGTATTTCCAGTATCCACTGATTTTCATAAGAAAAAATAAAACATTGTAATATAGTGTATTTTTTATTTTAAGTTATTTAAAATAAATTGTACAGTTATTTTCTGAGTATTTCAAATTAATTTTTTTGAGATTTTATAGGACATTAAAATCCTTAATTATATAGCTAAACAGTTTTTTTAAATTGAAATTAAATAATACTAAAAGTTTATTTCATACCCAATTATTTATGCATATTAAATTTATTAGTTTATTACTTAATTTGCATTATTGTAATCAAAACAAATTTATGAAGCATATTTACAACTTTCAAACTTTCTGTGTCTCAAATTAAACAAACATTTAAGTGAATATCAATACAGATAGTGAACAATAGAAAACAAGTACACCTTTTTCATTGAATATAAAATAAGCAATCATACATTTTTTTTAAATTTATTAAACTAATTATACCTTTTTAAAATATTAAATAGATATTTATGTAAGTAAGTTAAACAACTGTATGATTGAAAATGTACATTTAAGAAGACATTATACTCGCATCTACTGTCTCAGTTCAACTACCGGGTAACATTCAAAAACAATGCTCACGCAAAATAAATGAAACTAGCTTAATTTTGATTTTCAAATAAAAGTACCTATTATGAAATGTATAGCTACAAATATTTTGGAAGGAATGTTATAGGGCTTTTGTATTATTCAAAATCATAGTTATAAATTATAAAATTATAATTCACAGCTCAATATAAAAGATACAAAAACCTTTTCTATTTTTGTTTTTTAAATAACTGTAACTTTTTGAATAGTTCATAATTCAAAAAACACCTATGATATTCCCTTCAAAATATTGTTCTCAATAAATTTCATAATAGGTACTTTTACTCTAAAATCAAAATTAAGCTAGTTTCACTTATTTTGAAAAAGCATTGTTTTTGCATGTTACCCAGTAGTTGAACTTTGACAGTAGATGCGGGTATAATGTCCTCTTAAATGTACATTTACAGTCATACAGCTTTTTAACCTACTTAAATAACTATCTATTTAATATTTTAAAAAGGTATAATTAGTTTAATAAATTTAAAAAAAATGTATGATTGCTTGTTTTATATTCAATGAAAAAGGTATACTTGTTTTCTATTGTTCATTAGCTTCATTGATATTCACTTTAATGTTTGTTTAATTTGACACAGAAAGTTTGAAAGTTGTAATATGATTCATAATTTTGTTTTGAATACAATGACGCAAATTAAGTAATAAACTAATAAATTTAATATGTACAAACAATTGGGTATGAAATAAATTTATATTGTAGTTATTATTGAAAAATAGCTAAAATAGCAATATTGTTTTTATTATTACAAAATAATAAAAACAATATTATATTACATTTTATACAACTGGGGACTATAAATACTGCATTATTATAGGTATATAAAACAATAATTTAATTCTTACCAATTGAGCCTTCATGTGACACAGAATGCAGAGGTTTTTCTTTTTTTTTTACAACTTCATATGGTTTGTCATTTGATACATCATCTTCAGAGTTTGATTTTTCAATTTCTAAAACTTTATGTTCAGGCAATAGGCCAATAGCTGAGTTAAATGTATTCTCAAATGGAATTATTAGAACTTTTTTAAATTTATCATCATCATTAATATCCCCATCTGTATTAGAAAAATTTAAAATATTTGTATTTGGTAATACTTTTCCAAGAGACGAAGCAGCTAAAATAATAGACATGAATTTGTATGTTAACATCATCATTATTATAAAATATTACACATTTATAAGAAACATGTCTTACCAGTCTTAGAAAGGATTCCAAGCTTCTTTTGTTCAGCAGGTAAAAAGTGAAATTTATCATTTGAATTAGTATCTGGCCACATTATTGGCATATTCAATAATAAATCAGCTAATTCTTTTTTATCAGATTCACTTAATGTCCCATCATTGGAAACCACATGCAAAAAGTTTACCTAAAAATAAAATTTGTCTGTTTTAATATCATGATATAAGTATTGAAATGCTAAAAACTTACAAATGTTTGAAGTTCTTCTTCAGTAAACAATGCCACTGACCGGATTAAATTTTCCAATTTAACATTAGAATTAACTGTAAGATTATCATCGTTTAACGAATTTCTAGATGATGTTTTCAATAGGGCTTCCATTATGCTAGAAATACAATCCTTGTTGAAATGCTGATACAAATCTTGTACTTTACTATCAATAGGTTCATATTTGAACATAGCCAACATTTGGATTATATTTGCCACTTGAATAAGATTATAACGAGCAACTTGAGTAATATCAGCATCAGTTATGCCATGGGGTTCAGGGTTTACAATTGCCGGACAAATGAAATATGTAAATATCAAATTTACACAAATACCATAAATCTAAATAAAACACATTTATAGTCAAATATATATTAAAATGAATAATAGTAAACACAACGTAAATTTAATACTTGTTTTTCAGTCAAAGTACTTCCAGCAGTTAACAACGCATGAATTTGTCTGACAAGCCAACACACTGAACTTGGAAAACAGTATAGACTCTCATTAAGACTGTTAATAAATTTTGATGCAATTGCTACCAGTTGTTTTACAATAGATTTCCTATAATTCTGTAACTTTAAATTGTATTCTGAACTATTTTCTTCTCGATTGCATGATCTAAGATGAGAGAATCTAAAATTCAAAACATTTTTTTTTTAAACAAATAATTAAAATATTTTAATAATTCAATATTCAACAAATTACTTAATTAGTTGATATTATTACAATAAAAGTAATTGTGACGATTTAAAATAGGTGAAGTAGAGAGTAAGTACAAAGAAAATCACCTCTAAAAATAATATAGAAAAAAAGCGTAGAAAATTTATTACCTTATTCGAGCTTTATCGGGATCAATGTCAAGATACTTTTCCTCATCTTTTAACAACTGCATGATGGGGTCATGAAAAGCAGCAGTCAAAAATAATTTTGCTGAAAATAAACTTCCATGGAATGCTGAATACAATCTTGAAAAAGCACATGACCCATGACTCAATACCCTAAAATATGTATTTATAATTAATTCTTTGTTTTCTTTAAGATATATGCATTTAATGACCGTATCCAACATGTTTGTATATTTTTATATTTCTTTTAGCTATAAACACCATTTAATAATGTTTGAGAAAACTAACTTTAAACTATAAAATAATGACAACATAATATTAACATTACATATTGAATAGAAATAATATTTTAATGTTGTATTAATGTTACTTAGTGAAATTTGTTTTGAATATGTAAATTATTTGCTAGAAATTATAATTTTCCAAAAGAATAAAATGATAAAAATTGAATGTCACAATTATTATCCACATGAATAAGTTAATCAGTAGTTTTTTGAATAAAACAATGTTTAAATTTGTATTTAATGAAAAACAAACCTATGAGGATTATCTGCAGGTATTAATTGTAATACAGCCAAATGTCTTAATAATTTTAATATTAATACATTATCTTCAGCCATTAAACATGATCCAAATACTCCAGATAAAGTGCAATTAATAACTTCTGGCATACTACTAGTTAACAACCGATCACCGGCAGCTAAACAACATCCCAGAAGTTTTGGATTTATACGCAGTTTTTGCACAAGAACACCAAATGCTTGTGTATTCTATAAAAACATAATATTAATTTATTCATATGAAATGTTTTCATATAGTTAAATGCAAACTTACGTCATAGCCAATAGATTCATGAGCTTCAACAAAATGCGCGTCATCTAAATGATGAGCAATTTCACAGCAATTAGCCGGTGTACAATCTGGATTAGAAATTACTAATTTATTAAGATTAATCCTTTGTTGTGTTGTAATCCATGCTTCTTGAGCCAATCGATTTGAAACGCTAATCACCTGTCAAATTAATTGTAATTAAAAACCACTACGATTTTTAGCAAGCCAATTTTTGTGATAAACAAAAACAGAACACCAAATTAAATATTTTATATCAAATATGAATATTATGTGTACTTATACCTATGCATAAAATACATTAAAAGATAATAAAATTAAAACCCAGGTGAATTAATTATGAAAATGCCCATTATATTATATATAATTACAAGTTTTAATACCTGTTCATTAAGCGTTTGCAAATTATTCAACTCGTATTGTGTGAAAAGTCGTTCCTGACGCATGTGTGTAGCCAATTCCATCAAATCTTGTAATAAGTTTTGCTCCTCCATCATACTAGTTTTCTGTAGACAAGAATAGTAAAAAATTAATTTGTTTCATAATCGAACAAACGACGTTGACTAATAAAAGTAGGTAATAAATGACATTGTGATTGGTTTTTATTGAAATGTGTAGGCGTACGACATGAATACAAATGTATCATACAAAACAGTTAATATATTTTATTGATAAGTATGTCACTTTATGTTTAGCCCTTATTATCAATGGTATTTATGTTTTTCCTTTGATCAAATGTATCAATACCGTTGACAATTATTTAACGGTTTGTTAAGCAAACATGTACGTTTGTTTGGCCATTCAGTAATGATTGTCATAAATAATAGGTAATAATTACTGTCGATATTGTCATTACTTTTTTGTTAGGCGGTAGTCCAGAAATTACTTATACAAATATCTTCATAAACACAATATACCAATCGATTGAAAAAACATTGATTGGTCTCGGCGAGATTTATTCACCAAAACGGACCGGCGGGGTGTATCTACAGTATAATTGGAACGTCGTGTAATGATTTGATAGAACAAAATACAAAATAAAAATATTATATTATACCCACATAGTAAATAGTATTATAATATATTAATATATGCATTAATATATTGACAACACGAGTACTCTGACGATAGTGTTGATAACAAAAAGCAAAAACACTATAAAAACAAACACGGTTTAAGTGACAAAAAAAAAAAAAAAGTGTCGGTAGCGAAGAAGTGGAATGAAGAGAATGCAGGTAAACGAACACAATATTGATGTTGTTTTCACATCTCGCACAGCTGCTGCTCCGCTTGCAGATAACGAGTGCGCTGACTATACTGCGCAGTTCGGTTTGAGAGGATTTGAGTACGAAATGTATAATCGGAGCGCTGCTCAATGATTACCACAATCTCAACATTAGCCGCAGTGCCGTACATAATCGTGCGCGTGCGAAAGTGTCATTATTACGCTGTTGCCCGGTTAGTACGCGTAATTCACACACGACGTTCAAGCGCTATATTTCCGAGACGGTGGCGCCCATGATTTTTCTTATTGTCTTCAGTCGTAAATGACGGATCGAATTTCCCCGTCTCTTGCGTAGGTACTTACACCGGATAGTAATGACCTACTTCGAAATAATTTGTAGGAACTCTACTCTAATTGCTTGAAAAGTACCAGAACATTTCTTTCTATACGGAATTATATTCCAGAGAGTTCCAAATAAATTTAGTACCTATTTACTACCCACTTATTTATTTACTTGTTAAATTTTAAAAATATCTTAAGCTATACTTTCTTCTATACTTTCTGAACTGCAATTGTAACGAAGTACGTAGCTACACTAGTATAGACACGATGGGCGTCCATAATTGAAATTTCAGGGGAGGAGGGGGAAAAATAGAAAAAAGTTCGCAATACCTAATATGATAAATGAAGATTTAAATTACGTGTTTTCAAACGGTTAATTCATAATAATTTTTCAGGAAGGGAGACAAAGCCTCTTGCGGCCAGTACTTAGCCCACATGCATTGCTTCGATCCCTACTGATTTTTTGCTCATCGAACTTTTTTAGTCTAAGTTTTAGTAACGCCACTGCGTATACTCAGTAAAAAAAAATTACGACTACATCACTGTATCCAAGTTGACATTAGATTATATTCGCGTCTAATGTAATAATTATTGGTTGTTATTTATTGGGACGAATAAAAGAAAAAAAGGCCGATACTGGAAACGTGTGCGTCACTGTAATATGTAAGTGGGAAGTCGAGAAGGTAAGCTACATAAAGTTATTTAATTTATATCTGTAGCAACAATAAATCATTGCTAATGAAATACTAATCGGAGCGAATTATTATTTGGTAGGTACACCAAATAAGAATTACGTAATAAATTCGCAAAATTTAAATGTCTATAAATACCTCGAATAATCTCAAATGTTTTGAAAATTTTATTACGTTTAAAAATGGGTTTTCTGTCAAAATCTCGGATCTCCACGAATATAAATTACAAAAGACAAAATATAAAAAATTATTTTCATACATTTTCCTGTTATTTCTTTTCGGTTTTGCTCAGTTATTACTGCAATGATAATTTTAAAAAAAACGACTCTCCTAGTCACCGAATAGATTAAAAATTCAATAAAAAAGATCTCTTGTTGTTTTTCTATCGGTGCAATATTTATAGTAGAAAACATAAGCCGTAAAAATTTAAAATAATGAAATCTTACGCCGTAAATTTGTTTGTTTCTCATTGTTAGTCTTTTTCCGGTTTTCATTATTATATTATGAGAACTACTTGGAAATTTAAAAAAATTGCATCTTTAATGCATTAACCAGACAACATTTCCTTTTAGGAAAAGTGCTACACTCGATACACCGGAGCAAAATTTTATTGTTGGTAGAAAAGTTGACCACAGACAGAAAATACATATATACGTCATTGTAAAACCCAACACATCCCCTCGCTACGCTTCGAATTAAAAAATAAAATAAAATAATAAAATAACCAATTATTTTGGTACGTGCATTTCGCATCCAACTTTTAACGGGATAAATTAAAATAAAAGCGAATATTTATGGGAGTTTATAATAATAATAATTTCAACGTTTAATATAATACAATCACGATTTGTCGTTTTTGGTCAGTAAAATGAATAGGTAACAAATTTCGATTTCCGTTACAATAATCAGAACGCGTTATTAATCGCACGCCCAACTAAAACTGTTCGAAGGTGTAAATGAAACCGATCGCCCGTGACAATGGAAAACTCGTCTCAACAGAACTCACTGAACGAATAATTGCTCACCTACCCCGCTATGGTTTCGTTAAACGGGTAACACGAATTATAATAATGAGCTGGTGACTCGCGTCATCTGATTTCGAAGTTTCGGACACCACCGTCCGTCTATCGCCGCAGATAATTAACTACAGGCAGTGGTGTGTTGGTAAACGAACGTATGGGGTACACGCATCTAAAAGGGCGTCGAATAAACGTCTAAAAAAAAAAAAAACGTTTTTCACTACGCTCGAAATGACATTCCATTTGCTATACACATCAAACCACCTAACCACCTTACTATATACCGAAGCATTGCTTAGATGTATTATGTATCATCGTGAATAACTTTTTACAGGCATGTCATTGAAATTTTACACTGGTAATTTATCTTTGTAATGGTTGTCGAATTTGAACCAAATTTACGAATTTACTAGCGTTCAATGGAACCGCGGTGCAGATGAAACGGCGTAAAACGTATGGACTTGGTTTGAAACCGAATCATAATCTGAAAGTATTGGGTTCAGCGAGATGTCCGCTGCGAAAATCTACGTTTTAAAATTCGACTACCGGTCTGCTTCTCTTTTCGGGGCGGGCTATACGATGACAAATAATAATAATTTATTATGTCTTTTCTTTTTTTTTCTTTCACGGTTTTATGATGACGATAAATTAAAAGATCGCGTGTACCTTTAATGTACGTATAATTTTTAGCCAGCGTACCCGTAATCAACGAATTTGCTTATACTTACATTTGGCAATAATGATTAACGATTACAAATATTTAACCATGATTATTGATTACTTTTTAAACTGATTAAACGATCGATAACTAATGCGATTTAATAAATTAATCGTAGTTGAATACGTAAATTAATCGATTGCGGCCAACACTGCTACACCAACTATCGGTCGTCAATGATTCGAACACAAGACAAAAAATGTTCGTAATAATCATACTTATCTAAACTAAATATAAACATCGGCGACAATGAGCCGAGTGTTTATCATTTTATCCGTTTATATTGTATTTTCTATTTTTCCTGGTTATTATAAAAAGTGTTGGGAAGTGATAACTTTTGACACCTCAGAGTACCGACAACATCCACTTTGCTGTATATGGTATACCAGAAACCACTCTTAAAGTTGAAAATCAAAGCACTTCAAAAGACAGAATAATAATAATAAAAAAAAAAATAAACACATCATTGTAAAATCAATATATTTACATTCATTCAGTTTTAGAATTACACATACAGAATGAAATAAATACAAATTATTTTAATAATATTTTTAAATGTACAAAACCGATTTTGAAAATAATATCTTACATCAATGTCTCAGCATATCTATGTCTAATAATAACTAATATTAAATAATCTCCCCTATCAAAATAAACGATTTCTATGTAAAACTACCAATCAGTATGAATTTTCCTATATGTATTCCTTCTTTTTATTTTCATATTTAGTCGCGTTTTACTTTTTGACTTTGCGATTTACGTGATGATGAATTTTTAATCCGAAACCGGTCGTGCTATACACATAATACTCCCGGCGACGCATTAATTCATTTACTTTTTGTTTCTACAATTCTACATGTACATTATTTATTTATATATTTAATAATATTTTATACGATTGCGTGTGTCTGTTGTAGCTAAAATAATAATATTATTAGTATTGTTATTGTTTTTCCTTCCCTTTTTAATATTTATAATATACGATTGATTTCGAATATGCTTGCCATAAGTTTTCCTTTTCGTTTACATATTCGCTTATTCCCGTTTAATAAGATACTACGATTTTTGTTTAATGCGTAATACGCAAATAATAAATTTAAAGTATCCACCCACGTATATATATTTTGCCCCCACTACAATTTAATAATTTTTTTTTTATTCAGTGTAAGTTCTGTCACATTGTGAAATACCGATGATTGCATTAGCGCGCGTGGGTTAGTTTTTAGTTTTTCAGCGTTTTAGGTGATTATTAGTTATTGTTAAGTTCCACATAATGTTATATATTTCATCACGTAATAGATAAATACCACAACTTTTAGTGAATATTAGGCCGAAAACGCACTGGCTGCAACAATTTGTTGCGCACAATTCTGCTGTGAAACATTTTGAAATTGTTTAATTACAACAATATTATTTCAGTACATGATTATTAGAGCGCGGATTTGTATGCATTTGCATATTTCTTCTGGTTGATTGTATGCCATGTTAAGTGAGCACAAAATGCGTTTTGACATAACCATTTAAAAAATGAAAATTTCTTAGTGCATATTTTAACATTTACCCATTTGTTTTTCTATTTAAAGGGCTTATTTTACAATTTTAGTTGCATATTTCAATATAAGACAAAAATATTATATTTTCCTAAATATGACCTTAGACTAATAATCGGTGAAATAAAATACGCACATAAAGATAAAAAAAATATCAATTACAACCAATAATATTACTTCAGTTGCGTTAAAATATATACCGTGCATTCGTGTGTCTTTTGTAGTAATTCGCGTTTTTATTACTTTTTTTTTTATCAAATGCCGAAAGATAAATCGTTGTTATCGAGTCTTATTCATTAAAACTACCAACAAAATTATGAAAATAAACTAAAGAAAATTATTTCTAGAAGAGTTCCATAGTTTTAAATTTATTTTTTTAGTTAAATTTTAAAAATATAATTTTTTTTTGCTAATTTTGTTATGTATATTTTTTATTTTTCATACATATTTTAACATTTTAGTGCATATGTGGTTGATATTTTAATGTATATAAATCCACGCTCTTGATTATCATCAGTTGTAGTTAACAAGTTTATTTAGTCTGTTTGTTTCTATAAACTAAACATGGATAAATAAGTAGAAGTGTATATTTTACAGTGGCAATTTTTAGAGTTTTTGGATTTAGAAAATGAAAAATAAAATAGATTTTGGGTACACACAATCAACGAAAAGAGAAATATTTCTGGTTTAATACATAAACTAAAAAATGATCCAGAAAAATTACAAGTAAATCAGATGTCAATGCATATCAATGCATCAAACAGCTGATGTTATGTATTGTTGATTAATAAACTAGTTTATTACTAGTTTAAAACAACTGTTTATTAAACAAAAAAACTTTTATAAGTCCTCATTTTTCATGAAACTTCAGAACTAATTTGTTGATCACTGTAATCTTTCTCTGCAAAAAAAAAAATAAAATTGTGTATATTTAAATAATAATACATCGGTACATAAGGAAGAATAATTATTTATGTTATACAATAAATATAAAAGTAAACATAGGGACAAAAACACATTTTTATTATACCTAGGTGTTAAATGTGATTTTTTTTAGTATGAAACACATTTAAATAGAATAACTATTTGTTTTAACACGAGGATATATTGATGAAACAGTAACAGAAGACTAACAGTATTGTCCAGTTCTACAAACACTGGCAATTTATAAATACGCACCTTTTTCTTTATGTTGAGACCAGTTTTTCTTTGTTTTTACATATATACGATGACCAATACAATCACCAATTTCCAGATAACATTTATTTCGACAACATTTTTTACAAAGTTTATATTCACATTTCAAACCCTAGAAAATATTTAATAAAAGTCATTAACAGAGCTCAGGACTTATAGCACTTCAAAATGGCAAAAATTTTTTGAAATAAGCATTTAAAGAATATTTAAAAATGTAAAAATGGTAGAGGAATTTAAAAGTTTCTCTTCTAAGGTTTATAAAACTACTCTAATTTAATTAATAATATTTTCTAACACTAAAATAATGATTAACACAAGTAATTTTTTTTTTTTTGAAATATGTACAATATTGTTTAAATAAAATTGCTTTGTATTATGTTGTGTTATGTAGCTTTAAAAAATGTTATTTAATAAGTTACAGTTGTAGGTGGAAACACTTAAAACCCCTCTACCGTTTTAGATTTTTTAAATATTATTTTGAAAGTGATTTCAGGGATTTTTTTTATCACATTTTCGTGGATTTTAAGTGCTACTAATGTTGTGTCTTGATCATTAATATTATAATAAATGTTCAAGTTCTAGGAAAGTTTCACAGATAACAACAGTGTGGATAACTAAACCACTTTAAATCAATAAATTAATTAGAAACACTGTACAAGTGTCACACATAAATATCTTATATGTCGTATAACTATAAAATATATAGGTACTTCCAACTCAACTGTGAATAACAAGGGATTAGTGTACTTTAATCATATATACATATATATCATATATGTACACTTACATAAGTGAATTATTTTAAACTATTAAAATAAATAATATTGTTTTTATAATTTATAAGCATTGCTATTTTGTAAAGCACTATACCTTTGGATTTCGACATTCAGAACATAATTCTTCAAGTATTCTTTGACACCTAATTTCTTTGTTTTTTAATTTATTTAACTGCTTTAACTTTTTTTTAGACAATTTCAATGGATCGTTGCAGTCTTCAATACTTCTTTTTAAATTCTATATTTGAATCGTACAATGTTTTCAAATAAATATGAATAATAAATTAAATAATACAATCACATACTTCTTTTTCATACGTTTTTGATTTATTCACTTCTTCTCTATTTTCCATTCCATTTACATTACTTTGTGGTAATGCACGAATTAATGGTTGACATAACCAAGGTGGGAAAACCAAGTTATAATCTAAAATAATATTATAGAATATCAAGGTTCTTAATATTTTTAAAATAAAATTTAATTTTAACAAAATATTTGTATACCAGTTTGATTGTTATTCCAAGGCAATTGGCCAGAATGATATGGTAAATACTTTTCTTTTAACTGCTTAACAGCGTTTCTAAAATCATCACGGTTTTGACCTTTTGCTAATATCTCCCTAACTGATTCATTTTCAGGAAGACTAAATCTAGAATAATTAAAAATAAAATACTAAATATTAATTAATAAACTACTAAAAATAATAGTTTATTCACATACAAGTGGTAGCAGAGTTTAAATAGATGACCTCTAGTATTTGAAAGCGGACAAGGATATTGTTCACTAAAATCTAAATACTCAAGTCCTGGTTCCCAAACTGGAGGTGACTGATTATCAAAAATGTATGGATTATGAAGATGTCCTTCAGCAGACATAACTCCTTCACACAAGGTTTCATCTAAACATCTTTGTACGTCTTGATGTATAAGTATATTTCCATTGGCCAACACAGGGATTTTTACATTTTCTCTAAAAAAAAAACAGAATAACAATAGTTTTAACTATTTTAAGTAAATTTAAATTTATTTTTTTATTTTTTATTCTTTATAATTTTGCCTATCTTAATGGTAATGTACTATTTTAAAATTAATCATAATATAAATTAATCACTACTTACTATGTTATAGTGAAAAAAAGAAATGATACTTATTGTTTAATATTAGTATTATGTTATATTCAAACTAAATTTACCAAACTGGCTACTACAACAAACTATTGATTATTAACCTAGACTGTTGATTTCATCAATATTCTATTTTTTAATAATTATATATGTTAAATATGTCAAGTTTAAATAGTTTTAAAGTTTAATAATTCAATGTATTTAAAAATAAATTGTAATTGCTATAGTTAAGATTCATGGACTCATATATGAGCTTGCTTAGCGGGGCCCATTATATACTATATTATATTATAACATATAGGTAAGTAATATTTTGTATTGAATAAATAATAACAATACTAATTATGCTATTTAACAAAATTAATTACAATGACATTTGTTTGGGTGTATACTTTAATTTCAGAATATATTAGAAAACCTATTCTAAAAAACATAAATTGCCCTTATTCATTTTTATCTTACTTCACAGCTTTTATTTGACTCCAATCGGCTATTCCTGTCAACCGTCCTTTTTGATCCCTTGTTCGACCATGCACGGATAACATTTCACAACCGGCTTCTTCTAACATTTTAGCATAAGCAATAGTTTTTGTTAAATCTTCAAAAATACGTATTTTACAAGAAACCGGCACTTTTAAATTTGCGTGCAATGTTTTAACTATAATATAAAATGTATTTAAATATCAATACTATATTCGATTTGTTATTAATTTATTCAGTAAGAACTTACCAATATTAGACACAAGTTTCCATTCGTCTTGAAGAAAAGAACCGTAAAATCCACGCTTAGCTATAGCTTGCGGACAACCCAAATTAAGATCAATGACATCACAACAATCTTCAACTAATTTACTAGCTTGTAGTAAAATGTTTGGATCATTACCACAAAACTTTATTACATAAAACAAATTATTTTTTTCAATTAATTTAAACATTATCGAACTTAACCAAGAATGTTTTCACTGTACTTGTACAACTAAAGGCCGATCTTCAGGACACGTAGTAAAAAATTCTTTGCGATATTTTCGATCTTGAACAAAATTATGACTATGTAACATTGGTGCAAAACACAATTGAACACCATGTTTACGTGATAACATCCGCCAAGCTAATTCACTTTGTTCTACCATTGGTGCTAAGACATATTTTGGTTTTCCAAGATTATCCCATATATTTTTTATTGGTTCCATAATTTTAACTATATAAAAAATAAAAAAATAAAACAGAATTAATCTACAGTTTTATATTAAAACAATATTTGTTTTTTTTTTTGGCAAAATAATTTCAGTCTAAGTATGTATACACTATAAACATTTTTATGTTATTTTAACAAAAGTAAATATCAATCAAATTATTTGTCTTGTCATAAAAAACTCGAATATAAAAATACTCTTAAGTAAACCATTAAAACAATTAATTTTTTTACATACATAGAAAAAAAACTTGTTTGTTACTATTTCTCCTAGATAGTAGTACCTATTTACTTACATTGGTATATTAAATATCATCATTGTTTTAATAAATTATATTTTATGAATATTTTAAAAGAAAAATGTGAAATCGATTCTGAGCGGAGTTCAGTTGATGATGATGATGTTTTGACAACAATATATGTCATTTTATAGTAAAATAATTAATTAGGCTTTATTTATTTTCTTTAATAATATTTGTTTAAATGTTGTACCGATTTTCCCAGTTTTTTTTTGTTTTTTTTCGGTTTTTCAAATTTTATAAGAAAATTGAAAAATGACTTCCCTAAAGTATTTTTTCACACCCATTTCCTTTCAAAAAAGGCGTTACACTTAAAAATCTTATCTAGTCTTCTGGTAGAAAAGTTGTACACAGATAAAAAAAAATACATACTTAGTTATATTTACCAAGAATATTTAATCAAATGTACTAGGTATGACATTATCACAATGTTTTTTTTTATTATTATTGTGTTTTTTAGACTATGTGAAATAAAATAAATGTGTGTATAATAACTTTTATTGATATTTTATCAACATTTTAGATTCTGAGTGGAGCTATAGTTTTACAAAGATGTTTATTATTACATACTATATTTCATTTTGAACACATTCATTCTATAACTTTAATGGTTATATTTGTCAATAAAATAATACCATAAATTATGGACAGATGCCATTTTTATTATGTAAAAATAAATAAAACACAATATTTGATACATTTCAAATATAATAATATACCATTATACAATACACATTTGAAAACATTTAATAATACACCTAAGTTATTTTTCTACGAAACTAACAAAAACTGTATGAGTAATTATAATTTATTAATTAATAATCTATACTTAAAAGACAAATTATACATAAAAATGCAAGAAAATCATTTATTACTAAATTATAATTGGAAAATAAATGTTAGTCATAGTTAACATTAATAATAATATCAAGTAGGAGAAAAAATTTGATAAAATGTTAGATAGACTTTAATATTAAGATTACAAGAAGAAAGTGTCAAGTTGACTTCTGAATTTTAAATTTATATAAAATAAATTCAATTTATAAATCACAATGTTTGATTTCCTATTTGTTATTTGAGTTGATAAATAAATAATGAAAAGAAATGGAAGAATTGATAAATGTTTTAGACATTCAAAACATCATTAAAAATGATTCTGTATTTTAAATGAACACAATTATTATTCATAAAATAAATACATCTGCTATGTTATTCAAATATTAAATAAAATATATGGCAAACAGCCTATTTAAAAAAACCAAAACTAAAATTTGTAGTAGAATACAAAGTTAAAAGTTTCTACACATTTTTCATTTCAATATTTGTTTGGAAATATGAAACAAATACTAAATTTCCTTTTTTAAACTTAACTAACAGTAAAAATATATAAAAAATAATAATATGAAACTCAATAATTGTTTTTGAATTGTTATAATATAATTTATAAACTTTAAATGAACATTTCCGTTTTTTTTTTTTTTTTCAAAACCTTAAACTATAGTACACATATACTATGATCACATAATATTTATTTTATATTTATATATTTAAATACCCCCACTAGGTTACTAATAATTTGTTGTTTTTAATTTATAAACAATAGTAGGTACATAGTATTATAGTAATAATCGTAATATGGACATTGGACAATTAATACAAAATATAATAGGCACTACTCAGTCATGGCTAAACATTTTAGCCGTGGACAAAGTGTTATGTAGCCACGGATTAAGTTACCTATATATTTCACACAATATTATATTAAAAAATAATAATATATAATTTATAAAAATGAAAAAATATTAAAATATGATAATTTTACACAGCTACAAACATTCGGCTCACATTATATCAACAGGCAGTTGAACCCATCGTCCTCCCACTACCGCCCCTACCGATTATATTAATAATAATAGGTACTTTTGTTTCGTGTCGTTACCAGAAGTGAATAACTTCATCGGTTCGAATTGTTAGTGATATTATTCGTCGACTTTCGTGTAAACGTCAATCATAATTATTATACTGTTACGATAAAAACGTACACGTATATACATATATATATATATACATGTGTATAAAATAGAAAATGAAAAAGTCCACGATAACGAGGTTTACGATCCCCGCCAGATATTAACTATCATTATTCATATTTTAATGCAGAGTAAGCCATTCATCAAGCAGGTATTAACAATTTTCCAAGAGTATTTTGGGCGAATTTGATTTTTGTTTTTTTTTTTTATTACTTTACCCTTAGTCCTTACACCTTAAAGGAGCATATACTTTTAATTTTATTTTCAAATAGGACCCCCCCACTCCCTTTTAATTTAGAACCTAACCTAATCTATTTGAATATAGAATATTTTTTTAAAAATGCTTATTCGAATAATATAACTAATATCAAATTTACTGTTTATGAGTTAGAACAGTTACAACATTTATACCGAGTCATAAACTTCATAATATCCATTTTTAGATGATAAATTCATAATCTTTCCCAACTCTTCCGGTTTAAACTTTAAGGTGTTATACAAACCTATATGTGGTTAATCCGATATTGGTATACAATAGGGGTCCCCAACCTTTTTAATCATCGAATACCACTTGACACTTTTATGATCAATACACGTATCACATTAATTCTAAAACTAAATTAGGAGTCAATTTTTGTTTTTTTTTAAATATGTATTTTATCATTAATTCATTTATTAATATTTTTTATTGTTTGATATTTATAAAAGTAAAAAAAAAAGTCATAATTTTTAGGTAAATTTCTTAATATTTAAATTACAATTTTTAATTTTAATGTGAAAAAAAATGTGCAAAAAAATTGCGTACCATAGGTTAGGAACCGCTGGTATAAAACATATCAACGTTTTTAGAAATATATTCTCTACTCGAATCTGTGTTAAAAAAAAGGGGGGGGGGGTTCGCTTTGAAAATCAAAAGTTTACACTTACTTATTTAAGGTATTTTATAGATTAAGGGTAAAACATTTTAAACAATGTTAAAATAAAGATTAAACGATTTTACAATTATTGGTAAGCAAATATCAAATTTACTTAAAATCCTCCGAGAAAATCGCTGGTTCGATATAATTGGATCACCCTGTTTTCTAGTAAGAGGTTCTATCTACAACACATACTACATTACGCACGTTCGCCTTTTACAAAAAAAAAAAACACACACACACTGATTTCATTAAACATAAAGGGCAAAAAAACTACTAGACATAGAAAACTCAAAACACTCCAAATAAATTGGGCTTAGACGACCAGGAAGGGGTGGATGGGCAGCCGAGAAGAGAGCCGGAGAAAAACAAACACAGTAAAATCACGCACTTTTCGAAGTGTTGTGTGGGGAAGACGTTAGCCAACTGCACGGTCTTGTTTGTGGATACCGGTTTTTCAGTTGGGGTGTCGAAGGATTGGATAAGCCCGACTCGTGGATCGGCGACAGGTTGGACGAAGACTTGGAATGTTTGATCTGCGCCGAGCCCCCTCCGACGCCCTTGACGCGCCGGTGATGCTTCCTGAGTGGTTGCTGTTCGACAAATGCTAGCACCTGACCAAGCTCCTTGAGGGTGATCTTCTGCATCGGATGGTGGCCGGCAGACTGGGACAGCGCCGGTAATGACGACAAAGGGCTCGAGTTGAACGACTTCCAGTCGCTAACCATTGACAGCTGATCGCCGCCGGCCGGTATCACACGGTTCCGGCGCACGGCGAACGGAGACGGCGGCACCTTAACGTGATGCATCATGGTGGTCCGCTCGAACACCGGCTCGGGCTTTTGGAAACAACAGCAGAAACCTTTCCGTTTGCCCAGCACGAAGAACGCGTTCCCCTGGACCCGGTTTTTCTCCAGGCAGTACCGGCATTTTGGCACATTCTGCACACGGTCGTCCGGTCTCGTCTCCAGATCCTTCATCTGCAGTATACCGCTAACGCTGCCACCGCCGCCACGTCCACTGTACGACTCAACCGTCTCCACGGCCACGATGCCGCCGCCGCCACCGTCGCTGTTTTGGTGTTCCACTGGCTGTTGCGTGCCGTTCAGGTTCGAGTGGATGCCGCAGGCCGGCCGCTTCCGTCGGCTCACCGACGATGCGGTGTTGCCATAACAGCACGTTGATCCGTACAGTCTGGTGAGCATGGAAGACTTCTTGGAGCCGATCGACAGGTTATTGGACAACGACGACGACGCGCCGTTCCTGGAATCGAACTCCGGGTACCGCCTGTAGTTCCTGATGTACTCGTACGTGGTGATACCCAACGCGGATATGTACACGTGGAACACGCACAAGTGCATAAGCAGCACCATTGCGATTAAGGCCAGAGCGCATTGTACCGAAGCAATGGCCACGAACATGTTTCTGTCGACCGGCATGCGGTTGACGCTAAACAACTGGTTCGTTTGGACGGTCCGGTTGAAGGACAATGTCCTGAGGTAGCGGTCGACGCGCGTAGAGTCCGTATTGTAGAGCAGCAGCTCGGCGGCCGCTAACACCACAATGAAGAGACAGGCGAGCACGGCCGACACGACGCTCACGATGAAAGCCACGTAGTTCCTGGCACCGATACAGTGGTTTAGCCACTTGCAGTGGTGATCGAACTTCTCCACGCACTTATTACACGATCCGCAGTGCTTGGTTCGTTGGCCGGATGTGTAGATGTTGCACAAGTGACACTTACCGTTCTCGATGACGTGCGCATGTTTGCTCTTGTCCAGCTCCGGTACGTTTTTTGTTCCGTCGTCCTGATGGAGTGCACGGAGTTGCGGGTCCGCAGGGTCGATAAGCAGCGCGGCCACGTGCGAAACGACGTGCAAGAAGAACAGGCTGCCCAACACGAATAGCGCTATTGGGTAGAGATTGGGCCCGAGACCGGGCAACAGAATGCCGAATGAACAGGCTCCGAACGTAGCCAACACCAACCAACCAACCACTTGCTGCGGGTGCCACGGCATCTGCAGCCCGTTGGTCCGCCGCTGTTTCCTCCGGGTTTCGCTGTGGCACAACGTCATGGCTCGCGCATCGTACGACTCCTGTCCACAGTGGTGTCAACGAAGCAGGCGATTTTCCGACTCGTTCGATGACGACCCGACCGTACAATTGCTCGCCACGGACGTCGGCCGGCCGGACGTGGTTTCCGCGAAAATAAGAAAATAAATACTACGGTCATCAGAACGCGGGCGCACGGCGCGCACAGATCACCGGGCTAACGCTCGCGTCACGGGACGCTATTGTTTCAGGGTCGACTACGTCCCACGTATTATGCGAAACGACTGAACACAAAGGCTCGGGACGGACGCATATCGCATTGGCATGACGGCGGCAGTTGCGCGTCGTCGTCGGAGGGCGCGATAATACCAAGTACCGAGGGAGACGACGTCGCAGAGGGGGCGGAATGTGCCGCGCTTACGCAGAGGCCAACCCCCTTTGAGCGACGTTCATGCGCGCCGCGTCGTATCGATTAATCGCCGCCCTCGCACATCTCGAAACGTGCGCCTCCGCACACGCCGCCGCGTGCTACACGGCCAAAGTTTTTTGAACGTCACCGAGTCGGCGGCCACGATAATTGTACACCGCAACAACCTACTCCAAAAACCTATTTTCACTCTACATACGAATAATAATAATTAATCAACGTCGATTCGCATACATTCGCCAGACTACGAAAAAAAATCGTAACGAAATTCGAGTTGTTGTAGTCGAGTACCGGCGCCGTGTTTAGTATACTTGTGTACTACTTTTAAAATATTATAATAGACGGATTATTAATAAATTATTTTATAAATTACATTCGTGTTAAAACGACGAATGACGACTTCCTGACACAAAAAGCATGAAATTCTAATCCCCACCCCGTCCAATTAAAACAGTCAATACACTTTAAAAATTTAACTAGTACACAGATACATTTATATGACCGTACAAAACACTGAGTAGGTTAGGTCAGTTTAAGGGTAAACCTGCAGATTTTACTTTCTATAAAACTTATAATTTCTGACTATCGCGTACCCACCGGTATGGTACATGTAACCTATATGTATTGTAGTACTTAATGATATTTAATTTTTAAGTATACAAAACGCGACATTAAGTACTACGTGGTTTTTCCTCTTCGTCTTTATTTCACCCATTACTCATTTTATCGTCATTTCTCCGTCTACTCCAACGATTAGAAATACTGTTAAAATCTGTTTTAACATTTCTACAGAATTATAATAAATTTAAATTAAAAAAGACTTTATAGATAGTCGACAAACTATTCAGCAGTAGCCCGTCAAACTTAAACGTATAGGTAACCACATTTTGGTAGTTTTGAACGGTTTATTACGATCATCCATAATTAATAAAGATTTATACCTAATTCAGGTCTAAATAGTATAACATTTAACTATGTTAACATAACTTGCCAATTAAATATTTCAGAAAATATTGCTCTAGATATGATGTGCATACACAACGACCTAAAATTAACGACTGACGAAGTTTTAGACGAATTAAGTGATACAAAGCGAAAATTAAATTTTATGTTGTAATTTTAAAATTAAACTTTAACTTTATTATTTATTAAAACGTAGGTACATTCATTTAGATAAGTAAAAAAAAAACCGAACATACTTCGCACGATGGGTGGGCCACTGTTGTAAGTGAGAAATTAGGAAGGAAGGCCATATAGGGGAATTTAATGTATATCTGTACTCAACGATTAATCTTTGCTCACGAAAAACGATTCTGAGCGGAATTCGGTTATACGTGTTGGGAAAGACCGTAATATTTATGATTTTCGTTAAAATTTAGTATTAAAATTCTTTTAAAAAAAAAAATCTTCACTACACTCAGAATCTAAAATGTAAAAATCATGACAAAGAAAATAAGTTTTAAAAAAATTTTTTTTGTGAAAAAAAATAATATTGTTTGAAGCTGTTTTTTTCTGTTTCAATCTGCCTACAAGTTTGCTTAGTCTTGATACTACTACAAATAATAAACATAATCTATAGTTTTCTTTTACTTTACATTTAAAAACTATAACAGGTGTGCCCATTAATAAATTATAAGGTACTGCTTGGATATACAGTCTACAATCTTATATGAAGACTGCTTATCTGAGCAGCAATAACTGGGTCCAACGGTAATGATTATTCAAATATCTCTTGTAAAAGATAAAATTGGTCAGATAAAATTTGCAGGTAAACATGATACCTATGTAATATATTTTGTTTTTCCAACTTAATTTATCATTACTAAAAAATAAAATTATTGATTTACAACTGTGTGATACACTTATAGTATGTCTGTATTTAGTAAGGTTGTTAGTTACCTATAAGCTGTAGTTAATAGTAATGTATCATTTGTATTATACAATTAAAAAATGTTTATTTGACTATCACCAAGAATGAAGAGAATGCCATTGCGTTTTTATGGGAGCACCATTTATAAAACACTGCCTGTGAAACATGTTCAATGTGACAATATGTATTGTGAGTATGTGAAGATAAATGAGGCCAGATTTGCTAGAAAGAGGAAATACAAGTGTTGAAAGTTACTTAATGGTGATCAGCCCCTTCATCGCAGGACAGAGACTTTGAAGTACACAACAATTGAAACCATAGTTAAAGAGTGGATGGACCTTGGATTTTTGGACTTAAAAATGGTTCTGGCCGCCAATATATTTATATACTTTGAATATACAATACACTTTGAATAACACATTGCTTCCAATTATTGTGGGAGAGTGTGAAACTTGCTCTGTTATTCACTTTAACAAGCGGGTGACTAATAGATGTTTTAATAATAGTAAATATATTCATAAAACTGTTAATCATCAGTAAAAACTATGTTGATTCTTCATCACTTAAAGCATAAAGAGATCATAACTAGATGGGAAAACAAAATTCATGAAAACGATGAAAGGCACAACCACACAACTGCTTCAAATCCCATCTAGATAATTATTGTTAGAAGGTTGCTAGGAAAGAAGAATCTGAATTATTCATTGTATTTCTATGGGACATTTTTTAAGGTTTTCATTATTTTTAAACTAAACGTTCAGATGACGCTAATACTCAAATATTGTAGTTAGTAGTATTATTTTTAATATTTTTAATCTTACTTAATTGTAATAAATTATGAAACATAGCATATTTACATACATATTGTAATACAGAAAAACTTCCACTAACAGTCACCTTTATGTAACAGTCTTTTTTTTTTGTCCCATCAAGTGTTATGTCTTTATAATACACCTCTAAAGGATGGTCACTTCTAAAGAGCAGTCATTATTTCCAGTCCCTTCAGTGACCGTTATATGAAAGTTTTACAGTATTATATTATGCAGTCTACATATTATTATATAACCCGCATATTAGAACAGAAACATATCAGTAGGTAAGCTACATGTTCGAGCAGCACCAATTATAATACAAATATTTTATAGTACCTATATATTATATTAATTATCTATTATTGAGACTGTTAATAAACTTATAGGTACTTTATTTACCAAAATAAAAGAAACAATTTAACAAGTTACACATATAAAGTTAATGATTATTAGTTATGCATTTCATTCATATAGTTACATACTTACAAGGTTAAGTTATTATTAAAATTACTGTTAAATAATGTACAAATACCTACCTACGAATTAAAGGTAAACTAGTAAGTACATTTCATTAAAGCTACTATAAACAAAAACAGTAAATAAAATTGACTTTAAAATTATATCGAACTTAACCCAGTCGAATTTATTAGAACATTTAAACCTATATTTTGGGTAAATAAATTTGCTATAATATTTTGGTTTATTTAAAAAGGAAGATAATTTGTTATTAGGTAGGTATCAGTATACGTACTCAATAAAATTATTTTTGCAGTAAATTCAACAATGAAAAATTTAAATTAGAACCTAATCATAATCTAAATCTCACCAACATAATTCTTATGAATCACTGTAAATCATTAAAGGCAAGGAAGCATACATTATATAAATAAAAACAAAACCTATACAATTTAATTTCTCATAATATACCGAACTAATAAAATAATAGTGATAAATGAAACATAGAGCCATCAAGTTTGTGATTTCATTTATATAATTTGCATTACCTATCTATTTTTAATGTGTTATATTAATATGTATGTATAGTAACAAAAATGTAAATAAAGTACCTATATTTAAAACCTATCCAATTATATAATACTTACACAACAACTAATTTATTAACTGCCAATAATTGTACAAAAAAAAAAATAAAATGTTAAATATAAAATAAAAGTTATAGTTTTCAATGAAAGCGATGGTCAGATGTAAATAGTGTAAGTTCGATACATACCAATTAATGAATAATTATTTTCTGATTTCATGTTTTGATGTACATACCTATTCAATAATCATAAATATGATCCAAACAATGTGTAAATATTTTAATGGTTACTTATAATACCAAGCAAACTAGACAAACACTGACAATTATTAACTATTATTTAGACAAATAGAAATATTTATTACAGTTGTTAAAATTTTTTAAAATAAACAAACTATTCATCAACATTCTACAATTTATTGACCACTTTTATGAAGTTGTATCTTATATGATTGAACATATTTTCTATTTCACATGATTACACGAGTTCGTACTTGATAACAATGATAACGACAACCAAGCTAAAACCACTATTAGAATGATTACACGATGAGTAAAGTGATAGTAATTTAGTGTCCCACGAATGTTTTCAAAATGCTTAAGAAGTCTGTGACGGAGCTTTTTTAATGAGTAGTCTAGTAGATTGCTGCATATAATGTTACGTTCTAGTAAATTAATCAATTATTATCGATTAATATCGAATAAATTTTCCTCGTAAAACTGACAAATTTATGGTGTTATGATTTAATTATTTTAAATTGGTACATTTTGATTTCTACCAGAAATATTGCTCTAATCAAAAACCGACAACAAACATTTTTTGTTGCATTTTGGGTCTAGTTAGTAAATAAAAGTTGTTTCTTGATTTTCCGTGTAGTTTTCTTAACAATTTAGCAACTGTGCGGAAAATGGGTCATCCCCTAAAAAAATGTTTTCAAAATACGCTATACCCTCTCATAGATACAACTAGGGGGTCTTCAGCACACCAAAAAAATCCAATAAGATTTTTCAAAGTAACGACTTAATATTTTATCAATGTATTTCATAATTAATGGGCAGAACAAAATACAGATTTCTACAGAAAATACAAACCTACCTATGTGTATGAAAAATAATGTTATAATAGTTAAGATAAATTTGTATACAAAAAATTTTAAATATTACATCTAGTTGCCTATTTTAAGAGTTATGCAAAGGGGATTGTAGAGGCATAGCCTCCATAAGTCTTTGATGTGTCCACAATTTTAGTAGTCCCAAATTTGGTGGTTTAGTTGCGATTATTTACAGCTACCATAGTTTTTTATTTTATTTACAATTAGTAAATTCATAAGCCATGTGATGTTCTTTTTTGTTATGCAAAATATCCATATTTCTGAAGTACAAATAAGTATAAATGCAACTACTTCCAAACACCATTGATGATTTAAAGATGATTCTGGATCTTGGAAATACTTTGATTGAAAGAGAATGAAACGCTTCTCATTTATAAATGCCAATACATATTCTTTCAAGGGTGAGATATAATTATTAAAAACTAAGTGGGAACAATCAATTTAATTTAAATTTTAGATTCTGAGAGTAGCAAAGAATGTACCTATATAGAATGAAGTTTTTTTTTTTTTATACTGTGACAAAAATTTCTACCAGAAATCTTGCTTCAATATGTAAGTGTAACACCTTTTTTGAAAGAAAATATTGTCATATTGTCTAGATGGTACTTTAGGTAGGCATTTTTTTGATTTTCCAACCAGTTTTTATAATATCAGGAAAACCCAGGATAAAACGTAAGAAAAGCCGAAAAATGTACGAAAATAATGATTTTATTATTTTTAATTTTGTTTTTTGTTATAATTCAGTTAAAAATATTCGTAGAGACTTAAAACTTGGACAGAAAACTTGTATTTTCTTGACATGGTAAAATTGTTGAGCAATTTATAGACATTTTAATTTTGCGAATTTTATACGGAATTCTATTCGGTAGGTACTTAGTACCAAACAGAAATGTTTAAGAATTTTTACACGAGGTTCATTAAAATCGTACTTTGTGGTAAAAAAAAATTTGATCAGAGGCTAAACTGACTTATTACTATTAAATATTCATCAAAATGAAAACATAATTATAGAAAATATTGTTGATCAAACCGCTTGTAAACCACTGCTTAAAATAAAAGTATATTGGACTTAGTTATCTAAGTTTTATTAATTATTATTTTTTTTATTCATGTTCTCATTATTTTAATTATTATTTATTTAATGTGAAAAAAATGAATTTAACTTTTTAACTGTACCGCATTTGAACAATATATCTGCAGTCTTCTAAGCTAATACAAGTTAAAATGATATCAGACATAAAGGTTTTAAGTATTTTTTTTACCAAAGCAGTGGTATTTACGAATAAAAATGGTTCAACCCCCCCCCCTCAATGTCATTGCCCCGAAGACGCCCCTGAGCAATACTATTAACCGAGTTCCCTGCTCAGAATCGTTTTTTTTGTTGGCAATACTTAAATTTGCTTAGGTACAGATATACATTAAATTTCCCTCAATATCCTACCTTCCCAACTTCTCATATATAAAAGTGGTCTATCCATCGTGCGAGGTATGTTCGTCTTTTTTTCTTATCAATCATTAATATCAAATTTTATTATTTTGCTCCCCCCCATAGCCAAGGTCTGGAGACACCCTTGATTGTAAAAAATTATGAAAAACATTTGTCCCCTAATTAAACCTACTAACAAATTTTTCCAGCCATTCGCCATTAATTTATTGTCATCTTTATAAATGTCATCATTAAAGTTCAGTCTAGAATAATTATTTGTTCTGTCGATTAGCATAGCTACACATTTTAATAAATAAAATAATTTAAAATTAAAGACATCTAATTAAAATTTAAATAATACCTATATACCTATAAATATATTAAATCCACCTACTACGGCGTAGTATCAATGCTTTGGGTCGTTGTACTGTAATATGGGCGGGGGAGGGAGGAGAAATACAGAGTTAAAAAATATACTTAAAATATCACTATAAAAACCTGCAAGAATGTGCTCGGTACACCTACATCGTTTTTTGCAAGTTGAACGGGTAGTGCGATTAAATTTGAACACATTTGCATCATATTCCAAGTATCAAGAGTCCGCAATGGGCAATGGCGAAATGGACGCGGTTTTTGGTAATTTCACTGCTTAATATGAAAATAATTTAAAATTAGTACCCATTTACTACTTAATTAGTAAAAATAGGTGATAATATTGTGATATATTGGGAAAATTGGGATCAATATTTTGTTAGTAGATAATATAAACTGTAAAAATTTAAAATAATGAAATCGTAGCCTTTCAGAAAAGTGCTATATTCTATATTTCTGAGTAAGTTTTCTGGTAGAAAAGTTGTTCACAGTCACGAAAAAAAAAGAAGAAAAATACATACATCGTATAGTAAAACCAATAGATCACTCGCTATGCTCAGAATCTAAAACACAATATAAGTACCTAATACAAATGATTTTTCTTTTTCTTAAGAGAAAGAGAGGACTATTAAGGCATTTAATCTTAAATAGAAAATAGTTTAAATAAAAATAGACTAGTCATGTCTTGTTATGTGTAATTAAACCTAATTAGAAGAGAGGATTGAATGCATCCGTGCTATAGTACATTCCTACATTATCATTGCTTCCGGTTTTCCGCTATGGACTTTATAAAAAAAGAAAATTTAGAAAAGATAAATTTTTTGAAAAACGTAAAATAATTCTTATCCGTTCAATACATAAATAGTAATTTATAACTATTTTGCGTGTTTTGGTGAATCAATAAAGATTTGGACGAAATATTTAAATCAAATTTTAACTCTTTTTATTCTGATTAAAATCTGAAAAAAATATTTATTCCAAAAAAAAGTGCATCACGCAAAGGGTAGCTTTATAAATCATCAGAGTATATTACTATGATTAATTTTAGGGCGTATCCTTACACTGTTCAAGGTAAATTATTAATGAAGACTATAATCAAACCTTCATAAAACCTTATAGGCACCTACCTACAATTTTACCTTATACAGAGAATTTCATTTATTGAGCATTTATTTTATCTGTTTTTTATCATAACATTTGGAATAGATGTAGCTGTATGTATTTGTATATTATATAATATATACATACTTTCGGTAAATAATAATAACAATTTTATATTTTTTAACGTGCTGCATATAAAATATCTGGCATTTATAAAATATTTTTTCTTTAGCATTCCTAAAGAAAATAATCATCTATAAAAAATTAGATAATTATATGATATTCATGTATAGTTGTATAATTATTAGAAAAAAAACACATTTAACAGTTTGCATATTACGAGTTATAGCACTTTAAAAGGACGTTGTACCCGCATATGCTATCTCCGTCTTACAACTTCACGTCATAGTAAATTTTGGTTCAGTAGGAATAACTCTTTACTATTAGTAGGTGTAGGTATAACATTAAAGTGAATTAATCCATTATCAAACTTAAAGATAAGAATATAATTTGTGTCATGTTTTTTTTTCTCATAATTTAAATTTTTAATCGTGATATGAGTGTGTAAAATATCACAACTTAAAAATACTCACTATTTCGCTCGGAAATTAAAAAGCGAAAAAAAAACGACGACACGACATAGATAATGTTTTTATCTTTAAGTTTGATATTAGGACAATTCTCTAATATTAAAACTAACAGTACACAGTTATCACGGTTGAACGAAAATAAATGCTATATCGCGCGTTGTAAGATGGAAACAGCACATATGGATATAATGACTATAACGTCCTATTAAATAAAATACGTTGGTATAATTGCTATTAATATCGAATTTTATTTACTATAAGATACTTATTGACAACTTTCTTTTTATTTCTAATACCCATTAGGTACCTATAAAATAAAGACAAATTTAAGTAAACATATTTTATTATAATATAAGATTAATTAGATCTATATGATAGTAGGTGTATGATAAAGTTTAATATTAATTATTTAACTTACTAGTTACTATAGAATAAGTAAATATATGCAATATAATATTATTGTAACTTATAAAAACTGTACAAGTGTACCTACGCCAACTTAGTTATACATATAATTACAAACAAAATACAAAATGCATACATTTATACCTATATATAATATAAATATTTTATACACTATACAGTATATTTGCATAATAGACAGATATATAGACTCTAATAGTTAAATTTAATATAGATAAGTATATAAAATACTGTATGTACACGATATATTACATATATTTTATGTTTAATTTTATATTATTTTAATATTTTCAAAATAAGTGAATAATTAGTCTTGATTGACTAGTAAAAATGAAACAAACAAATACCTGCCTACGTTTCAAATTTAATGAATTAGTAGAGGGTGTGATTTGTGATTGACACGACTAATTTAAATCTTACAGCACGTAAACTGCAGTATATTATATAAACTTATTTCCCCCGATTTTTAACTCAGTTTTACAGTGATTAACAACAAAAATTATTTACGATAACTATTTTAAAATATTGTCAAAAGGAGAGTTTTACAATTGATTTCTATAGCAAATCATATGAAATCCTTAAAGTTGTATTATATTGTAAATTAAAAAATAAAGTTCATATATATATATCAATAAGATATCGATGATAACTATAGATATTCTAAAGTGAAACCTACTGCTGACGTCTACTGACCAGAATTATTGGAAGTGTTTTTTGTTAGTTTATCATTATCATCAGTAGTAGTTGCACATTGAAGACCTCTCGAATAACCCATTTGAAATGCTTTTCTCTCTAGCCCTTTAGCTAAACCTTCTTGATATGCCCGTTCTTCGATTTTTTTGAGATAATTCAACAATCCGCCAACTTCAGAAGTAGATGGTTGACTAGTTGATGTAATCGTTTCAGCTATTCTTGGGTTAAATTTTGTTTTAAATCTCCTATACGCATAATGCCTTGATGATCTTATGGTTTTAGTTGATAATATTTCGTTTACACTAAACCTTTTGAAATGAAGAACCAGCTCTGATCGTAGTGTATGAGGACACATATCAATAGGGACCACACGAAGCGGAAGAAATGGATCAGTATCTATTGGTGTTTGCCAATATCTAACAACGGAAGAAAAATCCAGCAAATTCTTTAAAGGTAATTTGTGATTAGAACAAACGTATATTAAATTCATAGCTTCTTTAAATTTACGAAGAATCCTGACCAATCCAGTACCTTTAAAAACATAAATGTGTTATTAATATAATACTATTTACACAAATCTCAATAAAACAAATTAAATCCACAATATTATTCAATTCACTTACTGACTCCTGTTAACGGGGGGTCCATTATCACAGTTACATTACATCCTTTCAGTTTTTCTAGAACTGAGTCCAAAATATCTTCGGTTCTAGCAGCTATAAATTCACAATTATGTATTCCATTTTTCTCAGCATTTCTTTTTGCGTCTAGTATATTGGCTTTGATCAACTCAATTCCCACAACTTGTTTACATTTCTATATGGTATAAGTATTTAGTTTTTATGTAAATTAAATGGTATATATTAATTTAAAAATACCTGCGTACATTTACAGAATTTCATAACAAATTAAAATATTTAAAATTCCTAAAATAACAAAATAAAGTAGATTTAAGGGGCCGGTGACAGTGTATTCTTGGTTCAAAAATAAGCTTTATGGTAAAAACTGGCATGTCTTGTAGAGTGGTCCGATTTCAATGATTTTTTTGTTGGAAAGATGAAGACGTCTTACAAGTCACATTGAACTCTATTTTTAATATTTTAATCACAAATTCTATAGCATGTTTTTTAAAAACTTTTTCTGCCAAAAGTTCAATGCGAACTGTAGAATATTTTTTGTTTATCAATTAAAAGCAAGTTGGAAAAAAAAATTGTATGTTAACAATGAGTTATTCTTATTTCTGTAAAATAATTTTCGTGAGTGAGTTAAATGGGTATTGTTAAATGGGTAGTAATTGAAATTTTAAATTTTTTTAAATTTTTCAAATGGGAGACAATTTGAAAAACCGACACCGGGCCTCTTAATTACTTTAATACATAAACAGAAAACAATAAATTATTTTCACCTTTGCCAGTGTGAGAGCCAAACAACCAGATCCACAGAACAAATCCAAAACTGTAGTGTTCTCGTTTACATCGGCAAGATCAGCAACTACTTTACATAATTCTTCGGCGCCTAAACTGTTCAAACGAAAATATGTAGCCGGAGAAATTTCCAATGATAAGTTTAATAATTTTTCTATAATGTACTTTTGCCCCCATAATAATTCGGCTTCGACCGAAGTGCCGATGCAATCACTCAAAGCCCTATTATAAATACAAAATATGTTATTCACGTGTAAAAGGGCATTTTAAATTTTAATAAACCATGCTTCTAAACATCTCTATATTATATAAGAACATGGATTTATTTTTCTATTGATCTTTTATAGATATCTAATTTATATTTACGATATCTATTGTACCTACTAAATTAATTCGCATTATACATGTAAGTAGATACACAAAATGAACTCACTTTTCGCCATGAACTTGAAAATATAATGATACTACGTTTTCAGTTATATTATTTTTAAACCATTCAATTATTGAACTTTTAATACTAGATAGTTTTTCAATATCTGATTGATGTTGGTTAATAACTATCGAAACCATGACTTCTCCGTCTTCGTTCATACGAATTATCATATTACGCCATATTCTCCAATCCTCAGTGTGATTTTTTACGAAATCTTCAAATTTCTAATAAAAATAACGGAACGTACATTATATAAGTGCAAAAATATAAACACGCATTAATAATACTTGTAGTTCATAGTAGCAAAAAAATAAAAAAGAAGATTTAACGCCATTAAACATTAAAACATAAAATATGTTTAATTGGTATAAATAGAAAATATCCTTTAAAATATTAACAAAAATAATTGTAATGATGATGGATCTGAACATTTCCGAAGTAGCTGAAAGTGATGGAAACATAATATGTCTATAAATATCTAGTTCAATAATTTCAGATTATTGAAATAAATCTATAAAAAAAATGTGTTCAATATTTATTACACTACCTTTGCTAACGTGATCATTGATATCGGCAAATTTCTTAGGCAATCTGGTGGGCCGACATAGTGGATTCCGTCCATCGAATCTTTCACTCTTAGCCCAACGGCCACTGAATCGCTCTCGGGATTAATTCCTGTATACATTTTAAACCCAGTCCGATGGGTATTACTATAAAATTAAAACCCATTCCTTTGGGCTATCTGTTTGGGTGGCTGATTGAGTGTATGTTCTGTCGGTCTGTTATAGAGACCGGCACAAAACAATTTAAGTAGGTAGGTACCATATTTTTTGTGCTTTGTGTACCTATTCCGCCTTAGTACCGTACGCGTCTAAATAACTGACAATTTGTTATTACTCACCTACGCTCCATTCGCATTTGTTCCGGTATCGGTCGATCTTTTGCGACGGTATTATTGGTGAGAGTTCGAACGCTAAATCACTGTTCAACTGTCGTTTACGCAATGCGCACCAATCGGCTAAAGGTGGTTGTTTTCGTTGAATTATAGTCCCAAACCGTTGAAACAATATCCTTGCTTCTTCGCTTTTTTTTCTTAACTATTTAAAACAAAATAAATTAAATAAGGTAATACATACGTTAAATAGATAGGTAGATAAAATAGATTCAAAAGACATTTATATATCGCTCTTGATACAAGTTCGCCTCAAAAATGCAACATGCAAGTTGTTATTAACAGAATCATCGCAAAGTAAAAAAAAAAAAAAAATGCTTATACATTTTCTACTTACTTGTTCTTCGTAGTCAATGCTATGATAGGGAATTGTAGACATCAAAACCTGTTCACTGAGTGGTATGTCTAATTTGGGCTTTTTGGCCACATAATTCCCTTCAAAATCATATGATAATTGTATATTCATTTTTGGCGTGTCAGCTGTAACCAACTAATGTATACATTTGTTAGGTTTTAATTATTATACCCAGGGGAGCAGATAAGCGATATAAAGCTTTGGATGTTGGGCAATCATCTGGTGATTCACATTGACAAACACGGATTTGTAATATTATTATTTAAAAGCAAAAATAATATACTTATTACTTATATACTTCATAATTTATAAATATTATAATATTTATAATTATCTACTTTATTTTACGGAGAGAAAAGTTTACTTGTAATATATTAAGCAGAAAACAATTCCTACTGGACTTTATTTGGTTTAATAATAGATTTAACATTTATAAGATATTTACTACATAAAATTCAAGTACCTATATTTATACCCTCACCAAAAACAAAGATTTTAAACATTTATTGAGTGAGTACTTTAACGATAAATATGATATGGGTAAATCTACTAAGTACTAACCCAAAATAGTAAATTAAGATTTTATATTAAAATTTGAAACACATAAACCACTAAAATTTGTATTAAATTGATCAAAATATATTTAATGTAGTGAAATAAAATTTAATTATAATATTAAATATTTTGGACGTATAACTAGTATAATATACTAAACAAAATTGCTGGTAGAAAAGTTGTTCACAGGACAAAAAGGCCGCAATATTTTACTACACATTCGTAAATATTTCAATGTTTTTACCAGTTTTTGAATAAATTAAAAAAACTTCTGAGATATTCAAATAATGACTTCCTTAAAGTACCACCCCAGTCAGATTTCCCTTCAGAAAAAGTGCTATACACTTGTAAATCGGAGCAATATTTCTGATAGAAAAGTTGTTCACAGATAAAAAAAAAAAATTAAACATCATTATAAAACCATAAGCTTCTTCCCTCCACAGTCAACTCAAAATCTAAAAGTTTTATTTTATTCAGGGTGTTATGAAACATGCGTATTTATAATCAGGATTAAGAAATCCGCATTTAAGAAAATGATGTATTTACTGTAAAACTTATATTATCCATTTTATCCACGCCCTAATGATATTTGGGTATACATGGTATATATGGTTATATATGAGTATTATGATATACGTATTTTATCAAACTAAAATAAAAAGAATAAAAAGCAATATTTGTTAATATCGTAGTCATTAAATTTATTATCGATACATTTTTCAATAGATAAGTAGGTAATCACTTAAAATATAATATTATACTTAACCAAAATCGATTTTATTAAAATTATAGTGTTCCATATTATTTTGTTGTCTATAATGTAATAAACCTATATTTATATAATATTATGTTCTAGGTGCGATTTATCAGGTTTTACTAAATAATCTATATAAAAAATATATATACTCGCTATAAATTATTACCCGTGTTAAGTTAAAATATCACCAAAATTTCACAGAACTTTTATATATTCTCCTCCTCCCCCCCCCCAAAAAAAAGCTCCACATATATAAATAAAAAAGATAAAAATAACATTAGGTACGTAAAAGTAGATTTTTCTCTCTGATTTCAATCTTATACAACGAATGAATAAACTACTAATATATATTGTATACTAACCGTACTGATTAATGAACGACCTTTCCAGTTATATTTTTTTAATAATTTCAAAGCAATCCCCTGTTCAGATTCGGTTGGAAATGTGAGGTACAACCACGCATTTCCTTTTTTACTGTACCTTGCATGTATGCAATTCAGTTTTAGATCTTCGTTGATCATTTTCAAAAATTCTTGTAGCAATGGATCCTAAAAATAATTTTCCATAACATTAATGCATGTTTACCATAACGTAATTTGGAAGGTTTAGAAGAATTTAGTTCCTTTCCAATACCTATCCCTCACACCTATAAAGGCACGTGATTTGTAACAAATGAAATAATTTTTTAATAATTATTTAAAATCGTATAATGTATGAAAATGTTAAAACTGATAAGTTTTTTTTTCAACTTATTATCAATAAAACTTATACTAACTGCGGCCACAGAAATAATCTGAGACCCTGAGATACAGTTGTATGCTAAATATTATCATAATGTAGTTATCAGCTACGAACTATTTACATTTGTGATTAAAGTTATCTAAGGATTACAATACAATCTTATTTCATAGTATTGCCTATTGGTGATTATTATTTTATTTTCCCTTTTTGTAGAAACTATGTAACATTGATGTTGTAACGCTTAAATTCGAAATGTTGGATATAAAAACTGGATTTTTATATAAATAAAACGATGTTGGTTTAAAATATTTGAAAAAATAATTATCGGATAAATCTGTCTGACAAAATGCATATACTCATTTTAACAAGTGGCGTTTACTGTTCCCGCCAGTTCAGTTCAGTCGCAATGCGAAGAACTAAAACATGTCTTAGATCTTTTAAGCATAAGTCAGATTTTCAAATCGTTCATTAATACATTTAGAAAGGGATATGTCTAATAATATTTCTACACAATATATTTTAGATAAATTTACAAAAAAGGGGACTATGTTTTCTTTTTTAAATAAAAAACAAATATTAATTTAAATTTATTAATATTGTTGTTTTAGCTGTTTGAAAATATGATAATCTTTTATTTTATTGGGGACGGATGTGTGGAGTAAAAACCAATATACCTTTTATCTGGAGAGGTGTGAATAATATTCATATGAATCAATAAATTTGTCCAACCATCCTCCCAATTAAAAAATTGAAACTGCACCATGTAATGTAAGGTAGACCTACTACTATTGATAATACAATTTGTATGTACCTACTTGTATAGTAAATACTGTCACGATTATCGTCAAATTTAATACACGTATTATAAAATACTTTTTAGTTTTAAGATTTTGATATTTATATTAAATAGGTGTAAAACAATTTTAAAATTCTGTTTGTGTGGAATTATTATAATATGAAGCAATGTGGTATTTATAGAATTTAAAATGTTTTATGTTTACGAAGTTTTATAATAATCTACATGCTTGGTATATTTTAAATCTATATAGTAACTCAAATATGATCTATAGAAACCGAGTAATATAGGTTTCAAATTACTTTTATATTATAGGTACATCGATTCTAGATAAAAATCAATAAAATATTATCATTAAAACTATAACAAAATTATATTCAACTATAATAGGTTTATATATATAATAAGAAAAACTATTTAATATTTTAATCGTTATAGTAATTTGTTATGTATGCGGATAATGATGACTTTATATTTTAAAGATACTATGTTTTTCCTATTATCCTAATAAAATAGTCAATCTAACGAATTAATACGTGTACGGAAAAAAAAATAACTTACCAATAACGAATAAAATCTAGGGAGACCGCTAACTTTTATTTTATACCGCACTTTATCCGAACTTACAGGTGTTGATACATTCATTTTAAAATTTAGTTCAACTAATAATAATTTATGCACCAAGAGTTAAATTTACACTACACGATTATTACACCACTGCTTATGATTTCCGTTAGTAATGTTCCATGGGACGTAGCTGAATGATTAATAAATTATTGCTTTGTTGGAGTAATAGCCTCTATGACCCCCGTGTTGATAAAAAAATAAAAATTGTCTAATAAGAAAGATAAGATAGTGTTCTATACAGTTACTTTGGTCGATGAGTTCCTATTTGAAATACGTATACGGTATATAGTATACTTATACTATAAAAGGCGAATACTTGTGAGCTTTAAAATTACGCGTAAAAAATGCGTAGAATACTACAATAATTGTATTTATTATTAAGTTCAGAAAAAAAAAATACAAATTATTTAACCTTGATCGCAGATATATAATATGTAAATAAAAATCTCAAATAATTATTTACAGCTGTAAAACAATTATGTATTGTATTGCGTTTTATATTTACTTCCCTACAGTTTTCCTTGAGAAAATTTAATTTAAATTTGTAAGTAGGTATCTATACCTATATAAACTATATGATTGTGCCTGTATGGTTATTAATGCGTGTATGCATATTATTATGTTAGGTTTAAGTACCTAATATATTCATAATAAAACGTATCTGCTATTATTTAAATTATTTTCAATAATAACAATAATAATTAATGATTTCACTATCAATAAATTATCTACTTATTACACTATAGTTTCGTGTTTGGTTAACTTTATGACACTATGAATTTACATTTTTAAATGTCATGAGATATTGAATTTCGGTGTTGGTGCCTATGTACGTCATAGGCATAAAACATTTTTAACAACGTTGAAATTTGAAACTTTAAACTGCAGCTGTAAATAAGAAAGATATAGGTGATAGATATACCTAATACTACTACTCGTATATTTAAATTATACATTCGAGGTGACTCCGTATTTATTCGAAATCAAATTAATTAGTTTCATAAAAAAAAAGTCAGTACAACCTTTTTAAAGAGGTCAAATATATAACTTATAATTAAAAAAATAAACGTCAATATTTTGTACTAAATGATAAAATGTATTAATTATAGATTTATTAAACCTATAATTATAATATAAGGCACTATAAATTATACACAGAGTGCAACAGAATGGAAATATTATATAATTTTATTTTAAAACAATTTCTAGTATTATTAAAAAGGTAATTACTATTAAAATTAAATTACTTTTCAGTTTAAGTAGCACTATAAATATATTACATTAATGTTCCCCTGAAACTACAATAGGTACGTCTATGCATTATACCCACTAACCTGCAGCCTGCAGGGGTTATCTGCTGGTCGATCGCAATCGTGTTCTTATCGGTTCGTACCTACCTATATAACCTACCTTTAGTTTAAAAAGTAATAAATCACTATAGTGGATTTAGTAAAAAATGTTGTACAAGCCTACCAACCAAGGGCGTATAGAAGAGGGTTAAAGAGTTCAACACCCTATCCTCCCAGAAATTTAAATAAAAATGTTATGTATGTTTTTATAGAGTAACGAAACATGAGTAGTTTAACCTTAAAAACCTTAAACCCACCCTAAAATATTTGTTTGCGTACACGCCTGCTGTTATCCATCAATATATTATGTTTCTATGAGTAGGTTAGCGTTAGCCAGGAGGTAAACATTATATAAATTGATAATATCGAAAATTCGTAGTAACTTAATAACTATAACTTATCGATAAGAAGAAAATTGTACTTATTTTTTATTTATTATGTTCGTGTTTATCAGTATAGAAGTTGTAAATTATGTTTATTTATACAAAACTAATTATTGTAATAATACAGAAATTAGTAATCTATTAGATAAATTCACACGTGTAACTAGATTTGATAAATGTTTAATATTTTTTCAAACGATGGCGACGGTTCTATGAATATAGAAATTATAACATAATAATATTAAGTATTGTTTACTGGTTAACGACCTAAGTTGTTTGCAAATTTCTCTATACCTACTTATTATAAATAAAACCCATACCTTATATACTTATTAATACAAAATGTAAACTATGACTACCTTGTCGAAATCATTTATACACCGCCACTTCAAGAAGGCGTATTATTAAAAATTGCGAATTTCTTTGTGCAATAAAATTAACTTTGTATATTTTAATATTATTTTTTATTTATTCATTATTATATACGTAGCTAATAATTAATATACGAGTATATTATTCACCTATATATATGCATACAGGGTAATTCACTAAATTGAAAACAGTCATTATATCGGAAAGATTTTATTTTTTCGGAATTCTTTTTTTAAAACTTTGAAACAAATAGTTCAAAAATTTTACACCATCATTTTTTTCACCCTTATTTTTGGGGGTGAAACGACTATTTACTTTTGATTTCCAAATTACAACTTATTTTGAAAATGCCTTAAATGGATGGAGCATCAGTTAAAATTTTTATTTCTGTCATTCCGCTGAAGAGATATTCTTATATACTTTTAAATTTAGGTTGAGGGAGAATATTCAATAACGCCACGCCTCATGCCACACAAATGATACTTCACTAATTTCCTCCGAATCAAAATTAAAAGTGGAATATCTCGTTAACGGATTGACAAAAATTGATCAAGAAATGAATCAAACTAAGAGTTTAAAGCAGCTAAGAGTAAATTGTAGAGTGAACTAGGGGGAGAGAAGAGCCTCTATCGCCCATCTGGGTCCGTCACTGATATATATGTTACGGTGAATGTTGTAAAATCGGTTTACGTCGTTATGATTACACTTTAACCTATTTTGTGCTGTTTGTTTTAATATTGGAGTGTATTGGCCTTATTGTTATTAACTAACATAAGGATAAGCATATTGTTTGTGTTTGTACGTAGGTTTTTCTCGAAATTTTAATTTTTAATTTAGATTCAACAATTTTTAAATTATAATATTTCAGATGTTTGTAACTCACTTGAAAATTAAAACACTGAGAAAAAACCGACGTACAAAGATAGACAATGTTCTTACCTTTAACTTTGATAATAGGCTCATACATTCTCGTATTAAAACTAACAGCACACAATTGATTTTTACATTTAAAAAGTATAATTATAACGACATTAACCAATTTTATAACACTAACCGTAACATATATATAATACGTAGACTATATAATTTATTTACCATGACTCGTTTAACCCATGAGAATATTATATTTCTATAAAACGTAATTTGGATGAGAAATGTATATTTTCCAAAACACCGCGGTTAAGTACGCCATGAAATAAGCGGTCGAACCGTCATAGTGTGACACAGACCTTATCTATACATTTATTCCGGGTTCTTCCTATTATTATGAAAACCCCTTAGAAAATCAAAAAAATTATCTCGTCTATGCACCAACAAGATAATATTTCCTTTCCAAAAAAATGCTACACTTGATACATCGGAGCAAGATTTCTGGTAGAAATTTTTTACACGGTATAAAAAAAAATAACCATTATTATAAAACCAATACATACCTCGCTATGCTCCGAATGTAAAATATACCTACATACGTACATTTTCAAGATATCATCTAAAAGGGTAATAATCATCTGATCAACATTTACATATAAATATTTATTGGTAGGTAATTTTAATAAGCAATGGGTGGGTACCTACTTATTTTAGTTTTTAGTAATATTAGATTGATTGATTGATTATATGATTAATTAATTACCGAAGTACCTATACATTATGCAATTTTGACGGAATTGAGTATAGGTAGAAGGTTAATTTCGTAATATCTAATATTCTAATATAAATATTTAACCAAAAAATGCATTTTGTTCAATAACTAATGATTTTAATCAATATTTATTGAATAAGGAACTTCCGTGAACTAAATAAAATGAAGCCATAATAAATTGTTAATTGAATTTTAACTGAAAATAACTGTATATGTTATTTCTGTTATTTATTGTTATTTTTTTTTTGGTATCGTTTTGATTATGAACCTAACATTTAACTCGCAACAGGTAGGTATTATTTTAATAAATATTAACCTGTTGCTGCCACGGGTTTTTAATGCATTATCTTAAATGCTATGAACACAAAAAATTGTATATACTTGACATTACCATTTAATTTTTGAGTACACAAATTTGTACCTAAGAAGTTAAGACAGCATTTGGCTTTTTTGCTCCATGTAGACAAATACGTAGTACGTATACACATTACATAGAATCCCTATTCCTATCCCTATAAGGATATTGTTATCGTATATTGTATCAAGCATAAAATAAGTTACCAATTAGTATTAATACGATTTGTATTAATTTTTAGCGTTTTCGGGTGGTGGGTGAGAATAAGGTTACTTAGTGATAGACAAGAATTCAATAAAAAAAATGATGCAATTTCACAATAATTTACATCTAATTATACTTTTAATACCTATACTAGGTAGGTACATATTTTACAATTTACATTAATAATATCTTAATTTATCTATAAACATTTCTCAGCAAGTAATGGTAGTTAGATATTTAATAATAAAGTAAATAATTATTATTCACGCATTCACAGATTATGTACTGATAATAAGCCATCATTTGACTGAAAATATAATTTAATTATATAGGTACCAACATACCTACCTATATTGTTAATGAGAAAATCATTCTTAAAATACTCAATAATTTACAATTTAATGAGCCCATGCATTTTCCGAAATGTTGGTATTATACATTTATGGCAAGTAAAATAAGGACTAATCGAGTACCTATGCGAAAATCTATGTTTTATATACCTAAAGGTATCTACCTAATATTATAGGTAAACAAAATATTTGATAGTAACAATAGGTATTATGGGTTATTGTAACATAATTTGTGTTGATACTTGTATTTTTTGAATATGTAGAGAATAGATAATTGATATTCGTTTACGTAATATGTAAATATATTATGAATTAATTTTAATTAACTATTATTTGAATGAACATACAAAATTTAGAAATGTGAATGCGGGTTATGAAAATTCATAATGCTTTTCTTTTTACAAAACAAAATGGTCAGTCTAACTACATAAATGTTGCATTGATTTAATTTCCTAAAGAGATAAAACACAATCGAATGAATAATTATTAATTTTTTAATATTTTTTTTTTTTTATAAATTATAATGTTATCATTTACTGTACAAATGTATACAATTATAACATTAAATTATATTTTGTACCTGTATTTTCGTATGCCTTATGATCTATGGTATTAGCGTATACATTTGTTACATCGGTTATGGCTTTTGTGATTTTTATTAGACACAACAACTACTGAATGCGATAATTTAGACAAGGGTCAATTGTCAAAGGTTTTTAAATGTATTAATGCAATAATTTAAAATGTTTGTTCGAATACATTAGGTACCTACTACAATATTGTCATGGTACTGGACGGATTTTTTTTTCTGTTCGACAACAGTGGTCATGAACATTGAACATGTTATTGAAAACATATTGCTGCAATTAACACTTTAAATCACATTATATTGTTTTTTTTTTTTTTTTTTTGATATGTACCTAGTCTTTAATAACCTACATTAAAAGGTGATAAAATATTTATGGTATTATAATATAATAATCGTTAAGTGATAACCTATTGATAATATTATTATACATTATACCAGTATATTACTAACCTGCTACGGTAGGTATAGTATTTAGAATTGGTGTCATCTATAATCTAGATAAAATAAAAATCTAGGAATAATGTTATAAATAAAAAATTATACTTGAACAATAAGCATCGTTTTCACTTTTTAAGATCATAATATAAGTAGTAGGTGAAAATAAATTTGATATAGAAAATGTTGAGAGTTTTTTACGTAATTTTTATTTGATAGGTACCTACTTTGTGGATAAAATTGTTTGAATAGACATAAATGCTTGAAAATTTGACAGTTAACAATATAAATCGTACATAATAGTGGTAAAAAAAAAAAATAGAATATACGTAATAATGTAATTTTTTTTTCTTTTTATAAGAATTTTAAAATCAAATTTTGACGAAAATCGTAAATATTACGGTCTTTCAAAACACGTATAGTATAACCAAACTTCGTTCCAAATCGTTTTTCGTTAGCAATGGTTTATTGTTGGTTACAGGTATAAATTAAATAACTTTATGTTTACCACCTTTTTAACTACCCACTAACATCATCGGTAGCTGTAATCGTCCCCAGTACTAGCTCTTTTTTATTTTATTATTATTGAAAAAATAGAATATTTTAATACTTTTCTTCCTACTCAATTAATTTATGTTTATATTTAAAATACCTAAAGATACTAAGATGAATTAAAATACGTTTTTGAATATTGTAGGTATTTATCATGAAAGAGTATTAATATGTTATAGTTGAAAAATAAAATTTTATATGGAAATTTATTAATTTTGTTCTTTATGTGGTACATGATCAAAGCAAGCGGTTTTACTTCCTATTGAATTTTCAATATTCGTTTTGCATTCCGTGAAAAAATATGAAATGAAGCCCCTGAAAATAACCTAATAATAACCTAAAATAGTGATTTTCAATATTTCCATAGTACAATAAGAAAAACGTATGATAAACATTGTATGACAATTTCGAATATTTTTTAGAAATCTTAAAAGTTATATCTTTATAAAAATAAATAAACACTAAAAAACCTAGAAAATTTTAAATGGTTATAAATAGCTAATAACTAGCCATACTGTTTTGAACATCTAGCAAAATTTAATAAAACCAATTAGCAAAGATTTCACATACCACTACGATTTTTAAAACTGAATTACAACGTAAAAAACAAACTGAAGCCACTTAAGCCATTACATAAAATGTGTTATTCCGACGTTGTCTCTCAGTTTTTCCAAAATATTAAAAAAAAACTACAAGGAAAATCAAAAAATGACTTTCTAAATGCATTCACTAGACTAATTATTCTATCAGAAACCATCTCTAAAGTTAATGATCAGAGCCAGATTTCTGATAGAAAAGTTAAAATGAAAATACAAATCCTCATCGTTATATGCTTAAAATAAAAAAAAAGTACTCAAGACGCATTATTTAGTAAAAACCAATAACGTTCCTCGATACGCTTATAATTTAATAAATAATATTAAGGGAAGGAAGGTGCATGTGATCCCAGTGCCTCCCTCATTAATAGAACTAAAACTTATAACTTGACAGAAAAGTAAATTAGAAAGTAAACAAGATAAAGAATCAAATGCATGATTGCTGTGTTCTGTTCAAAAATAATCTAGTCATTCGTTCGATTATTCGTAGTTTAAATGGCATTTAAAAAATCTCCATTTGTTGTTGTACGTTATTACCACGCGTTGCCATGGTGAATATATGTCCACAGGCAACAACAAAAGTAATACCTATCCACTAGGTAGGTACAATAGCAGGTATTTTCACTGTAATGTTATGAAATCTTACAAAATACGTATGAAATTTGTTAACTCAACTTAAATCCGTTGTTAATTTTAAATGAATTAATTTATTCAAATAAATAAATAAATATGGGAGACATTAGAGAAAACTTTATCACGAGAACGGCAGGTAATTTAGAATAATATTATAAGCTACCCAATTTTAATTTTTTTGTATATGTATCTACGTACATTTAGGGAATTATTTTGGACTAGATACAATTGATGAAAAAAATATTTTAAAATCAGGTACTGAATACCTAAATGCATTTTTGAATTCATCTAATTGTTGTACGTTATACATAAAAAGTACGGACACAAATACACTCGAGGCAATTGAGAAAATTGTAAGTGAAACAAAAACACTATGATTTGTTAATTGCATAGGTATTATTGTATCGGAATTTAGAATTATAAAATTTTATTAATAATTACACTAATTTATTATATGACAACCGTGTTCTATTTATTTCTAGACTTTTCAAAAAGATCAAAATCATAAAATAATAGTATTTTATAAAATACGACCAGAAAGTATAACGGAGCAAAATTTACACTCTATTATATGCGTATATTCCATGTTGGCTTCTCCAACAGAAGCTCTCTATCATAGCTTACATTACATATACGCACCATCGCTTTTAAAAGTAATTTTAAATATATTTTTATTATGCGTATTATATACTATTTACGAGATTTTTATCAATATTTTAACTATTCATAGGATACAGAATCAGAAACAAAACTAGACCCAAAATTGCAATGTCTTATTTCAGATCTAGAGATGAGCCTAAAAACAACCATTTTTAAGTCATCATTTAATCAATCAAATAATTTAATAGAATCACATTTAGGAGGTAATTATTTAACAAAAATTTATATTATATAAACCACAGCCATAAATATCAACACTATTTATTCATTTTTGTAGCTATTTTGGATATTGAGGACGAAGCAGATTATTGGTCTGTAGTTAAAAAACATACAAAGAATAAAGCAGAGTTAATAGCAGCTGAAAAAATGTGTTCATTATTTATTCCAGTAGCAAAACAACTAAAGTACCCAATATTTGATTAAATCAATTAATAAACAACTATTTTATTACTAAAACAATTTATTTAGAGAATCAAATATTCAAGACTTGGAAGAATGCTTAGAAAACATTTATAATTGTTTTGATGATGTATGGAAAATTGAAGAAATTAAATATCCTCAATCTAGAATGGAACACTTATTTGAAGTTATTGGAAACGGTATAATCAAATTAATACAACGAACAACAAATAATATGAATATTTGGACTGGGGATTCAAATGAAAACATCGACATTTTGAAATTGTGTAAAACAACTTGTAATAAATGGATTAAAACCTGTGAACAGCTAACTGTACTGTACTGGCCCAATTATTCATATCATAAATGGATGGGCCCAAAATACTTGCCGGAAAATTTAATTTTGTTTTCAAATCATATAGAAGAAGTTTGTATTTAACAAAATAGTTAATTCGTTTTTATTATTAAATATTTTATTGATCTTAGATAATATCAATTTTATGTGTCAACTATCAAATGATAAAATTGTTAACTGTCTATGAACAAGAAAAGTTAAGAACAGCAGAAAATTTGAAATCATTTATTGGTAAGAATTCAAAGTTCTTTAATACGTTTATTTATTAATCGTGTATACAAATAATTACAATTTTATTTTAAGAATTTAATGATGTAAGCCAATTAAATAAGTATACAAAAGAAACGTGGACGACAGCTGTTGACAAATTTGAACAGAAATTACAACCAGCCGAAGATTTAATTGCTGGAAAACTTCGAAATTTGATTAATCGTAAAAAATCAAACACAGTTGAAGTAAGAAATTATGTTTTTTTTTTTTTTTTGGTCACTCCAATTTGTAGTAGATCAATAATTGGGTTTTTCAACAGCTAATTCACGAATTTATTCGTTATCAAGAAATAATAGAAAGACCTAAAATATATGCTCAGCTTAAAGGAGAATTGGAAAATTTCTTAAATTGTTTAAAAAAGATTATTGGCGCAATGGGTGATGTTGATGGAGAATATACACACAAAATTAATGTACTAGAATTAGCTGGTTTAGAACCAATTATAAGAAATTTATATTCATTAAAACAACAGGAAGCTAAGGTAGGTACTATATAACATTAAAATAATAGGTATTGAAAACTTATATTAGGTGCTATTATTTTTGTAGTTATATTTAATTGAAATAATATTATATGTTAATTTTAGTTGAACGATATCGAAAAAGTTAGCAACCGTATACTTGTACATTTAAATGATTATCTACAACTAAAAGAAACAATAACAATCCAAAAAAAAAACATAAGCAGTATGATTACGGATACTTATAATAATTGGATCAAAGACAGAAAATCTGCGATCCAAAATAAAAGTTTTAGGTAGGTTTAAATGTTATAAATACAAAACGTTAACACTAATATTAACATTTTGTAATTAAATATTTCGTCGGCTTAGAATTAAAAGAATGTATCAATCAAAAAGAGATTTTTGTTTTTAATGTACATTAATCAATTTTTTAAAACAATTTTTATTAACCATTTTACTAGAAATGTATATTTAATTTTAAAAAAATATTTTGCCTTTCTTGAAAAAGTTGCATTTAGTTGAAACGTACTTTTAATTCTAAGCTGATAATTTGTTACTGTTAGTTAAAAAGTAATTATAAAATATAACTACTCAAATGCATATATTTTAGTTTTTATATATACCTATATTTATTGCTTACCATAGATATTACCCACTTAACCATAAAAACATAAACTAAAGTTTCTATTTTAAATAAATATTATCGATTAACATTGTTTTACTTAATCATTGATTTTATAATATACCTATATAAAGTTTTAAAATAATTATACTCGAATAATTGTCAATGGGATTCCTTTTTTTTCATGCATACAACACTTATGATAGGCTTTAACACATGGAATAAACAAGTGTTCAAAACTTAATTACAGCCTTAAAATAAACACTTGAAAAAAAAATTTAAAAAAAATAAAAAAACCTTTTAAAAAGAATTCTTTTAAACTATCAAAATAAACAAAAAAAAATACCCCATTCAAATTTCATTTTTGAACTCTTAGCATGTCATTCATTTTGATAGCACTCGGCTAGACATAATGAAATGCCCGAAAAAAAGCAAATGTTATTAGTACAGAACTCTTTCTATGTGTCATGGTTATTATCTTTAAATATAAATTTAAAAAAACGCACAAGATTAGCTGATTATCCTTACAGTTAAGATAAACATAAAAATATATATATACACTATACATAATATTATTAACATAATCAGTGATGGATTTAAGGGGAGGGGTCCAGGGTATTTGGACCCCCTCAAACACTGATAATTTCAATAAAAACATATCTAAAAAAGGCATCTATTTTTAGATACTTTTGAAATACATATAATTTATCAGTACCCCTCTTAGAAAAATGTTGAAAATTCGTTATTAAACATAATATAGGTACTCATATGGATACTAACATTTAATCAAAATGACAAATAATAAAATTATTCATAGTATAACTGTCCAATTAACTTATTTAAAGGTTGAATTCTGATGAGTCTGTAATCTACTTTCAATCTGATAAACTTATGAAAGTTAATTTTAATCCAGATATAGAACTATTAATAAGAGAAGTAAAAATGTTAAAAATTCTTGGCTACAATATTCCCCCGGAAATAGAAAATGTATCGGAAACAGGCAGTAAATTTCTACGCCAAGCAAAATCTCTTGAACAAGTACAATTCTATACTTTACATATATATAAAAAATGATTACAATCAAAATAAATTCAATTACAGATAGCTTCATTCCACAATACAATAGGAGATCGAATGATTCCATCCCAAAGACCGATGATGTTATCATCAGCAGTTGAGTTGTTAAATTTGGTCAAACGACAAAAATCAGTTAAGTGGTCCGATATTCGTTCTGTTAATACCTATATACTTGAAATGCGAAAAATTATGGAAAAGATATCAGTTGAAAATCAATCATTAGCCAATTATCATCAAGTAATATCTAATAAGGTAGGTAAAATATTTTTGTTGGTACCTACTGGCTACCTATATTTTTGCAGTTATTACAATAGGTCCAGTGCAAGAACCTGGTATTTCTATAAATTAAAATTGTTCAGGAGGCACAAAAATGTAAATAATTCAATTTCTAATAAAGATATAAAAATTTTAAAAATATATATAAGTTTTCCATATGAAGTTTTAACTATACATATACCTAGTCCATTACATGTCATTTTATATATTATATAGTAATATCTAATAATATACATATAATCTATATACAGAGTGATTTTTGTATCAAGAACCAGCAATTTTCTTGGGGGATTTTAAGTGAATTTGATTTCTGTTTTTTAATCATTATGGAATTGATTAAACTTTATTTTTTATCCCAACTCCATATACTTTAAATAAGTATATACTTTTGTTTTTCAAATAAGAAACATACAATATATACAATTATACAAATAGGGTAACGTTATCATGCAATTTATTACTCTTCCCTAATCCTCTAGTCTTAACTTTAAATAGTTATAACTCATAAACGGTAAATCTGATATTAATTTTATGCATATCAAAATGTCTAGAGAAATATTCTCTACTCAAACCTGTGTTCAAAAAATGGGGGTTCTTATTTTAAAAATAAATATATCTACTTATTTAGGTATGTAGGTACCTACATGGAGTAGGAGTAAAAAATTAAAAATGGTTTTGAAATAAAGCTTAACCAATTTCATAATGATTAAAAAAAAACAGAAATCAAATTCACTTTAAATTATCTGAGAAAATCTTACACTGTTAGTAAAATTATTTTATTCACAATATACAGTGATTTATATACCACGAAATGAATATTGAAGGTCAAGGTTTTACAATTAGGATTTTATTTTTAACCAAATTTAAAGTCCTTTTTGTTCAAACATATTATAATAACTATATATATTGTAATAGCTTAAAATTTAATAAAAAACCAAAAACAAAAATAAATATTTCAAAAAGTTTATTTAGTAAATTAATGGATTGTGATAAACAAAAATTACTCAATATAATTTATTTTTTATGTTAATAAAATTATATATTTTTTAGATTATCAATCTTATGAGTATAGATATTTTACAAGATCAATATCAATGGAAGCTTGGATTAAAAATAATAAGAGATATTGTAAGACAAGTCGAGGAAAAGGTAATACAATGTGTAAATTTACGTTTATATATTTACTAACTTTATTTACATAAAAACTCAATTATTTTTTAAGTTCTCAAATTGTGAAGCATGGAAAACACATTTGGATTATCAATTGTACAAAGCTTTAAACCATAGATATCAAATTGGACTCGAAGCTTTAAATCAACATTTACCTGATTTTAAAATAGAAATTGTTTATAGGTAATTAACTAAAATAAATACATTTAAATTTAAAAATATTTATAATGTATATTAAATATGGTATTAGGCAGCGACAACTTAAGTTTTCCCCTCCAATAGAAGAGATACGAATGAAATATTTTTCTCAGCTAAAAAAATTTATATCTATGCCAATTGGCTTTCATGGTATAGTTGATTCATCTAATTCTATATTTGTATCCATTGTAGATCGGTATGTAAAATTAATAATTTTGTAATTAAACTAATGAGTTTTTTTTTTCTTTTTAATGAGATTTGTTTACATTTTTTATAAGCAATGCTCCTAAATTTACACAATTATTCTCAAGAGCCGAACATTTATTTGAAAAACTAGAAGATATTTTAAAAGAATGGGAAAGTAGAGTTGCACTCGGATCAATTGATATGGAGAAAATGATTCAAGAAACTATTAAAACAGCACACGACTGGGAAGTCAATTTTAGATCATCAAAATCATGGGGCCAACAAATAGCTAAATTCAACTGGTTTGTTTTCTATTTCTATATGAAAATAGTATACTTTATTTATATATTTTTTCACTGTAGTGCTGAGTTGAATGTTGAATGTTTTATTGTGAGTACTGCAGCTGTGCGTTTAGAGTTAGAAACACATAATCGCCGATATTGGGATACTTTGTCAACTTTTTTGCATTCTTCAATTTTATTTGATATTGCCAATTTAAACAAATTTATCGAGGAATCAAACAACACTCTTCAAAAACAGTCCTCATCAGCAAAAGAAGTGAACAACAATCATCAAAAAATTGTTGATGCGTCAAATGAAGTAAAATAGTTCTTGATTTTAAATTGACACAAATTTAAATTATTTTATTTTAGATGAATCTTCTAGTTTTAGAAATGATAAAAAAACAAAAGGTTTTATCAAATTGGACAAATGAAAAAGTAGATAAAATGAATAAAGCATTATCTGACTGGGAAAACTTTAAAAATGTCCTAGAAAATCATCAAATGATTATGAAACAACAGATAGAAAATATGAAAAGCAATTTAACTACAGAAATGCAAAAAGTTTTGACTATGTTCGATACCTTCCATTCGAGATGGCAACAATACAAACCAAAAGGGTTTGAAGATGAAAATAACTCTAAATTAAAAAAAGTGGTCGATTTTTTAAAAAATAGCCGTGCTGAATGGAATATGTTAAAAGAACAAAAAGAAAAAATAGTGTACGATTATCAAAATGTTATTCACAATATAATGTTTTTTTTAGAATTTATAAATTAATTTGTATAACCCATACTTTTTAATTATATTAAATGATTGGTATAAAATGTAAACAGTACCAATGCAAATGTATTTTCTCACTTTAGGAACGATTGTAAAGATGCTTACATTGATATACTAGACTTCAGTATGTATGACTTAATAGAGAATGATATGGAGTATTTGGAAAACATATGGGGAGTATATGAGGGATTTAATTCAGGTTAAAATACATGAACAAAATTAATACAAAATAAAGTAAAAATAACTTTAAATACAATTTTCAGATTTGCAGACCATTGGACAAGAAGAATGGCTCGGATTTCGCAGTAAAGCATATAAAAAAATGATAGATTTTATTTTAAATTGGGAAGAAAAATTAAAAGAAACACCTGTATCTCCATTGACGATTAAAATACATAATGAATTAGAATCGCTTAGGGTAATTGATCATATAAAATGTATTGTTAAATAAGCAGCTACCTATTTGTTATGATATATTGGTTTTAGGCTTTTTCGCTTTGCATTAAATATGTTCAAGGTGAAACTTTTACTGAAAAACATTGGATAGAAATGTTTTCAATTATTGGAATTTCATATAAACACATTGAACAGTTAAAATTTGAAGATTTTATTTTAGTAAAAGACAGTATTAAAGGAAAGCAAACTAGTTTACAGGTAAAATAATAAAAGGTTAACATCAAAATAAGGATTGAAAAATAATAATGTTTGATAATAATTAATAGGAATTGAATACCAAGGCAGCTAGTGAAATTACAATCAGACAAGCACTATCTGAATTAGAAATTTGGGAATTTGAAACAAATTTTTCTACTATAAATCATATTGATTCTAAAGGCCAGACCATTCGTATCATTAGTGACTTTAAAACTATATTAAATTCAGTAATTAAATACATTACATTTATATTTTTCTAAATTAACAATGCAAATCGTTTAACTCTATAAATACATATATATTTTATAAAGTAATTATAAATTATACTTCATTGTATTTTTTTTTAATATAGATTGGAGAAAAACAATGTTTGTTACAATCAATAAAAAATACTTCAAATGATGAACAATTTTTAGATAAATCAAGTATATGGGAAGGTAAATTAATGGAACTTGATACTTATTTAAGGCAATTTTCTCATATACAAAGAAAGTGAGTTAATTAAAAATTTACATTTAAAAAACGTATTATTGATATTTTATTGATTTTTCATATTATGATAGATGGCTGTATTTAGATCCAATATTTGGAAGTGGTGCATTAAAAATTGATAAAGAAGTTAAATTAAGGTTTGATAGAGTAGATAGAGATTTTAAATATATATTACAGCAATCATTAGACTCAAAAATGTTACAATTTTTGAAAATAAATAACATAAAAAATTTATTAGAATCTATGCTTAATTTATTAGCAACAACAAAAAAAAGTTTAAACAATTTTCTTGAGGTGAATATATTTTGTGTTTACTTTATACTGAATTAATTAATACTAAATGTATATTACATATATTGTATAATGTAAAGGATAAACGCAGTAGTTTTCCAAGATTTTACTTTTTAAGTGATGAAGATTTACTAGAAATGATTGGGCAAACCCAAAAAGTTTCAGTTGTGCAAGCACATCTTAAAAAATTATTTATTGGTGTACAAAATGTTCAATTTGATTCATCTGGAAATATAATTGCAATAGAATCGCCACAAAATGAAGTCGTAAATCTTATTAAGCCTGTACAAGTTTCTAACCAAATTGAGGTAGGTATTGTACTAGTGTGAGATATTCAAATATTATTTTTAGTATCAAATAAAATGTAAATCAATTTGTATTTAATATTTTTGCCTAGTAGCATATAAGTTCAATTTCATGATAAAGTTGTTTTACAAAAACGTAAGTTTAAACCATGAAAACAAAAATAAAAAGATAAAAAATATCAAGAATTTTTGTAATATTACTTAAATACCTACTTACCAAATTCTGATTTATAATAAGATAAATACTACAAAAAATGCATTTGTACTTTTAAATTTTAAATTAATTAATTAAGTTGTATTTGTTTTTTACAAATTAATAATTATGAAAATTAAAATGATTTTACAGTAATTTAAATTAATTAATTTTACAGGAATGGCTTCAATTGCTTGTTCAAGAAATAACAAGTACACTAAAAATATGTTTTATAAACTGTCTCAAAGAACCAGATCCATTAAAATATCCTTCACAAATCTTATGCATGGTAAACGAAGTTCTTTTCTGTTCAAGATGTGAAGAAGGAATAAAAAAACGACAATTAGAACAGTTGCAAAAGTCTCTTAAAGTAATTAAATTATAGCTTCAATAAAAAGTTTACAAAAGTAAATAAATTGTTCTTATCATAAAAACCAACTTTGAATATATACAAATATATTGTTTAAGAAATTAATATTATAAGTACTTATACTATTATGACTTATTTCAGAATCAATTGGAAACCTACACAACATTAAATATTGAAAGTACTATTAGTGGAGAAAATGTATTACATTTAAAAATAAAAGGCTTAATTTTAGATACAATACATCATCTTAGTGTAGTAGATGAACTCATTAAATCACGGATATCATCTATTGATGATTGGGAATGGCAAAAAAGAATAAGGTTATTAATATCTACATAGTTACATTTTATTGGTTTAGAATTAATGTGTTAACATAATAACATTTAAAAGGTTTTATTCACATACTGGAGGTGAAATAAGTATTAAAATGGTGGATTCAGAATTTTGGTATTCGTATGAATACCAAGGAATTTCACCTAAATTAGTCCACACTCCACTCACAGATAACTGTTATTTAACCCTTACTCAAGTAAGAAAAATTAAAAGTATATTTAAAACTTATAATTGAATTAATTATGTAATCATAATATTTACTAGGCAATGAGTATGGGATTTGGAGGAAATCCGTATGGACCAGCTGGTACCGGAAAAACGGAATCAGTCAAAGCCCTTGGATATCTCTTTGGTCGTCAAGTATTAGTTTTTAATTGTGATGAAGGCATTGATATCAAGTCTTTGACACGAATTTTAATTGGTTTGGCAAGATGTGGCGCCTGGGGTTGTTTTGATGAATTTAACCGCCTAGAAGATTCCACATTATCAATGATATCAACTAAAATACATCCAATACAGGAAGCGATTAAAAATAAAGAAACTAGTTTTATTTTAGATAACCAAAAGGTTAAATAAAAAAATTTTTATTAAACTTACAAAATACCATTTAGTTTAATTTGAGAATCAAATTAATCTAATTTGATTAATATAAATATATTTCAGATCAATATAAATTTAAATGCAGGAATATTTGTTACATTAAATCCAGCAGGACAAGGTTATGGAGGTAGAAATAAATTACCTGACAACCTTAAACAACTTTTTAGACCTGTGGTTATGAGTAAACCAGATCAAACTATAATAGCTAATGTATCACTTCATGCTGAAGGCTTTAAACACCCAGAAACTTTATCTAAAAAACTAGTAGAGACATTTGATTCAGCCAAGTAATATTTATTACTAAATTATTTTAAAATATTACTTTTAGTTATAATATCAACCTTTTTAGGCAATTATTAAGTAATCAACAACATTATGATTGGGGTCTTCGAGCTTTGAAGACAGTTATTGGTTTTTGTGGTACAATTTTAAAAGCTTCACCTACATTAAAATTACTTTCCGAAGAATGTTCAGTGGCTGTTCAAGCATTGGAATTAAATACAATATCAAAACTAACATTTGAAGACAGCATATTGTTCAAATCACTTATTTCAGATATATTTCCAGAAGTAAAAGTAACAAATAGCCCTCAAATATATGAAAAATTAATTCAAAAAATACGGAAAGCAGCTGAAGACTTGGATTTACAATTAAATCAAAGACAAGTAAATTATTGATTTAGTTTAAAAATGTACCCAACATATACTTATACATTTATATTGTTTTAGGAACAAAAATGTATTGAACTTTACGAACAGCTACAACAACGTATGGGAGTAGTGGTAATGGGACCACCATTAACTGGAAAAACCACCATTATTCAACTCTTATCCCAGGTAAAGAATATTTAAAAGCATTATTTTTTTTCCTTTTTTTCTTATAAAATAGCTCTTTAACGAAGTATACATTTTAGGCTTTAACTACAAATAACAATATAAAAATTCATAAAATAAACCCAAAAGCTCAAACGAGGTCACAACTTTTAGGAAAAGTTGATTTAGACACACGTCAATGGATCGATGGAATTATCAGCAAAGCTGCTCAACAAGCATATTCAGAAAACTCTGGTAAAATAATATTAATCCACAAAGTCGCGAATCCTCTAAATGAAAACCATGTTTTCGATTTTATTATAATTTGTCTATACAATATGTATATGTGTTACTACACAATATTAATTACCCTCTAGTCTCTACCAAAACATTATACAACACACTTCAGAACATTAAGTCATTATACCTAATGATGGTATAAGTTTATAACACTTATAACTTATAATATAGCTTCCAAATTTTTTTTTTTTATGACTTCAGCGCTGATAACATTAAAATTCTTTAATTTAATATTTTATAAATAATAATTGAATCTAATTTTTCAATAAAAAAACACCCAACCTGTTTAAAGAAAAATAATTGCACCAATAACAAATTTAAAAAATCAAATCATCTTAAGGTGTTGAATTAAAATTAACTTTTAAGATTGTCAAGAACTATAAATTTCAAATTAAATTGTGAATTATAGATATTATTTCTTGGATAATATTTGATGGAGATGTGGATCCCGAATGGATAGAATCACTAAATTCAGTTTTAGATGATAATAGATTATTGACATTACCATCTGGTTGGAGAATACAATTTGGAAACAATGTGAATTTCATTTTTGAAACTCATTCTCTAAGATACGCATCTCCTGCAACTGTATCAAGAATGGGTATAATTCTTCTAAGGTAATATAATTCATACTCGATTCAGAATCTAACTAATTGGTTTTTAATATACAGTGAAGAAGATGTAAGCATAAATAATGTAATCGATTCATGGATAAAAATATTTCCTAATAGTCATATTATAAATGACTATGAAGTTCAATTACACAAAGGTAAATTTAACTTAATACATGGTTTGTACTTATGGATAATGTAAATGTTAATAAATAATTTAAAGCACTCAAATGGCTGCAAATGAATATACAGTTAGTATGTCAGTGTTCTATGATATCGACAGTAAAAAACGCCTTAAACCTATTTCATGATGTCAAATCAAAATCTCATTTTATCATTTGTTTACTTAATGGATTAGGAGCCAATTTAACAACATTTCATAGAAACAAATTTTCGAAAATGGTAAAACAACTTAACTTAACAAACAACTATATGATGTAACTTACTACAAAATATCTACAATAGGTTTTCGAAATGTTTGGAGAGTATGTACCAGAAACTGATACAAAATATTATTGTTATAACCAATCAAGAAATAATATAGAAACTTACAATTTAGTAGATACAGACAATTTATTTGGAACTAAAATTGGTGATTTAATTGTAACACCGAGAATAGCAAATGCTACTGATATTTTAGTTACATGGATACAACATAGCAGATCAATTTTTGTCGTTGGACCTTCGGCATCAGGCAAAAGGTATGCGACAATAATCACTTATAGTTAAAATTACTTTATTTAAAATTTATCGAATATTTTCCTTAGTAAAATGATATTAAAATGTACAAGTGTCTTAAGAGGAATTGAATGTGTTACAATTCATTGTAGTGCTCACACATCACCCGAACAGGTTCTATTAAAACTTGCACAGGTATTTAGATTAAAAAACAAGTATATTATACTGATAATTTATATACAATTTATTCAAATATATATAAACCATAAATTACTTATTAAATGATCCTTCCATGATTTAGATTCTTTTTTCACATATGGTTAAATAAGTTACAGTATTGTGTTATAGTATGTATTATTATTTAGGTTTGTATGATAGTTTCCAACAATAAAGGTAGAGTTTATCGTCCAAAAAGTTCAGACCGTTTAATTTTACATTTCAAGAATTTAAATAATGTTAAACCAGATAAATGGGGTACTATACCTTTAGCTGCATTTATACAACAGGTGAGAATAGAGAACTAATTCTTACTTAAATTCTTATTTCTATTAAATATTTGTTTATGTCATTTTCTATTTGTTTAAAAATAATTGGGAACATTTTTATTTTATGGGACACCTTTTTTTTTGACAATTTATTTCTTTCAAAAAGTGTGTCTTAAGGCACTAAATTCGAAAATGTTTGCCAAATTTGGACCACACTTTTATTTTGATAATTACCTATACCTATACCTAATGGAAAAGGATTAGAGCACTCTTATAATGCCTCTACCTGTCATAAGATTCGACAAATGAGGTTTTGTCATATCAATAGCCAGTGTAAAAATCTGTCAAACAGTGTGAGGAGTTCTAAACACGACTTTGGCGAATTTTATCATCTCGGATGTGCACGGGGGAAAAAAGGTGAGAAGATGTACAATGGTGCATGATGTTTGTAGATGAATAATCTTTGATAAGGAAGATCTGGAATAAGTTAAAAATATGCTTGAGGAATAGAGAGAAGAATCTGAAGGAAAGAGACTAAGGATAAATAGTAGTAAAACAAAGTATGAGTTTAAAGAAATAGGATAAGATAGCTAAAGACAATGAGTGGTGATCGGCGAGATTAAGAATTTTAAGTAGGTAGCCAGGATCATTTGTCCAATAACCAGTGACTTTTATGAGGATGTGAAACATAGGAATCAGTGTGGTTAGATAAAATAAAAAGAAACGGCAAATGGTTTATATATCAAGAAAATTCCAATGAGACTTAAAGTAATTTTAACAAAAGTGTTATGAGACTGACTATGTTTTATGGTTTGGGATGTAGTTGGATGGTAGATATAAAAATAGAACAGCGAATGAGTATATCTAACAAAGATGAAAATGCTTAGGTAGTTGAACGGACTGACTAGAGAATATAGGATAAGAAATGAGTACACATCATAAGAGGCTTTAATAATAGACATAATGAGAGAAAATTGATTTAGATGGTTTGGGCATATCACGGGGAGAGTGGAATCTGAAACAGTAAGAATTGTAATGAAAATAAATGTAAGCCGAATAAAAGTTAGAGTAAGACCAAAAGAGAGGTGGTAGGGTGCGATTGAGAATGATATGAGGGACAGCCGGTGTACCGTTTTCTTAAGTGTTAAAATTAGTACATGAATAAAAAAATTCTGTAATTTAAGGTGCCTCATAAACGAGAAATATACCAACAATAATTGTTATTTGTATACTGATATTAGCATAATATAAGTTAAGTCATTGTGAAATTAAATATTTCAGTTAATTTTTTTTGGTGGATTTTATGAGCCTACTACTTTGGAATGGATGAAAATAGACAATAATATTATAATTATTAATAGCCTAACTTCTACGGATGGAATTAATCCAAGACTTGTTTCAGCTAGTAACATTTTATACATAGAGTAAATTAAAATTCAAAACTTTATTTAATAGGCAATACAAATTAATAATTGCCATTAAAATACATTTATAGATCGCCACAAAAACATGAACTTACAAATGTTTGCTCTGAATACTTAGGAACTATGATAACCGATAAAAAAGAAATCACAAATGCAATTGTAGATTTATTAATGAAGGTATAATATTAAAAAAAATTTTAAAGTTTATCTTAAACTAAATATTATCATCATTTATTTTACTTTTAAGACTAGAGAAACACTTACATCAGTCCAGACACCTCATTATACATTCACAAATCATATTTTAATCGAGTTGTGTCAAAACTTAAGTCGATACCAATTCAATGACATCAATAATGCAGCTCAAGTAATTAAAGCAATTTCACATTTTTATATTTACCTTATTTTAGCCCTTCACATGTAAATTGAATTTCAGGTTTTATTTATGGAAGCAAATTATATTTTCAAGGACAGATTAATGAACTACGAAGATAAGAAGAAATTTGAAGGAATTATTCATGAGATTTACACAGAAAATCATTTAAATTTCAAATATGAAGGTGACAATATCAAATGATATAATAGGACTCTAACAAACCCAATCTAGTCTATGAATCAATATATTAATTTAGGTTTTTAGAAATAGGTTGCTATGTACCTAATTTTTAGTTTTAGAGTATGAAAGAATGTATTTAACTTAAAAACTTACTTGATAATCGTATGAATTTAACAAACAAAATTTAATGACATTTTACAGAAAACTAGTTAATTTTTAAAAAATTGCACTAAAAAAAATCTTACTGTATTAAGTTTAGAATTCAAATCAAACCTATTTTTAGATCGGCACCTATCTAATGCTAATCTATAGTTATTAAATCTCCATTTTATAGAAAAACTAATAAAACTACACAATTTAAAATAATCCTAATTGTCATAATAATAATAAATTCTTTTAATCTTCATAAATAAATGTATTGTATATGTTTATACATTATAGAAGTGGTTTACATATGTGAGAGAAAAATTGATCCAAAGCATATTGGTAATCTTTCGAAAGTCGACGTAGAAGAATGGAAAAAAATAATTGAAAAATGTATTATCACAAATGGTATAACAATTTATTATTAAATGTATAACTTTATAAGTAACTACTTACATAATTTAAATTGGATCCTATTTATTCTTGATAAATAAATTCAGAAACCTTGAGCCAAGATGTTGAATTAAACACAGAATTACTATATCATATAACAGCCAAATGTGAAAGAGTTTTAACAAAACCTAGAGGATGCATGTTATTAGTAGGACGTTTGGGAATAGGAAGAAACTTAGCCGTAAAAATTGTAGCGTCTAGGCATAATGCAACAGTTGTGTCACCTAAAATAAGACCAACTTTCAATTTAAACTCATTTAAAAATGATTTGAAAATGGTATAACATTAATATATTATATATTGTAAGTATAGTACTAATTTTTAATAGACTGATTTAATTAACAGATTATGCAAAGTTGTGGAATTGATAACGAAGAGATTTATTATGTTGTTGAGGAATATCATATTGTTAATAAAGAAGTACTGGACATAGTAAGTTGTTTAATAATATCTGGTGAGATAATGGGTCTTTATCAAAATGAAGAGTTAGAATCACTGTGTGCACCTCTTAAAGATCAAATGTCACAACAGAACTTCGATGATACGCCAACGCATTTCTTTACACAAAGCAAGTACCATGTTTCATATTACTAAAATAATAATTCAAATTAAATATAATTTGAAAATATGTATGATAAAAATAGTACGTATGCAATTTGAAAATGTTTATAATTAAAATTGTATACAAAGTATTTTATGGTAAAGATCGGTAATTATTGATTTCAGGAGTAAAAAATAATTTACACGTAGTTATGATTTTGGATTCTGAAAGCGAATTTTTCAATATCTGTTTAGAAAACTGTCCAGCGGTGTTAGATCATAGTAACGTCTTATGGCTTAATAGATGGGACGATAAAACTATGGATATAATACCAAAACTCATTTTCAAAAAGTTGTAACAAGAGTTTTAAAAGCAACATCCATCAATAACATTATTATTTTACTTATATTTCAGAAATAAACTAATGGATAAATTTCCTAATATTAATGAATATATTTCTAATTTTGGCAATATCCACCGAGAAGCTGAAGTTTGGATGAATACTTGCCCTCGACGTTATATATCATTTATACAAACGTTTAGCGTTTTGTTGTTGAATAAACACGAATCAATTAATGAAAGAATGGCACATTTAAAAGTAATACAATATTTTAATGACATTAAATGAACAAGATGAAATTGTATTATTTTAAAAATGTCTAAAGGCTGGTTTATCCAAACTAATTGATGCTAGAAGTATAGTGGCAAAATTGAAATCTGATGCTGGTGTTCAAGAAGCCAAATTAGCGGATAAACAAGAAAAGGCTAACCAAGCACTAAATATGATTTCAAGAACAATGCAGGGCGCTAATACCCAAAAAGAACAAATGGAAAGTCTTAGAAAAGAATTTCAAATAAAAAATGACTTTTTAAACCAAAGGTAAGTAGGTACACGGATAAGATATATTCAGTAATTATAGAATAATAATGCACGTCTAAAGTTTTAAAACTCAAAACATCTAGATTATTTAAAAAAATTTAAATAAAAATTAACTTTTGCAACTTCAAGTCTGTCTGTTCCGATATGGGAAATACTAATTATAAGTATGCTGGTGAAAAATATTTTAATAGACAAACTAGGCACTCATTGCATACCGGCCGTCATAAGTGTGAGCCAATCATTTTGACAGAGGAGGCAATTTGAAATCAAACCTTACACAAAAAATCATCCAAATATGTTGGGGTTCAAGCCCTCATTATGTTGATTATGTATATTTAGTATTTACTTGATGACGACTCGGACAACTCGATTTAGGAAATCTTGGCTGAGTTGTGAATCTAAATCATAATTCACAAAATAAAGGGGATCTTAGGGTTTAATAAAAAAGTAAGTAAAAAAAGTTTCCCCGTTTTTTTACGTTTTCTATGATTCTAAATAACTATGAAATCTGCTAGGAAAATCAAAAAAAATGCCCTTTTAATGTACCAACTCTAGTCAATTTTTGATCGGAGCAAGTTTTTTCCTCGAAAAGTTGTTTATAGGCAAAATAAAATATATCATAGTAAAATCAATAGATTCCTCGCTCTGCTCTGAATCTAAAAGTATTTAAAGTACGTAAATTGACTTCGAGAATAATGATTCGTTTTCGAAATGTTTTCTGTTTTAAATTTGTCAAAGTTGTCACATGGCTATTTATATCGGTGAATGTATTTTGCGAGCGATAAAACTTCAGGATGAGAGATAATTTCAAGATAACAATTTTATACAATCATAGACGAGTTAAGTGGTAATCGATTGAAATTTTGTTTCATTCTTCATATAGTTTTCGTGTATGTGATTATAATATTTCTTTCGGCAGTATGGGCCGTGGTAAATCCAGCCGTGCAAGTTGTATACCAGACGGACATTGATTGAATGTATTGAATGTACACTCGTATAATACAAGTTTCACAATAAAAATTATTGATATCGATAAATATTATCGATTTTATCGGTCGGAGGTTATTGAAAACGAATAGAACCCCGGATACGATATGATTTCCCGTGTGTGTAATTCGAATTTCCGCGCGTGTAAATTTCGCAATCTTCTATTTTCCTTTACTTTATACGTACCTATAGGTATTATGCAACGATCTTACGTAATATTCTACGTAAGAGTTATCATTGTTAAAACGAGGTCACAGTACTTGCAATATTTTAAGGGTTACGTATAGGCAATTTTAACAAATTTTTTAAAAATATCGTCAATAAGTTCAAAATGACTATATTTAAAACCGGTTCCTTGAAGAGTCAAAAATATAAACCTATTTTGTTCTTGTGTAATTGTGAAATTAGTTCGAAAACGCGTTCGCATAGAACAGAAAAAAAGGAATTTAAAGTATAACCATTCAAAACAACATTAAAAAACTTTTAATTAATTAAAACAACAGTATCATAGTATCGAGTAGAGCATATTGATTTTTAATTTACTCGAATATTTTGCCTAACACCATTTTAGGGTGCTCTCAACTTTCAATGCCATCTCTCATTTTTTTTATGCTCAAATTTCATTTTATTTTACATAAACTAACAAGTTGACAAGACTCATAAAAGTAAGTAGTTTTGTTAAAATGTTTATGGTTAGAATTCTTGACTATTGTCAAGAATGTGCCTTTGAAAGTTACAACTTCTAAAACAGAAATCTCGAGAACCATTTTATATTATTTTTATATTTTTTATGTTCAATACGATATAAATAAAAAAAAAAAAGAAGCTGATACTGGGAATGGGAGCGGCCACTGCCATAGGTGAGAAGTTGGGAAAGTAGGATACATAAGGTTATTTCATTTATCTGTAAGAAACGATAAACCATTGCCTGACGATAGACAATTCCGAGCGCAATTCGGTAATACATAGTTTGAAATTTATGGTTTTCTTTTAAATTTAATTTTAAAACACTTATTGAAAAAAAAAAAGTCGTCCGATGATTTTGGAAATTTTACTTTTTCTAGGTAAGTCCAATATAAGCATTATTAACAAGTTTCAAGTCTCTAAGTGTATTTATAACCGAATTACAGCAAAAAAATTCCCCAAAATTAAAGTTCAAAAGTTTTGGCAATGATACCTTAAAAAAGTACGAGATTTGGCTACCGAATACAGCGCTGGTGAACTGGAAGTGTCTATTATGCCAGTACAAAATTGGGTTTTTGTTGGTGCATTAGTATTTTTTCTGTAGCGTTTAGAAACGAACATGTTTTTTTCTCTTGCCGAAAACGATGTGTGACGAAAAACATGAGCAACGGATAAACGTAAAATTTTCTCGTTAAACTAAAAAAAACTCCAACTGAGTGCTATAAGTTGTTAAAATAGGCCTATAATGAAGATTTCCCATCTCGGGCGCGTGGTTTTGAGTGGCATAAATTATTTTCTGAAGGTCGAGAGTGCCACGGAATCCAATTTAGTGGTAATCCAAATTCAAAACCATGCTGATCGTTTTCTTCGATATCAACGGCATCGTGATGACTGAATGGGTTCCAGAGGGTCAAACTGTGAACCAACATTACTATTTGACAGTTTTGGCAACATTGCGCGAATGAGTTCGTAAGAAACGGTCGATATTGTGGAAAAACAAGTCGTGGATCTTGCACCAGGNTGCCCATAACGCGCTGTCTGTGAAGCGTTATTTGGCCGCTTAAGGCACTCCAGTACTCGAACACGCGTCTTACTCACCCGACTTGGCACCCTGCGACTTTTACTTGTTTCCGAAGATAAAGTCTGCCTTAAAAGGAATCCGGTTTGAGTCGATGGAAGAGGTGAAACAAAAATTTGGCGGAACTCCTGAATGGTCTTACGAAAACAGATTTCCAGCACTGCCTCGAGCAACGGAAGAAACGAATGAAATTGTGTGTGAAGAGGGGAGGAGAGTATATTGAAGGGGAACATTTGGTTGTGGAATAATTTTTAAAATAAAACCATTTTTCATAAGCAGTCTCGTTATTTAATAGCCAGACCTCGTAAATCAAAAAGGCAACAAAAAAGGTATCTTGTGTTTTTCGATTAAATCATTTTTTCTGGTAGAAAACGTCGTCCGTGTTTTTATAAAATAATGAAATCGTGAAATTGTACGCTTTCCTACGTTTTTTCCCACTTGTGTGCTTTTATTTAAAAAATGGCACCGACAATCAAAAAATGACCTGTTTAAAGTATCTAGACAATTTGGTCTTTCAGAAAAAACGCTATACTTATACATAGGAGCAAGTTTACTAGGAAAAAACATGTCCACAGACTAAAAGAAAAAAAAAAGAAGAAAAAAAATAAACATCTCAGTAAAACCTATAGCTCCCTCGCAACACTCGGAATCTAAAACTGGCGGAAAATCTCGCAGGCGAGGAATGTGCCTCTTCTGCCTTCTCCTTGTGCACGCTTATGCTGACCGCCAATACAATTTTTATTTGCTCCTCATTGCTAATAAATTGATGTCAATCTATCAGATAAAATCATAGACTTATAAGGATATAACCTAAACATTATTAGATAGCATTTTGAAAAAAGTTGAATATTTCATAGTTTTTTTAATATACTTAAACCAAAAATCGAGGTGAAAAAATACTTTATTGGCTATTATATTTTGCATTGAATGAAGTTTTGAAAGATTCGGAAGTAAACTTAAATTGTGTATCAATGTCACGAAAGAACGAATAATAACTTAGTATCACTCAGTGGCTAGTGAGCTTTGAAAGTGGGAGGTTGATGAAAAAATATTATAATACCTATATAATAATTACCTAATAATTAAATAAATAAATAAATAAATAATACAAATTATAGACATCGAAATGTGCATGCGTCATAAACACAAACACATACTGGGCGATTATTTTATATTTGAACACTAATTTTTTCGCAAAGTACTTTTTATTTATTTAAACTAATACTCCATCTGTATATGGCACTTTTATTATAGGATACCATTTGACAATCAAAAGTTGATAGTCGTTCCACTCCAAAAAGTAAGGGAAAAATAATAGAAATATAAAATTATCTACTTGTTTCTTTAAAAATCAAAATATTTTTTATTTTTTTTTTTTTTTTGAAAAAGTCTATACTTTGCGAAATGAGTGTTGAATGATAAAATAATCACCCATATATTGCATCCTAACACGTTAACTTTTCCGTATTGTTCCACAGTCTGCACTCTGCATGCATGTCATGCAATTATTCGTATCGTCCAGTCACGACGGCCGTATTATTACCAAATTCCCCCTCCGGCCTCCTTTATTTATATTTTTATTGTATAAATCAGTAGTGACCAATTACGGCCCGTTGGAAAAATCCGGCCTGCGATCATTTTTTAATTCGCTCACCAAAGTATTAAATCAAAATTGAAAATTAATAACTTTAAATTTCAAAAATTAACACTCATATTAAAAAAAGATATGTTTATACTTTACACTTTTTTCTCATTTATAACAATCAATATATATAATTAATAATTAAATATATCACTGTTTCCTTTATTAAGATGTACCTACTATGAAGCTTATAGGGAGGAGATATCAATTTGTAATATAAATATTAAATATGATGTATATATAGATGTTGTTGAAATAAATAAATAATAATACTAATAAAATATAATATTCTATTAACTTAAAAGTAATAAGGTTTCAATTCTTGGTCCGACAAGAATTATTTTTTTATGACTCTCTGTAAAAAATGGTTGGTTACTAAAATAATAAGGCCACTGTGTACTTTTATCTCAAAATTTAACTTATTAAGGATGACTAACTTAGTGTATGTATTAATATGAACAATTTTTTTTTTTTATTAATTTCTGGGTTATTATCTTAATGACAGATAAAATATTTAAAAAAAAAAAACCGGTTAAGAATTATTTAATTTAGTTATATCATACAAGAAAGATCCTTTTTTAAAAGATAAATTACCGAACTACGATGGAGTATGATAATAAATAAATAGTAAAATGCATTCGTATAAGTAGATCGCCACCAGTTTGAGTGGGTTAGATCATAAGACACAAACCAATGGTTTGTTACTATTTTAAAATCAACAGCAATGGTAAATCATTTTAATAACATCTTAACGTTACTTATAATCTAAATAATAATTTCCAATAACACCTGTCTACTTTTTTTTTTTGCATATATATACTTACACAATATAATTATATTATACATTTTAATAAATCTATAATAATACTCAATTAATGTCACAAACAATTAGAAAAAAAGAAATAGATGAAGAATTAGCACAAGTGGAACCATTGATAGAAGAAGCTCAAGCAGCCGTAAGCAATATCAAATCGGAAGCATTAACAGAGATAAGATCGTTGCGAGCCCCACCGGAAGTGATTAGAGACATACTAGAAGGTGTACTCCGACTTATGGGCATACAAGACACGTCATGGAATAGTATGAAAACGTTTTTGGCTAAAAGGGGCGTCAAGGAAGACATTAGGTTTTTCGACGCACGCAGAATATCGGAGGCTAACAGAGACTCTGTAGAAAAGTTACTTGAGTCCAAAAGAGATTCATTCGACTCGAAAAACGCTAAAAGAGCTTCAGCAGCAGCTGCCCCTCTGGCTTCATGGGTAGTAGCTAATGTTGCATATTCTCACATATTGCACAAGATAAGACCATTAGAAACTGAACATGCTTCGTTAAAATCGTAATTTAATAATATTATATAATTAATACATTTTTTATTTATTTTATTTTATTTATAAGGACACTAACAATTAATTTCCTTTTACAGAAAGTTACAAAAGGCGGAAGAACAAATAGAACTTTTAAGCGACGGTTTAGATAACGTTGAAAAAAACGTGGCAGAATTGAGAGAACAATTAAACGTCAATACCAAAGAAGCAGCAGAAATTGAATTAAACATCAACAAGGAGAAAAAGACGATAGAAGCAGCGCAAAAACTCGTTGAAAAATTAGATGATGAATTTTCAAGATGGGGTTTACAGGTATTTTTTTATAATTTACCAATCGTATTATAATGTTTTAGTTTTAATGAGTTTTTAACGTGAAACATTACATTATAACATTATATAACATCATTCTATGCATACACAATCCGATTTTTTTTTATCAAAATTAAATTTAGTAACTTTATTATAATTAAAATGTATCTAATTTAAATTTTGTCTTAAAATTACAAATTTTTCATTAAAATTATAATTATAACAATAATAACTGAATTATTCCATGTTTTTTTTAAATTGTATACTTTGATATTAATATATGATATAAAAATGTTTAGGTATTAGTTCATCTATCTTCAGTGAGTTAAAAAATTGTTAAAAAAATCATAGACATTGCCCAGCTTGATTTAAATTTGAACATTTATTTAAGAATATTCATCTCAAACATTCGAACTTAAATAATTGTATTCAATATTATCAGCTATAATTGATACTTGATAATAATTCATAGTTCCGATTTGATGGTTTGATTACCTTTAGAATTTTACATTTTATCGATGGCGCAATTATTAATACATAAACATTTGATACAAGATAAAAAATATTTAAAAAATAGTCTAAATCCCTGGTTTAAGTTAGAATGAAAATATGTATTTCAATGCTAAAATTTCTCAAAAATTAGTTGAGGTACGAAATCGTTTGCAGTCCCCCCCAATTCGAGGGGGGACATTTGTGTGTTATATTTACGTAAATACACAGTGTCCTACAGTGTTATCCTTATGCTAAAAATTTTGTCAATGTTAATTTTTTTTATCAGATTTTGTGCAAGGGAAACATTATGTAGAGTAAAATTAAATTTTGATTTTTATTCCTTAATCACTGAAAAAAAATTGTATTCCTTACTTTTGAAAATTTTCAAAACATTTTTTTTTTTTAAATATATTATTCTAAACATTTTAATGTATTATATATTCATATATCATTAATAGTTTCTTAGTTATAATGACTTTAATGTATTTTAAGCGTGAAAACAATTAATATTCAATAGGTAAGATAAAAAAACAAATAATTAAAATAAAATAAAATACAGAAGGTTCAAATCCAGACAAAATACAATGCAATAGTTTCTATTTTCAGAGAAAAGTCAACAAAAAACATATCATAGTAAAACTTATTTATTCCCTACTGCGTTCAAAATCGTAAACAAATTATTCTGATGTAATGTTTTAGTGTACAGAAATTGGAAAGTTTTTGTAATAAAATTATGATATTAAAGAAAGAAAAGAAATTATTAAAGTGATTTAATTGATTATAGAAAGAATTTAAATTCAAGATATTTAAAATACTAAATAATAATTATATTGGAAATCAATATGTATTATTTTATGTTTTATTGAAGGTAAACGAATTGTCATTAAGTTTAGAAAACCTGTTACTGAGCACACTTTTGGCATCTGCGTTTGTAACATATTTATCAGAATGTTCAGATAATTTACGAAATGAAAAAATTGAAAAATGGAAATATGAACTAAAATCCAATGAATTTACATTTTCTAAATTTATGGAATCTGAACGGCAGATACTTCAGTGGATTACAGAAGGCTTACCATCAGATGAAACATCTCATCAAAATGCTATAATTCTTAAACAAGTAAAAAATATATAAAAATGAAGAAATATGTGTAAATTCATAGGTACCAATTTTGTTTATTAATATATATTTTTTTTTTAATAGATTAAAAACCTACAGATTTCGGTAAGTTATCAAAAAAGGTTAATAAATAATTGTAATTTTTTTTTTTTTTATTTGTTACTGTTACTAAAATTATGCATTATAGGCTAAATTTTATCCGTTGATTATTGATCCTAATGGCAATATCATGAGGTGGTTAAAATTGAAATTGCCTGGCAATGCTACCGAATTTACATCGTTTGAAAATCCAAAATTTTATTCTAGTTTAGAACTAGCCGTCCGGTAAGACAGAACTGAATAAAAGTTTTATTCAATTATTAATTAATTATGATTGTGTTAATAATTACATTAATTGTCTAACATTTTGTTAAGTTTTGGTAAAACAATGGTGATACATAACGTCAACAAAATTGATCCAATACTCGTGCCATTGTTAAGAAGTGATTTTATAATTGAAGGTAATTCCATTTGTTGAATTTTTTGGTTTACGGACTAGTGGTTTATCTAATAGAGTGAATAAGATCTACCATCGTATACCTTCATGAAATGTATTCATTAGTAATGACTACTAAAATAATATTTATTTTTTTGAACGTCTATATTTTTTTTTTATAATTTATTATTATAATAATTGACGATGTATTTTAGGCAAAACATTAATTTAAAATACATATTTTATAATTATACATATTATATACTATTTTAATACTTATAATGTTTTAGATAAATAATTTAGTTATTATTAATGATAGTATTGGTTAAGTTATGAACTCTTTAATCAAGAGCTTTGATAAATATTTAGTTAAATTTACAGATATCTGTAATTTAAAATAAGGAGCCTTTCATTTTAAAATCAAACCAAAACTATAATCTTTTGGTTACTAACAATTGCATTTATCATTTACGAATGCTGGTCGAAAATGGACAAAAATTATATTAGAGATGAGAATATTAAGAGATATTTATAACACAACACACATATCTTTATATGAAACACTAAAATTGAACAATAAAATCTTTTTGCAAACCCTGTAGTTGAAATTGAAGCGAGAAAAACAGTAATCCAATTATACATATACAAATGGGGGATTCTGAATCGAACCATGTAGTCATCTGCTTGACCACTACAAATTTATATTTTCTATAAAAATAAAAAAAAAAAATTGACAATAATTACGGTCAATTTTGTATTTTGAATGATTATACGTGGTTGAGTTCCTGTTTCACCAAAAAAATTTGATAAATTTAAAACTGATTGGTTTCCATAAAAAAAATTTGTAAAAAAGAGCTGATACTGGGGATGGGTGCGCCACTGTTGTAGGTGGGAAATCAGTAAGGTAGGGAACATAAAGTTATTTAATTTACATATGTAAGTAACAATAAACCATTATTAACGAAAAACAATTTGGAGCGATGTTTGGTTACACTATAGATTGCTGACTGTAGCGGGGTAGGAGGGAGGAAATAGATGTAGTTAATTTTGAATTGATTGCTAACTTTTTTGACATATGTATATTATACTTAACTTTTTTTTTTATTGACCCTGGACAGCAATATCCTAGATACAGTTCTGTATGTACCTTATCTAAAAATATTATTATAATTTAATACGGATGATTTCTTACACTATATTTCATAAAAAGCAGTCTGCAATACGCCATTTTATTTGACTAGACATCGGTGATTGTTATATTTTTTAGTAGCAAATTTTTCCTGTGGTTTGTGCATTGAAAAACTCATTTCATATGCCTCATTCATTTAATTTTCAGTAAAAATCAATACGAACCATAAAACCAATCTGTATCTTATAGGTAGTAGAAAAATGGTGCAAATAGCAGATAGATTAGTGGATTACAATGACAATTTCCAATTATATTTATTTAGCAATAGTCCTGACTTGTCATTATCTTCAGACCAATCTGTTCTATTAACAATAGTGAATTTTACTCTCAATCACATTGGGCTCACTGAACAGGTACAATTGTTTGCCTTATAATTATTCACAAACTTTAATTTCATTTCATTTCATTCAGTTACTGCGACATGCACTCAAAGTGCAGAATCCTAAATTGGACTCGATGCATTTGAAACTATTACACACAGAAGAAGAATTGAAATCAAAACTACATATATTACAGGAAAATGTACTGAAAGACTTAGCTGATGCTCAAGGGAATATACTTGAGAACCAAGTAAAACCAAAAATATTAATTAATTAAACATTATAACTTCTATCATTGTATGCAATTTTAAATTATTTAGGAACTTCTCAATTCGTTGGATAGTATAAAAACCAATAGCACAGAAATATCAAAATCACTTAATGAATCGTTAGAAATACAAAGCAAACTGGAGTCTGAATGTCAAATGTATAAACCATTTTCCAGTTATGCCTCAAATATTTATTTTGCATTAAAAGATTTATTCATTATCAACCATTTTTGTCAAATTTCGTTGATGACATTTGTTAAACTTTTTCAATTTACATTAAAAGTAATTAAGATTACGCAACCTAAAAAGAACCTTTAAAAAATAATTTATGATAAAAAAATTTAGGAATCAACCGGAGAAACTAACCAAGAGAGAAGATTATTACACACAGTGTATTATTATGTTTCTAGATCACTTTTCAAAGACCAACGGTTAACATTCGCCTTACATTTATCATATAAATTGAAACCCAAAGATTTTGGACCTAACGTATGTACTAGTATATTACAATAGTTTTATTATATTTAATTTAATCTTTTAGGTCCATCTAACTGATTCATTGTTTTATACAGGAATGGGATCTATTTATTGGGAAAAAAGCAACAAACGTTGATAAAGAATTTAATTTTAAAGATAATATTCCAAAATGGATAAATGATGACAGAGCTTTTGATGTGTTTATGTTAAAAGTAGATACAATTTTAATTTCTTACAAATTAATCACTAATGTTGTATAAAAACTTTAAATATTAAATATTAATAATAACTATTAGTTTAATTTAAAATTAAAAATATAATTATATTTCACCTCAGGAATCAGTACCAGAACTTTATGAAAAGCTTCAACTTGAAAATCAAAATGTTTGGAAAGATTTTGTCGAATCATCGAATTCTGACATTCCTAACTTGGTGAAGGCATCCAATTTTCAACGAGTTTTAATTATGCAAGCTCTAAAACCTGATAAATTGCATAAATGTTTGACAGAATTTTCACTTGGTCAATTAAGTAAGTTCCTTAACTTCATTGGTCAATAGAAATTATATTGTTTATTAATAAATTTAATTATATTGAAATGTAAGTTTCTAATATATTTTAAATTGTTTAGAACTAATTGATTTATCACCACCAACATTAAATCTTTCGAAATTGGTCGAAGAAAATACGGAACCCAAGATGATTATAACATCTATTGGATCTGACCCATCCGATGAACTCAGGCTACTTGCTAAACAAATCACTCATACAAACTGTATAGAAATGGCCATGGGCGAGGATCAGAAGGAACTCGAATCTCTGCAGGAACTATGTAAACAACCAAAATGGGTAGTTCTGAAAAACATACATTTAAGCTCAGCATCACTTTTGACTTCATTAGAAAAACAATTGAAATCGTTGAATGATATCCACGAAAGATTTGCGGTGTGGATGACTACAGAACCAAGTGAAAAAATTCAGCCTTCGTTCGTTATGGCGTGCGTTAAAGTCGCCTACGAAGCACCACACGGTGTCAAAAAAAACATGAGACGAGCTTACGATATATGGAAAAATGAACACATTAAGTGGAATTCTTCGGATGAAACAAGATCAGTTTATGCTTTAGCATGGTTTCATTCTATAGTATTGGAACGTAGGACATACATACCACAAGGATGGTCACAATACTATGAGTTCAACGATTCCGATTTATCTGCAACTTTAAAGGTTCTACAAAAATCGATACATCGGGGTAAGAAAACTGAAAAACAAATTATCGCATATACATATTATGCAGGTATCTACTATACATACTATAATCTTAAGGTTAAAGATTAGACCACGAAAGTCTTGAGTATTTAATTAGATTGTTTATACAATTTAAAGCGTATTAGCTTTTTGAATACTTATATATGATTCAAAACGGGGTAGGTACATCATAAAGAACAATTTTGGCCCTTTAAATGCGTATGACTGAGTGATTGTAAGCAAAATTGTCAAGTTTATTATCAATGATAGTTCTGAACTAATATAGACATAAATCTATTAAGAAAACAGGCACATATTGTGACTAAAAGCGAGAGTTTAGCAACATATTTTAAAAAGCTAAAATTATTCTAGGGATTTAAACATTTGTTCCAATGTATTAAATCTTAAACTCCCTAATTTTATGTATTTTTCAAATGTTTATAAAATAAAATTTAAAGTTTAGAATTTTAAACATTTCATATCAGAAAGTGCTCCTCTCAATATAAATATTGAAAATCGCACGTTTATTTGTTTTGATTGTATATAGTCTGTGCATTTTATGTTCACGTAAATATTTTTTACGCAAGATATATTGAAATTTTTTACCTACATAATAAATACTTGTTAATACATTAAGGATCATTTTTAGATTTGAATATTTATGAATGCACAAAATTTTATTTTTTCAACTCTTTTAAATTTAAATTGTATTTTAAATCCAAATTATAGTATATATTCTATAATATTGTTGCATAACTAATAAACAAGTACAAATATTTACAGATAAAACGATCTGATTTTTCTTAATTAAAATCTATAACATAAAACCGAAACGTCCACGCCATTGCAAATTTTTAAGCTACTAAAGAACTACCGATTATATAAGTTTATGTTTTTACAATGTCGAAATCTTACTTTTGTTTTAATTCATAGATCATAATTCAAATAGATGGGCATACATTCATGGACTATGTGAAAAGGCCATCTATGGTGGGAGGATCACTAATACACAAGACATTGCGATTCTTACCTCATATCTGCGGTGCATATTCACATCGGACAACGTTAACTGGAAAGACGGTATACCTGGAATCTCGGAGTTGAGTTCTGGAGACACAAAGGTATGCCTAAAAATGAGTAATAATTATATAATTAGATATATGATTACATAATTGCATGTTATCTACCGAATGCACCGTAACATAAATCATCAATGGTTTAATAAAATTATAAATTACAAATTGTACTGTTTTAATATTATATGACCTTAAATTGCTATGTGATGCAAAAAAATGTGTTTTTGTTAAACTATTAATTGACATAATGAGATGTATGTATAGTTTGAATATTTAACGTAAATTTAATTATTATGCTCTTGGCAGAAATGACCTCTCACAATATCTGATAATAAACTTAATTTAACATAATTATCAAAAAAGCAAAACTTACATGTTTTACCAATATTCCATTGTAAACGTGAAATATAAGGTATGAGAATTTTTACTCCAAACTTTCGAGAAGAAATCGGTGAAAGTCCAGATCACGTTTTATTCGAAAATACATGGTTTATGCTGACATATTTCAATATTTTGTGAAAAGATATTAAAGCTATTTGAAATTTGTCATTTTTTGTGAGTTAAAATGGCTCAAGATTTATATTTAGAACTCTATCCTCCTTTCAATAGTATCAGAGTGGAAATTTAGATTAGATCAAGTTTAGCCATCCCTCAAACCCGAAATTTTTTTTTCGGCATACATGAAGCATTTTCAAGCCAATATAACTTCTAAAATAATAATCATTTCACCATTAAAAACCTATCGAAAGAAACAAATTTTCAAAAAAAAAAAAAACTGAAAAATATAGTCTATTTTAGTAAAACAAAATAACTCGTATCAGTGTTATCTTAATAATAATTATTCTATGCATTACATATTTAAAATAAAATAATAGTTTCAAGTATTTTATCAAATAAATGTATAATATAGAAGAAGAATTAGAAGTTAAAACCCCCAAAAGATACATTCATGATAACACTATGTGCATAAAAAATGTCATCCCCTTGGATTCATTTGAGTGATCTGTAGAGGTGTTCAAATCTAAAAATAACTTACACATGGTAAAATTCATATTGAAATTCAATCCAATTTCATTTCATTATTCTCCCTACGAAATACTACTGTTACCGATTTGAGCTGATTGAACATTAGGTTCAGAGGGCGTCAATAAAATTATCCAAAAGTATCGGGAAAGATATTATATTATATTATATATCTGATATTGTTTCTCTTCTATAATCTATTAATTGAAACTTAAACTATCTAATAAAATCTAACATTGTTATTTAATTTCAAGGAAGTGGAAAATGCACTTAGAGCTGTCCCAGAACAGGATACTCCGAAACTATTGGATTTACCAGAAAACGTCGATAGGTCTTGGCAGAAAAAACAGAGCACCGAAATAGTATCTCAGTTACGACGTGAGTACTTACACACCAAAATGGATAAATTCATCTTAGTAGACATATAGGCAGGGCTGTTCTGAGGCCGGGTCGAGCGGGGCCCACACCCCGGACCCCGTGCCTTGGATTTCTCGTTTAGACCCCGCGCGAGTTATATAAATTTATAATACAAATATAGTGCTAACAAATAAAAATATAGTACTTTAAACCAAATTTACTTATTTCAATTGAGGAAAGTTTTCTTCAAAATATAACGATTAACATATAATACAAAATAAATATAATTTGAATTTTTATTTGACAATATTAAAAACGAAAATACTTGTACAGCAAATACTTTATGATAATAAAAGTCCTCTATATATAATGTACTAAACAAATTATTATAATATTATTGTTATCAAGCCATTTCCGTAGAACGATAATGGGGAATGAGGAAATTTCTAAAATTAAATTTTAAACATAATTATGTGATATTTGTTTTGTTATTTGATTATTTGATTTTTAAATATAATAACCAGAGCTATGAATTTAATGCACTAAAAGTTTAAATACAAAATAAATCATTAAGTTATACATGTTAGCAAAAAAAAAAAAATAGCACCAAAAATTGGAAAATAACAGTGAATATCTAAAATACTTTAAATACGCAAAAAAAAGTAGTATACAATTTCATATATGGATTCAGGTGCATACTCGTAAAACAAATGTAAAGCTCACCCTGCTATTTTTATCTTTATCCTATAATAATTAGCAAATACTATAAAATCCTAGCCCTAGCGATATGTATAAGAAATATTTATTTGAAAATGAAAAGAGCAAAGAAGGCTAAAATAAAACAAGAAAAATTTATAATGAGGGGGGATCTATGAATAAATGTATAAATAATAATTATTATTTTTCATCGTGTATATATAATCCATAACACGTTTTTTAGTGTTTAAAATTAGCACAATAAAAAGCAAATTTAAGGATAAAATAAAAGTAACAGGTTGATTTACTGGTAAAAGTAATTGGTAAAAATATTTCACGTATGTTTATATTTTAAAATGGGACAGGTACGGCCTACGAGAGTGCAATTGCTTTTGTATGGAAATTATCACTTTTTTTTAAGCCCCGCTAAAAGACCCCGGACCCCGCAAATTGTAAGAACGGTCCTGCATATAGACATCTATGAATAAATTCTATACATAAGCATACTCACAGGGAGAGTTCATGGGATTTAAACCTCCCTCCATTGGCCGTTATTTTTTTTTTGCAATAAATTCGTTTTAAATTTGTAACAGATTTAGAAATTTATTGTTGCATCGTATAATTTATATTTACAATTAAAAAATAAACATATTTGTTGCACCAAAAAATTATTGATAAATTATTAAAAATAAAAAGTGCATTAAATTTTACATTGTTATTTTTTTAGATTCTGAGTTTTACAAAGATGTTTATTTTATTTTTCATGTGAACACTTTTTTTACCTGAAAACTTACTTCGACTTCCAAGTATAGCACCTTTTCTGAAAGGATGTGTTCTCTAGGTGATACTTTAAAGAAGTCATTTTTTGAAATTTTCATTAATATTCGAGATAATGAAGAAAAAACGGTTCTTTAGGTTAAAAAGATTGAAAGATTAAAAATAAGGTTGTTATTGGCAACCGTTTTTATTTATTTTTGTTATTAATAAATTTGTATTATTTTAACCTTTTTTAAACAATCATTGTTATCATGGAAACACGAACATTATTATAACTATTTTACCATACTTTGCACGCGGGCATAGACACTGTTGTAGGTGGGAAGTTGGGAAGATAGAATACAGACGGGAATTTAATGTATATCTATAAGCAACAATGAAACATTACAAACGAAAAACGCTTCTAAGCGAAGTTCAGTTGATAGTAATGCTTTGTCAACAATATATATGTCATATTATGGTAAAATAATTACAACAATGCGAGTTTCCATGACAAGAATGATTGTTTAAAAAAGATCAAAATAATAAAAACTTAATAATAACAAAAATTAAATAAAAACGGTTGTCAATGATAACCTTATTTTTAATCTTTCAATCACTTTTAACTTAAAGAACCAGATTTTCTTCATTATCTCCAATATTAATGAGAATTTCAAAAAATTACCTTTCTTAAGTACTACCCAGAGAACATTTTCTTTCAGAAAAGGTACTATACTTGATAATCGGATTATGCTTTCTGATAAAAAAAGTGTTGACATAAAAAAAATAAATAAGTAAACATTATTGTAAAATCAATACATTTCTCGCTTCACTCAGAATCTAAAATAATAATAAATGTCATAACTAGAGGGATGTGCGCTAATAGCCTCTTACATATTTATCTAGAAATTACCCACAACCCCTCCCCCCCGCTAGTTCTATGGTACAGGCGTGTGTAAACAATGGTTGGGGTATAATATAGTATTATAGATCCTTGTCAGAAATTGTTATGTTCATGACCTTTTCATTGCGTTGTCTGGTGGATTTTAGGCATAGGCGTCGGTATGAAGGCAAAACACCAATATCTAAAAGACGATTGGCATTCAGAAGTACGGTCTATTTTGAACTTGTGGAAGGCACTTAACAAAGGAACGAATTTAATGGAACTTTCGACGAGCAGACACATTTCATTATCGTCAGCAAACAGCGACAGTTGGAGACCAGTGGACGCGTTTGCCATACAAGAACTGAATTTCGCCGTTGAACTGGTGAGAAATGTTCACAAGAGTTTGACCGCCGTCAATCAGACGATTCGTGGAAACACGAGACCGTCGCCCACGGTGTTCGACACCGTATTTCACCTTCTCCAGCTTCAGGTATGAAGTAGTCACATTTTTGCAATTGTTATGTAAAATATTGTTTATTGGTGTTAATATCGTATACAGAGCATGAGAAAAAAAAAAGTTGTTCTAGGATAATGGGGACGGGTGTAGCCACTGTTGTAGATGGGAAGTTGGGAAAGTAAGAAACAGACAAGAATTTAATGTGTATCTGTAAACAACGATTGCTAATGAGAAAACGATTCTGAGCGGAGTAAGCTGATATTTAATGCGGAAAAGTTGAGAAAAACGAATGTTATCGCACGTCATAGGTATGCCGCCATCATACACAATTCGCAGCGGCAGCGGTCGCGGGGTACGGACGGGCAAACAAAATTCTTACACCAGTTGCGCGTGCGCATTTGACAGTTTCGGTCCTACTACTGACACAACTATCAGTAATACGAGTAATGTGCTGCCGCGGCCGTACAGCCGTCTGCCGCTGCTAACGGAGAATCCATTGGATACCGATTATTTCTTTCGGATAATATTAAATTTGTCCGGCGGGTGGCGTTGTCCCCAAAAATACCCTGAAGAAAATGCTGACCAACCCGGTTTGCATTCAATTCCTAATTAATATCATTTAATGTAATGCAACAAAAACAGACATATAAGGTAATTTCCTAATATACTGTAGACTTCTATCTAAGAATTGCCTATACAAAAATAATACAAATATATTCATATTTCAATAAAGTACTATTTGTTTTAGTTTCTGTTTTCTGAATCGACTGTACTTGAATAAAAGTTTTTAAATGTGCACCACCAATTAATGTACGCACGAGCCGCCACTGCCGACATGTATCGGCATACCGAAATACCAATAGGAACCGGTATACCGTTATGAACAGTGTACCGAAATACTGAAATAAAACTTTAAAAAAGCTAGTAAGGATAATGATGATGGAGGTTCGTCCAAGATATCTTGTAAAAATATCATTATCGAATTTAATCGTTTCTAACCTTCGTGTCAATAATTGAATTTGCGTTACTTAACCAGAGATCAAAAATTTCATTTTTTTCTAAGATTTAAAATCTCTGTACTTAACTTAGTTAGGTAACTTTTTTGGTGTAGTGTTATCAATCCATTACATAAATGTCTGTATAATTCATATAATTCATCATTCACAAAATAATAACTTTTATCAACCAAAACTCAAAATTTTTCTCCAAAAACGAATAAGTGAAAAATCCTACGGTTTCAACGGTATACCGCATGATACAAACATTTCGGGTAATTAACTTTTCGTTTTTTTCGCTTTTATCGATTCGACGTGGTTTTGCATTAAAATTCGCAGTTTTATTTTCAATTTTTTCACTTTCATAATCTTACAAATCCGGCATGTATATGAATATTTATAAATTGTCAGTGATAATTTAAAAATCTAAGACTTCAAAACTATGTCTGACTTACCTATGCATTTTAATATAATAAGTAAATTCAAAAACGAAACAAAATTCTTGAAAGGCGCAGTAAAGTACACTTTATATCTCTGCAAATTTTTTTTAAAAAAAAAAGCGTTGGCGCGTTCACGTTATTTGTTGATAGGAGCGCTAATGTTGGTCATTGCAACAAAATAACCAGCACTATCAGTATCATGACAGCGGTTTTTTTTTTTTTTAAATTTGGACATTTTAAATGGAAATACTCGAATACCTATGTAAGTAAAAATGTAAAAATGTCGAGTAGGTACTTACCAATGTCAAAGCCGCTAAATGGCTTTGTATATTTTGACACGAAAACCGCCGCTTTTAAGTCTTGGCGAATACCACAATATTATATAATATTCGAGACATTTTTTATCCAACGTGTAATATTTATCGTAGAGAAAATGAAAAGCCGCGGAGCATAAAACAAATTCTGACACAACACGATAAAGAAACGCTACATAATAAAATATTACGATACTGTAGGCGGACGCGCGAAACACTCACAACCGAAGCACGACGAAGAGTGAGCTCGAAACGGCGGGTCCTTATTATCTGCGCGCGCGACTTTTGTGCGCAACTTTCACAAACGTATTTTTCGCAGCTTCTTAGCGGCGCCGTAAATTCACGCGTTCCTAGGTGCGTCCAGACGTTATCAGTGTGTCGTGCTTCAGACGCAGCGTTCGGCCACTGATCTATGATAATATCATATTAAATACGTATATCCTGTGCAGCGATCACTGGCATCAGCGGTGGCGTACCCCGGACGTGTTTCATTCTAGAATAGATTCATAGGAAAGTGGTGGATAAATGGGAAGTTTAATTAATCATTAATGGATGGTATTTATATACTGACACTTGAACTATTATTCAAGTACCTTTAGGGACAATTTCAAACAGGCCACCCGCAATAGACCAACATCACTCATAAGCACCCCCCTCTGGGTAATATACTATTAGGTTTAGATATAAATAAATAGGTAGCCACACAAAATATGATACTCCATTACTTTTCCTCTACCCAAACTTGTGGAAAATTTCGTAAACAATTGACGGAAATCAAAAATTTTAACACCAAAATTTATGTAAACTAATATTCTATCTACGAGTATGTATGCAACATGGTGATGTAACATTTTAGATCTGCTTGTTTCTTAAATTGTCAAAACATTTTTTTTTTTTTTCAAATTATTCTTTACAAAATAATGAGTATTTAATGATAAAAATATCACCCTGAATATTATATAATTATAATAGACACAACACAGTACATTAGCCTCTATTTTTAAGAAAAATTTTTCAAAAATACATGAAAAATTGAAAACCGCCTCTTTGTATTTAGTATGTTTAAAGGTAATGTTTAAAACAGTATACACAAATAAAATGATAAATAGTTACCTACTAAAAATAAATAATGATATTACAACCTATATTTTAGACCCCCAAAACATGGATGGATCAATGGAATGGTCCAAATGACCCAGTCACATACATTAGAAGTGTTGTTGCAAGAACGATTTCAGTGAAAAAAATGAGTACTTCGATTGATAAATCATCACAGAAAATTGACTTAAATGATCTCTTCCACCCAAGAACATTTTTGATCGCATTAAAACAACAAACTGCCAAGTAACTATTCATGTTTGATTATAATAAATTATTTTTTACAGTCAAAACTCTCATAAGTTTTATTAGCATTAAAAACAAATTATAAAAAATTAAATTAATTTACCATTTTAAATATAGACAATACAATATACCAATGAACAGTCTAACACTAGACTCTTCACTTTCGACAAATGGATTGAAAGGATCCAAAATCAATACAACAATATCAAATCTAATTATGGAAGGTGCTACACTCTATCACAACACACTCATAGAAAACACAGTAGATTCACCATCAATAACAGTTATTGACGACATTAAACTCGCATGGATTCCTGAGGTTTGTAAATAAATTTTATATGAGTATTTATTATTTATATACATAGATTAAAATTATAATATTATGGTGAAATATAATGTTTAATATGCTGATTAAAAATATATTCATATAGTCTTTACTTTTTATAGGATTACACTAAGAACTTGAAATCAGTCGATTTACAAATACCGGTATATGAAACACAATCTAGAGATCATTTAATATCATTGCTACCAATAGCAATACCCTTAAATGAACAAAAGAAATGGATACTAGCTGGAGTAACATTATTTTTAAGAACACATTAATGTTGTACAATCAATACTAATAACCAAAAGGTACAGTGTAGAACATAATTTGTTCTAATATAATTATTATAATACTCAATTTAAGTAGCTTTAATCTACTGCTATAATCAATACCATGTAACTAAAAAGATATTTTCTCATGTAACAAATTTATACATTACATATTATTTGTTTTCAAGATCTAAAATAAAACTATTAATGTGAATTTCAGTTGTTTTCTAGATTGTATTTAACATCTAAATATGAATAACTATTCTCAATTCAGAATACAAAGACACCACTTCGCACATACATGACTAAGCATTCAATTGTAACAACATTGGAAATTGTCAACTGTATACGATACATCTACACAAAACTCGAAATGTTTTCTGATTATGAATAGAGCATAGTAGCAAACAAAATACACAGTTAAATATTTCACAACAATTTTTTAAATTTATTATTTATTCTATATTATAATATTAATATTAATTTAATTAATAATACATACATATAACTTATAACTTTACAGATATGCTAAAATATTGTATTTTTCATACATTCATGTAGTAATGAACAGAACACGTAAATAGTAAATTCAAAATATCTCATTTTCAGACCAACAATCGTGAGATAATAATTACACATCAACCTTAATAAGACACTTTTAAACTCCAAAATTTGGCTAAAAAAATATACATTTAATTTTTTTATTTGAAGCATTAAAAAAAAAATTGAGTTTCTTTTTGGTCAGCTTAAACAATTAGTTAATAGTTATGTAAAATGTAATATTATAATTTACATAGAACATTAGACTGCGCAACACTAACCACAAGCCTAAATTATTATCTATTATAAATTGACAATAAAAATAATAATGAACAAATATCAGTCTAGTTGAAAACTCTCACTAAACGGTTTGGAAATATATTTTTTATTTTATACATCAAAATAAAATAAATATATAAGTTAAAAATTAGTTACGTGATTTAAATTAAGAGATAAAAATTAGTGATTTAATAAATTTGTCTGACATATATTCCTAAAAACGTTAAAATGTATAAAGTAAGATTAAAAAAGTACACAAAACAACAAAAGAAAGAAAGAACATTTATAATGTGTAATACATAATTTAATAATGAAAACCCAATAATGTCCAATATGTCACAAATAAATTCAATATAATATCATTGTACAATTTAAATGAAAAAAATATGTTATTCTGTTACAATACCCACACAATTTAATTTAAGTATGTAATTATTTTTACAAGAAGAGTAGAAAAAAAAATATATAAAGTAAAAAAATTTGCTCAGTTAATATTTGAAATTAGTAGAATAATAATTTACATATAAAAATATGAATACCATACCAATTTACATTTACATTAAATTGGAATTTGTTTACATAATGTTCATATTTTTGTAAATTAATTATAAGAACCAGTCTACACTTTAATTTTGTATTATTATTAATTAGAGTAGTAACTCCAATCATTTGAGGTAACACAAAAAAAAGATTATTATTGCATAGCTAAACCATTTCTTTAATAAAATGTTAGTTTTAGTCACAAATAATTTGAATTAATTATATATTTAATAAGTACGGAATTAAATATACAATTAACTAATATCGATTATAAAAAATTTACTACTTATAATTTTTTTTTTGTTAAAGATAAAAGTTAAATAGTTTACAATAATATGGCTTAAATGATGCGCAGTCAGTTCATATACATTACATTTATCATAAATGTTTATTCCCATCAATTTATTAGATTATCACTGTTCCGCGAAAAACAAAATTAAAAAATGTAGGAACTGACTCATATTCAGGTCTTAAATATGCCAACTATAAAATAATACAAACTAAAATGTTATCATGCTAACACCCATTAAGAATATGCGGAATTAGGATTTTTAGCATGGTTTTTATTTGTTTTATATATATATATAAACTTTATGTTTTCTCCACTCGGGTATCAATCATGTAGCATACCGTTTAGTCCACAGCCTGGCAATTCTGTCATGTTCGTCTCGATTTTGTAGATACTGTGTAGCAATACTACCGACTAGGGGATCAGCTATATATTATATAGAAAAAAAAATAAATATATTTAACAATTGATTATTTATATTATTTATAAACTAAAATATACCAATTTTTAATAACTTTTATAATAATTTTATAAAAGTTATTAAGTTATTAATCCCTAGGTGTAAAATTTGTGTCAAATAATATGAGAAGTTCTAATCAAGGCTTGGGAAAATTATACTGCCTCAGATGTATGAGAGAACAGAAAAAGAGGATGTGTAATACAGAATTAAGCATGATTGGATAAAATGGAGTGTTTAGGTGTTTTATATGACAAGGGAATACTTATGCTGCTTAGGCTCGTTATTACAATGTCCGGTTAAGTGTCGGTAAAGCCTTTGGTTAGGTAACCGTAATTTTGTGGGCAAGTCCCAGCCCACTCTTACCACCTTTGATTAATAATCATATAACTAACCAACAGTTTTATTTTAACTAATTAACAGTGTTCCCAAAACAAGCGCCCATGAATGAATTTCTATGTTCTAAACATGCAACATAAAAATGTGTTGTTGAGTTACAAAACAAGCAAGTATCTAGAGGAATGTAAAAAATCAGATCACAATAACTGTCTGACATAACTGAATTACTGCCATTGTTGTTTCTATTTTTAAGCTTATTCTCAAAATAAGATACGAATCATCCTTTCCAGACTCCAAACGTTCGCTCCACCTAGTCCTAATTTAGGATTCATTACATAACCTCACTACTTTTGATAACAGTGTTATCAAATAATGGGATAATGCATAAACTGCATTTCCCAGAATTATTCAATCTTTAAATCATTCTTAGTCTAATATTTGAAAATAGTTTTTCCGTGATAGAAAAATGTTCTTTTTTCAAATAGCCACATTAATGCTACTGTTTTGTCTTTAAAATCAAAAAAATCACTATCTTGGCAACATACAGCATAGTTTTGCATAGCTCTAGTTTCTAGACATAATACATTTTAACAAGAGTTTAAACAGAAAAACACAAACTAGTTACCAGCAGTAATCATAAAAATTATTAATAATAATGGAAGATTTTCTTTTAATCAAAAATTAACTGGTAGAATTTGACCATTAATCATTAAGTTTACAGGGATTTTTAACTTAACTGATGTATGTAAGAATTAAATGGCTATTCAATTTAAGGATAGCTAGTTAGCTTACTGACACTTTACCAAAAATTAAAAGAACAGGTCTTAAAGATAAGTTTTATAAAAATGTGGCGAGACCTACTATGGTGTATGATTTGAAGTGTTCAGTCATAGGTAGAAAAATAGAACAGAGAATGAGTGTATCAGAAATGAGAATGCTTAGGTGCATGGTGGAGTAACAAGAGAAGGTAGGATAAGGAACAAGTACATAAAATGTAGCATAGGTTTCTATAATAGAATAACAAGACAAAATAAGATGGTTTGAGCATGTCATTAAAAAAAAGGAATCAGAAGCAGTAAGAACAGCAATGAAAATAAACATAAGAAGAAGCCAAAAGAGGTGGTTCCATTGAGAATGATATTAGAATACTTAAGGACACACAGAGTACGAGAGGTAGGAAATTAGGTCAAATGAAAATTTAGGATAATGATGGGTTGATCCCAAGTAATTGAAATGAAGGTGTAGAAGTCAAGACTTATTTAGGTTATTATTTTTTAACAATTTAGATAATAAATTTACAAAATAGTTCATAAATAATTTGTTTATATTTACCTGGATTACAATCAGTCAATAAGGAACAAATTGACAACAGCACCTTAGAGATGGTCAATGCAGGAGACCAATTGTCTTTTAGTATATCCAAGCAAATTACACCCTGAGAGTTAATATTGCAATGGTATATGCGAGTTCTAAAAAGTACCTAATATACATACAGTCAGAATTAGAAATTTGACAACCTATAATAAGAACAATTTTTTTTACATACTTTAGGAGGCTTAAATGGATACTCTGTGGTGAAATGAATATCTAAGAAGAAAACTCCTCCTTCGTATACTGAACCTGGAGGACCTAAAATTGTGCTGACCCATTCATATACATTATCACCTTTTGGTCCGGCGCTAAAATGTGTACACATATTTAAACATTATTGCATATTATTATACCTACATTACAATCACTTTTATTATTATTGATGAAGCTAGGACAAAATCTAACCTAGATAAAAAAAAAAAAAAATAAAAAAAATATGCAGATGTAACAAACTACAAAGTAAATGTATTGGTAACTTTTCATTTACACTTTACTAGACTTAAGACTGGTAGACAGTTTTTGGAAATTCAGAAATAAGGTACAAACGATAAGACAACATAGTTTATTTGTGTTTTTTGAAGGGCGTTGACCAGCAGAATTTTGTCTGGATGAAATTTCGTCCAGACACCCTTATTGACTGTGCAAGTAAACCTTAAGAAACTGATAAATATGTTAAACATTAGACAAAAAAAAAAAATAAAATACAAAGTATAGGATTCTCATAATTTTTCAGACAATATCAATTTGTTCTACCAATCTACACACTGCATCATTTATACAGCTGTTAAATTGTATAATATCAAAGTAAATTACCAATGACATTCTCTTGTGCGTGTTTTTGTCAATTTTATTAGATATATTAATTTTGAATAAAATATTTTAAAAAAAACAAAAAACAAAAGGTAACAAAAAATATTCCTATATCTTTGAAATACCCTAATAGTAAAATTTACTCTAATACTAAAAATAATCCAACTGATTATATAATTAGTATGTTGGGTATTGAATTAAATTTGTTTTAGTTGTTAATTAATTCCTTATTGGTTATTCTATAGGTAAAGCATTTGATATTTGCTCAATATAATATTATTTGAGACATTTTTCAATATTATTTAACACAGATAAAAATGTGTGAGCACCAAAGGTAACTCATTTTAAACTTTGTAATCACCCCACCTTCCCAAAAAATTAAAAATAAAATTGGATATACGTAACTAAATTTAAGAATTTAAGTTAGAAATTAGCAATGTTTAAAAATATTCATAAACTTTACCTGCAATTTGGCGGAGGATCCAATGTAATTTCCGCTAATTCTTTTTGAATCCTGTAAAATATTTATTTATATTAAGTATCAACTAATAACACACACTTACTAAATTAATTTAAATTGTTTAAGCACTTGTGACAAAAATATAGGTACATATATTTTTAAATAAATATACAATGAAGCTTAATGGAAAAGCTATCATACTGCTAGCCTATGCAGATTATATACAATTTAAAGAATACTAAAAATAAATAGTAAGTACCACAAAGTCTAATCAATTCTAGTAAATAAGTCATAGTATAAATGAAAATAAAACTAAATAACCTAGTATTATCCATACGTATCATAAGCAAATCTGACTTTAAAATAAGGACATGGATTCTTTTGAGTAATCAAACCATTTTAAATATCTAATAATTTATATAAACAATAATAATAATAATCAAAACAAAATAGGTATAAAAGAAGATAAGTGCAGCAAATTGAGCATACTTTGTTAATGAACAAAATATTGAGCACTAATGATTAAAAATTAATAACATTTTAAATGAAAATTTTACAGAAAAAACATCAACCTGAATCTAAATGGAAAATATGAAAAGAAAAATATGCATATAGAAAATGTTTACAATAAATCTACATTAAAAAGTACCTTAAGGTAAAACGATTGGAGTAGGCTATGTAGGTCATGTTTGGTGAGCTAACAAAAACCACATTCAAAATATCTTAGTTAAAACCCAATCTAAGTGATCAGGAGGACACCATCAATTGTGGTTGGATGCAAAATATGGACAATAAAGTAAAAATTTAAATGGCCTTAGAGGCCTGTAAAGCACAAACAAATAAAAAAAATACCATTAAATTGAATATGAAATCTATTTTAAAATAAAATAGTAGATACATGCAATAAGCAAAAGAAGTTAAAAATATTATAGAAGTCAGATAGAAAATTTAACTAAATCACTAGTTTACTATATAAATGATGAACCACTGGTTACTTCGAGTCTTTTCTTTAATTTGTATGCCTACATCCCTTAGAGAACCAATGTTATATGATATTATTATATAATGCATATTGTGATAGGATTTCAATATAAAACCAGAAAATTAAAATGATTTGAGACTTTGGTTAAACTAGTATATTTTTAAATACATAAAAGTCACCCCTGAGTTATAAATTATTAAGAGTTAAATTTAAATAGTTATAGAAACAACGCAAATATCATAATAATATACAAAATTAAACACTGTTGTGAAGTTTTTTTGAGATACAAATAAATAAAATCATTCATAAAACAATATTTTGGTTGATAACACAGTTTCACCATCCTAACCTCTATTGAGTATTATTAACTTTTGATCAAATAATGGAAACAAAATCTTGAAATTAAATACGTAGATAACGTTTATTTGTCTGATTTCTGTAATATGTATACCAAGATACTTAAGTGGTTGGTATCTTTGTTCTTAAGCGTTAAGCAGTTAACTGTTTAATAGAAATTACCAGGAAAAAAAACTTAACCGTTATGTTAATTAATTATCCACACTATTTATACTTCATAGCTAATCTTAATGTTTATAAAAGATAGATAATTAATTCTTTAAACAAATTCAAATTGTTTTTTAGCCAAACAGGATTTAATTTAATAGTGAAAAAACAAATGTCTATTGTATGATAAATTTATAAAAATAAAGGGAAATATTTTCAATATTGACATAATGCTATATGATATTATACTTAAATTTGTTTTTAATATTAATTGACTTAACAAGATAAAACATTCATTAAAACATTTAACAACTCTTTTTTTTTTTTTTTTGATAATTATAATTAAGTATAAGGTATGATATAATGCTAGGTAAATAGGTATCTTTTTAAAACTGTCATGTTTCCTAAACGATAAGACGTAACTAAATGGTACCTAAATAAAATTTTTAAATTGGACACATAATGTACCTAACTAAATGTGATTCATAAAAAAGAAATGAACATTTACCTTTTCGTTGATGTGCTCAGAGCTTTAGACATCTTTGGATTTGGTTTTACTTCCTTAGCGGTCTCCACAATGGTCGGTGAAGACGGAGGGGTCGCCTGAACGGCAGCGACCACGGGCAAAGTCGCTGTCACACCTCGGCGACCAGAATTATTATTAGGACTGCGAGGAGTAGGGGTGGCAGACATAATCAGTAAAGATATGAGGCGACCTACAGACACAATTATTGAAACATATTAAAAAGGCACGCACGATATCAATCAGAATTTGGAGACATTGTACTTGTACCTACCTCAGCACTTTTAGCGGCCAACCTAAAAATAGGGCAGGGAGGCAGTATTACCACTTTAGTCAGTCTTGAGACATTGGAGATTCAATAGCGGTTGCAATCAGTCGGTCAAAGGGATACCGTGGCGTCGGTCATCCGAGAATGGCGTCGACGTGGTAGTGAAGAGCAGCAACAGCGGCGGCAGGCCTAGACTAGGGAGATTACTCTTTACATACGGCCACGGGTCTGCGGTTCGGGAAAAGCAAAAAAGGGTACGATAATCGGCTAGGACAGTAGCGGCCAATGGACGATGTCCTCGAGACTACAACGTTGTTCCGGTTCGATAACTCGAACAGAAAATACGCGCACGGTCGGCTTTTGAACGGACGGACGGATGTCTATCTGTCAAATTTCTGTCGGACGGACGATCTGTCCACTCGTGTGTCAGCCTTGCCCACCGATATAGCCGTCGCAGAGAGAAAAATGCACGACGGGCGAACAAAGGAAAACACCGAAATAACAATCATGCGTCGAGTTTTCGAAAACGGTAGTGGTTCCAAAAGTGGTCACCGTATACCGGCGAATATCACAGTCGCGGTCGCCGGTGGTTCGTGCGTGCGTGTGTGTGTGCACGCGTCCATATTTTTCTGTTCGTTATCACTGATTATCCAACCCCTCTATGCTATGCTCGCAATCCCCCCCCTTGCAAAAAAAAACATTTACGACCTCACGATTTGAGTAGTTTGTACCTATGTATTTAACCGATCATTTTTTTTATTTTTCATAATCAATAAAATTTAAAAAAACTACTTTTATTACGATGACATCGCGGTGGGAAAACGGTTTTGAATTTTTCTTTCCGCTAAATTTTCCAGCCGTCTTTACGGCGACTCGGAAAATTCATATTTCAACGACAACGGGCTCGCGCGTTCCGGAAAACGCGAACTCTTCCGTTTTCCCGGCGTCGAATTCGGGCAAAAAATGCACAATGCCGCGATCACAACAAACGATTTCTCGACGTTTTGTTTACCGATGATCGGAAGGCCAGGTAGGTAGGTAGGTAGGTAGGTAAGTATAATATTATTATCATCAGCGAGTAGACGTGTTTTACGTCGTAATATTATCGGTTCATCTACGTCATCTGATTAGTCGATCGGGGCCGCCGTGTAGGGGACGGGAGTAGCAGTACGGCCAGCCAAAAATCGCGTCGTTGCTCGTGATCGGATTCGACGTTTTTTTCGTCCCTGGAAATTATTTTCTCTCACTCGTTCGCCCGCCCTCTCGCTCACTCCGACTCTTTCAGTGTCTCTCATTCTTTCTCTGAACAAAAAATAATATTATTGTTATTATTGTTTTATCGGGACGTGTTATTATTTATTTAAATTACGAATAATGAGACGGGATCAAGTGTTTACGTTTTTGCGTGTCCGTGTACACGCAAAGACTTAGAACACACAATTATACGGTATCGTGCGGATTGGTCTGAACATTATTTTGTTATTCTGTTATGTGTTTTTTTTCCAATAATCGTTCAGAAACACACGAGAAAAAGATGCGAACCGGTATTACCTACCTAACTACAGAATAATTTAATACCAGATGGTTACGTAGCCGGGGAATCGATTAAGGGAGTTTAACAGGTCCCTCGTTTTATTTTATGATTTTTTTTTTTTCGTTATGTTAATATGCGATTACTATTAATTTCTTACGAGTTATTTTAAGTAGAGTACTAATTTTATGGTACGAAAACACATTATTGGTACCTACTTACATCTTTATAGTAATTAAAGGGCTCGGTGTAACAACAAAGCAAGTCTAATTTGACTTTTTGATAGTTTCGCATAAAGCAATACATTTTTTTTTATATACTGTTAAAAAAATTTCCACCAGCAATTTTGCACCGATATATACATATCAAAAAATATTGTCTAAATGGTACTTTAGGGAGATAATATTTTGATTTTCCAAGCGGTTTTCATAGTATCTGAGAAAACTCGGGATAAAACGTAAGAAAAACGGGACATTTTCGAAAATAATGCTTTTTATTATTTTAAATTTTGTTAATTGTTGTAATTGAGCTAGGGATATTCGTATGAAATTTATGGACTTAAAATTTGGACGCAAAACTTATATTCACCATTTCTAGGCATGGTAAAATTTTGGCTATTTTTGAACTATTTATAGACATTTCAATTTTGCGAGTTTTGTACGTAATTTTCGATAAATTATGATCACAATTTATATAAATCATAATCATAATTTATGGTTTTTGATTTTCATATTTTCCATATAATTCGGGTCGATGATTTTTTTGTAAAATTTCCATTTCAAATGTTATTAATTTTTAATCATTAGTGCTCAATATTTTGTTCATTAGCAAAGTATGCTCAGTGTGCTGCACTTATCCTCTTTTATACCTATTTTGTTCTGAATATTATTATTATTGTTGTCGATATAAATTACCAGATTTTTAAAATTGTCCGATTACTCAAAAGAATCCGTGTCCTTATTTTAAAGTCAGATATGCTTATGATACGTCTGAATAATACTAAGTTATTTAGTTTTGTTTTCATTTATACTATGACTTATTTACTAGAAGTGATTAGACTTTTGTGGTGCTTACTATTTTATTTTTAGTATTCTTTAAATTGTATATAATCTGTATGTATATTCCTGTATCTATTTACTTTTTTTACTGCAAGGTTTTTATTTATTTTAAAATATATTTTATTCGGTGATACTCTATGGTAAAATTGATACGTACCATATGAGTCGTACCATTTGATTTGATTTGATAACGCTGTAAAGCGTTACGTTAAAACTAAATAAGTTCGACATCAAACTCCATGATTTTCGTACAGAAAATATTTGAATAACCGGTAAGACGGTACGTGTAAAAATTAAGTATCAAAGTATAGCTAATTAATGGCTATAGCTATACTGATTTTATTTACATTTATATTATATTTCTTAAACTAAATGCTAAATAATGATTTATTTTGAACATTAACGCATTTCAAATGTATTTATATTATAGTTATTATATCTTATATAATTATATATTAGGTACTTGAATATACTAAATATTACTTGTTACTACTATTTATAACGAATTTAAATATTACGTTTTAGAATAAATTTGCATATATAATACAAATATAATAATGATATTATATTATGTGTAGATACGCCTTAAATGCCTTTTTGGTTTGGCTATTAGTCTACTATAAAAGGTATAACTAAAAGAAATCGAATAAATAATACCCAACAAATTACATGAGCTTCTTATACATAAAATAGCGAATCAATTATGTGCTTACAGCGAATGGTTATAGTAATTTTATGATCATATATCAAGATAATATAATAAATTAACAGTTAAAAAATAGGAAATAAAAAACCGGACATACTAATCGGATAAATCATAGCAAATCAAACGACGATTCTGAACAGAACAGTATAAACTGATGAGATGGTTATTATAGCTAATAATGTATCGTGGTTTTTAAAATTTGTTTTTCATTGTAACAACCCATAAATCAATAAAAATAAAACCGTTGATGTATCGTCATTTGATATTAGATTATTTAAATTCTGAACGTAGCGACTAGAGAGGGATCTATTGATCTGCTATGAAGCCCCTTTTTTTCTGTCTGTAAACAACTTTATAACAAGAAATCTTGTTCTAATCAAAAAATGACAAAAGACCTTTTTTGTTGCCTTTTGAATTTAGTTGGTGAGTAAATGGGTCATTTTTTTATTTCCCGTATACTTTTCTTAATGATTGAGCAAAACTCGAAATAAATGTTGAAAGAATGGGAAAGTTTACGGAAATAATAATTTTTAAATGTTCGTTTTTTGTTGTAATTTAGTAAAAATATTCAAAGAAACTTGAATTTTGACAGAAAATTTATATCGGCTTTTCTAGACATGGTGAAATTTTCAAAGAAGGTCGAATACGACTGTCTTTTTGAGATGCGTTAGTCGTACTTATTGAAAATCAAATCAAAATATAGGTAGTTAAATTAGCAAATTAGCTCTACAAATCCTAAATATTCATAAAACAGTGACTCCAGTGAAGTATGAAACAAATTTATTTCTTAATCAGAATGTTTTAGGTCACTAAAAATATTATGCATAAAATACATACTACTTCCGAGCAAGCACGTATTCAGGATCAATTTTTAGGGAGGGGTTTAACGTTTAATATATTTTTAATACGTGAACTATTGTACTTAGTTTTTGTTATATTATAAATATATACCTACTTTAAAAATGAACTCCTACCCCTTTCCCTGTACACGAGTTTGCTTCCGAGTCCTTATTAATACAGGTACCTATAAGTTTCGATTTTCTTATTCAACCGTAATGTAGGTATATGTTTACAAGTTTATACACATCGAATATTAAAGCGTACTTACCGTAACGATTTCATGGGCACAATCGCGTTTCGGATTCACGGGATCCAAACAGGTGAGATTTTACGACAGTGGGGTTGTTTTTAACGATTTTGTATGTATACATCTGCTATTATATTCCGCGTTAAAAATATATAGATTGCACACGGATATTTTCCCCCGAAAACCTCTGCGCTTCCTATATACACGTTTTTGGGGAAAAAAATGTAACACAATAATTTATAATACAATACGTGAACCGGTGTACCTATTGTGCTGATAGCCAGGATAGGTACGGGTCTATAATTTATATCCACAATGCAGGGTGATCAACATAACGTAAGACTCGCAGAAAGTTACATTTTTTCGAAATTTGTTTTTTAAAATATTAAAAAAATAAGTAGTTTTAAAATATTACATTTTGATTATATTTTGTCACTCTTATTTTTAAGGGTCAAACAACTATAAACTTTTGATTTTACAATATCAACAAAAAACGATTCAGAGCAAAGTTTAGTGAGATATATTTTGAATAGCTGTGATTTCATCAAAATTTAATCTTAAAATAAACGCTTATTGAAAAAAAATTATGCATTCAATTTTTTAGACCACTAATAATAACTTATAATGTACCTTGTATTAAATTTTCAAAAATTTCTCTTCAGTGATATAATTTTAATAACAGCTAACAGATATACCTACCAAATAAAAATATATGTATAAACATAAAACACACGAAAATATTAAATACTTATAAATAGCATAAAAATAACTATAATGTTTTGAAAATTGTATAACGTCTACAAATGGCCAATATAAGTATTTTGTGTAAACTAGAGGTCTCTGAATAATTTTTAACCAAATAACAACAAAAAACTTAAATGCCGTACATTGTGCTGTATTTCTTACGTTGTTTCTTGGTTTTCGTAATTATTAAGAAAACTGTACGAAAAATCAATCAACGACTTTCTTACTTCTTCGAATTTCTTCACAAACTAGACAATACTATTTTTTTAGAAAATATGCTTTTCTTAAAATTTGGAGCAATATTTATAGTAGAAAACATAATCCGTAAAAATTTAAAATAATGAAATCATGCCATAATTTGAAAAAATTGTAAATTTCGTCTTTTTTGGATTTCCTAATTATTACAAAAAAAATGTTTTAGACATCAAAAAACGACTTTTTTGTCAGTAGCTGTATATTTAATAGGAAAAAAAAAATTTTTTTCGATTGGAGTTATATTTCAGGTAGAAAACATCGTGGATACAAATTTAAAATAGTGAAATCGATAACGCCGCAGCATGCCGTAAATATTTAACGTTCTACCTATAATTTTCTTCCGGGTTTTTCCCAATTATTTCAAAAATCCCTTAGAAAATCAAAAAATGACCTCCCATCGCATTAACTAGAGACAATTTTCTTTCAGAAAAGGTACCCTACTCTACACATTGGGCAATATTTCTGGCAGAAAAGTTGTTTACAGATACAAAATAAAAAAGTATGCTAATGAATAAGATATAAATAAACACAACGATAAATTTTTGCTGATTGTTTTAGTCGGTTAATTATAAAATCAAAGACTTAGGTAAAATTAAATGTTTAGGTTGGTTAATATCGAACGTGAAAGTTGAAACATTAATATCAACATAATTATTGTTATTATTAATAACAATAATTCAGAAAAAAATTTTTTTTTCCTTTAGCCACGTTAAAAATTATATATTTTTTTTTCAAGTTTGTAAATAACTTTTATACCAAAAAACCATATCCCAAACATTATTAGAGATAGATATTATTAAGAAATATAAATGATTTGGTTATTATTTATTAACTAAAAAGTATTGATATAAAATATTATTTTTAAAATCGGTTTGTATATTTAAAATATTATTCAAATTATTTTTCTTTATTTCATTATATATTTGCAATTCTTCTAAAACTTAATTAATGTAAATGTTATTTTGGGTAATTTATATCTCTTTGTCTGTGTTAATATGAAATCTTATATTATTATGGTTATTTTCCAAAACATGTTTAGCAAAATTTAAATTAGGGGCAGTCTTTTTTAATTTTATTTCAAAAATGTTTTCTGTATATCTTATTTTAAAATTTCTATTTGTTTTACCAATATACAATATATTACAGTTTATTACATTTAAGTTTATACATGCCAGCATTTTTTGTGAAGTTTTTAGTGCTATTGTTTGTATGTTTGATTAAAATATTATTAGACTTAAAAGCAATTTTCACATTATTTGAATTATTGTTCAGAATTTTAGTGAATTCATTAGACGTATTATTTTAGTATTTCATACTGCAATAGTTAATAATATTTTCTTTTGGACTTTCGGTATGAATTTCTTTTTTTCTATATATTCCTTCATTTAATTTTTTATATTCATTCGCGTTTTACTTTTTGACTGTGATATACCTGATGATGAATTTTTAGTTTGAAACCCGCCGATCGTATAATACACATTACATACGACGCATTCATTGATTTATTTATTTTTTATTTATTATATTTATTTACCATTTTAATAATTTTGTTTTTACTTAATTGTTTTATTAATAATTTATGTATTTATAATTGTTTAATGGCCAAATATAACAAATTCATATAAGTTTGAAAATAAGATGCATTTTTAAAAATTTAAGTACAACAACAGTTAACTGCAGTGTTAATGACGGGGATTGTAACAGGGAATCCAAAGAGTAAACATTTTACATTTGTTTGTTACGGACAACGTCGGGCGGGGCAGCGAGTACAATATAAAAGTTAATAAGTAGTGCTTCTTTAATTTTAGAATGTCAAGTAGTAAACTTTAGAAAATTAAAAATGGAAAGGGGAGAAACTTGTTGGTAAGAATTGTATGGAAGTTAATATAATATAAGTGTGTATTTTGGAAAATAAATTACGTACAATTTTTAACCAAAACACTCTATCTCACTTTATAATCAACTAATTGATATTAAATTTTAAATTTTCCATTAATATATTTTAATGAAAAATAATTGTCAATCAAATGAACGATTTTTTTAGCTTTAAAAATTGGAGTTTTGACCAGCTTAATATTGATTTCATCTCACTTTGCGCTATTGCTATAAAATAAATTCAACTCTAATAACCATCTAATTTGAATAAATATTAGCATAAATAAAATATACTTAAGTATATTATTAATTCTATAATATTATACTAAGTTTTTTACTAACCTATATAAATTAAAATTCAATCGCGTGTTTTCTGGTTTGCCAACAAATACTTAAATGTTTTAAAACTAAAAGTTTAATAGGTACATATACGATAAACTTCCAAGTATGCAGAAAATGTATGCGTTCAGTAGATATGTTCTATAAATGTATAAATGCAAATTCAAGTAGTTTTACAAATTTCGATTTTTATTAGAGCAATCTAAGGACGGCTGTATGTATCTGGGACGACCAGAAAATGAATTTACAAAATGTGTTAGGTCTGTTAGCAAACAAAATGCATAGGCATTTCGGTTACCTACTTGCCTAAATATACAATTTTTCATGGCTAATTAACATTGTTTAAAACGTTCAATAGGTAATTATTATAATTGTTTGTCGTATATTGTTTAATTGTACATAAGTCCGATGTTTTCTATAGAAAACAAAAATGAAATGTACATAGAAGTTAATTGGTATTGGGTACCTACCTATATTAATTAAAGATATAATTGTTATTGTGTTTTTTATCTACAGCACGCAGGTTTTTTTTTCATTTTTAGATCGTATTTCATGACATTTCGAAAATTCATGTACCTACTCGATATACTGCAGTTATTCGTACAATACTAATATTAAAAAAAAAGAGCTGATACTAATATCGGACGGGTGTGCCGCTGCTGTAGGTTGGAAGTTGGAAAAGTAGGGAACATAAAGTTATTTAATTTAGATCTGTAAGCAACCATTAAAAATTGTGATTTATGATTTATGATAATAAACCACATTTAAGATATTTTAAACCATGTGACAAACTATATTAATTTCTTATCGGCAATTTGTATTTATTTACTAGTATTAAATGATATTTTAGAAATATTAGAAATATAACCTTTCATAAAAACCTTTCAAACTTTCCGATAAATTTTAATAATTTTATTTATTGTCAATCTGTGTTCATATGTTATCATAGTCGTGACTCATCGTGGCATTTATTATTTGAATTATTTAATTATTAATTCTAACTAAAAAAAAATGACTGAATCTGTTAATATTAACATAGAACTTTATTATGATTGAAGAATGGCCAATAGTTTGGGATAAGACTTTAAACATTTACAAAGACAGGGACTTAACGAGAGACGCATGGAAAGAAATATGATTTAAATATATTAATTAATCGAAATTAAAAAATAAAATATTTACACACGATTTACCGATTGGAACTGGATATCGACTTATAATACAAGTCCATACCGTTGTCGAAACTGTGTAAAATTATTACCCGGATTTACTTTTATCCGATCTGTTTGCACTGTCGTTGCAGAAACGAATTGTGTGAAACACCGCATCATATTTACACGCTCCTGGTAGCGTATAAAACAATTTGGCAAATTATTTGGATAACTACAAAGAAAATCAAAAAAACATAAATCTTACTCATATCAACTATATATGTTTCTATGCCAGAAAAGATTTTACCTACTCATGAATTTCGGAGCAAGTTTTCTGGTAAAAAACGAAAATCGAAAAACTTTTTAATACGTTTGTAAATCGTTCGTGAATTTGTAGGTTTTTTTTTTTTTTATTGTTTTTTCCCAACTATTAATGAAAACCGCTTGAAGAATCAAAAATGATCTCGAGGACTAGGGGCTCAGCACCTAGTCCCCCCTGTATCTGTTCCTGCCTCAATGCACCATCTTGATCCAAAATGCAACGAAAAAGTCATATTATTTTGATTGGGGATTTCTGATAGAAAAGTTACCGGATACACAAAAAGAAAAACTAATAATCACACATATTAGTAAAGTTAAATACGAATACCTCGAAAATTTGTTTTGGCGAACGAGATGGTAAACTATTAAGCACGTATCAGTTTCACGACCACAGTGCCACCCTACGAATAACTCGTTTCAAGGTCTTTCGGCAGAATGTTTACGCTGACAAACTGTTCACGTCGAACCCTGCGCATCGTTATGGGGATTACGGGGCACTACGGCACGACAACAAAAGTATCGACGCGTTTTGAAAGGATCTCCCTCCCGACTTCATTTCAAAAGATTTTTTTTATACATTATTATATTGTACGAATATCCAGTTTATATAATTCTAAAGAAAAAATGTATGGGTACACGCATAAATTATTCATAAAACATAACGTGGGGGGCTCCCCCCCCTAAATCTCCATCTATCTTTCTACGCATAATTTTTTTTTCAACTGTTATAACAATAATACTCGTACCTATACATAACATAATCCACCCTTTGTAATTTACAATACATTTGGCATATTTTTTTTAAAAATAGTTACTCTATATTCATTACTTAATATATTTTTTTACATTATACTTTATTTTGGTCAAGAATAATTTTTTATAAAGTTGCCTTTACAACCAATATAACTAGGATCCAGACGTTTATGAAATTGCATATTTTTTTTCTGTTTATCCAATTTAATGATTCATGTTCTGCTGAATCAAACAGTACTATTTTTATTTCGCATGTTTTTCATATTTTATAGTTTTGTATTTTAAATGCATATTTTAAATTTTAAGAATATAAATAATAATAATAATAATAATAATTTTATTTACGGAAATTAATTTCAAAATAATAAATTGACAGTTTATTTGAACATGGCGAAAGAAATAATCTATTAATACTAAATAATAAAATTATGTTAAACATTTAAATTATCATGCAAAATAAACTATTTGTAATAAATTAATACAAGAATTAATATACTAAGTTATGGATTATAATATATTATACAAAATAAACTAAACTATTATTAATAAATTAAAGACTTAATGTAAGATAGTAAACAGTTTTACTCGGATAAAATATTTGAAAAATTGAGTAAAGCAATGTTAAATATATCAATATTCTGAATTGAATTTCCCGCGGTCATAAGAACATTTGCCGGGGTGTATAACATGTATTTTTATTAATTGGTGAAGGATAAAATAATGATTTATTTCTTGAACGTGATTGGTTTAATCTAAAATTTAAACGCTCAAGTTCAGGACAATTAATCACATTTTGTGATAATTTATAAAGAAATTTACCGTTCAACAAATTTTTTTCTTTTATCTAAAGACATTATCCTAAAAAAACTACAAGTAATATTATATCTTGAATGAAGAATTTTTTCTATATGACATATGTACGATAAATATCTTAGGAAGTTATTTTGGACTGAGAATAAACTTTGATTTTGTGTGATATTATCAGTGTGCCAAATTAAGGCAGCGTAGTCAAAGTGAGACCATACTAATGAGTAGTATACAATTCTAAGAGCCGGCTCATCGTTAAAATCCTTGCACATACGTTTCAAAAATCCTAGTTTCATAAAGGCTTTATTCCTAATGTAATCAATGAGATGATTGAATGAGGGCTTCAAATCAAATAAAACACCCAGGTCTTTAATAAAATCTTTACGTGACGCATTAAATTATTTAACGTATAATCAAAAATTTATATTTCAGTACATTTTTGAACTTTTAAAAACAATTTAAATTAATAACGAAATATAAAGCAGAAAGCATACAATTTAAACAAATTAAAAAAAGATTGTATCACACAATAAAACTATTAAAACTTTTATTATAAACTAGCTGAATTACCCGGCGTTGCCCGGAAACAAATTCGTGACAAATTAGATAACGCCATGCATTACCATTTACCGTCTTAAATTCATAATTATCGATAATATACATAATAACCTAATATCTAAATATTTATTTTTATCGATAAACTTCTCGGAACAATTTTAATCTCGGAATCATTATTCTTATCTACACGACGACGAACAAAAAGGATAGGTTGCAGGTGGCTGGATACCCGCGGGCCGCCGTGCCGCACAATACGTATTGGCGGTGAATAATTATAATTGTTAATTACTCCACTAAAACGCGACATTTTTGAAAATCCCTCCTTATTGCACGGTGAAAATATGAGAAGAACCTATATTCCAAATTTCAAGTCCGTACGTTCCGTAGTTTTTGAGATACAGCGGATCAGTCAGTCAGTGGTATTTGGATTTTATATGTATAGATCAATATGTAATATTAAAAAAATAATCAATAAAAAAAACTACTAATACAAATTAAATACTTAAGGTAAAATAATTTTTTTTGTGCATATTTTATGATTTTTAGTGTATATTTCGATTGCATATTTGGTAATTTTTCAGTGCATAAATGCATACATATTGCACTTATTTAAAGTGCAGAAATATCCGAACCCTATACAATATAACCAATATATAACCATTGATCTTAACGAGCGCTGGTTATAAATCATATAACTCAAGAGCAGAAAAACAATTGGGTAAAGTTAATGCTATAGAATAAAAATTTAGTTATCTTATTTACGTGATCGAAACGTATAAATAGATATTTATTTTATTATTATTTACCTTGGATGTTTTTTTTTTTTTTTTTAATGAATTCATCCATGAATGTTATTATAAATAAGTTTATAACAATATAACTGCATAAATTACAGCAGGTATACATTATAATATAACTAAATGCGTTAAAGCTTATAGCGAATTATATCTGGAACTATAACGGATGGGGCAATATCGTGAGCATTACCAATCTATGTAAAAATAGATCTACGCACGCACGGCACGCAGACGGCAATACCATTACGAATATATTTTTTTTGTCATTGAATGTCGAATTAATGTACAATATCAAACAAATATTATTAACTTGATAACGTTCATACGTCATGTCCGAGACCGTGTACATGCAAACCGCAGGTCATAATATAATCTGCCGAACTATGATTTTCCTAATAGGCACGCGCATAAAAGAAAAATTAGTAGGTTAACATTATCAGTTCCTCCACAACATCCAGTATTGACCGGTGTTTTAGATATAGAACTACTGAATCTTTATCTTATCTAGATTAATAGGTTAGGTTATTTCTCTTTCAGAAAACTAATCAGCTAATTTTTCGGCATTTCGTTCGAACATATTTAAAAAAAAAAAATTGTTTGAAGTGTAGAACACGCGAACCGTAACCAACAATCAAAACTAAACATTGAATGTCAACAATAATAACATTCAATATTAAACGCGTCGCAATCTCGTAACTCCACACTCGTAGGTAAAACCAACCACTCCGCCGGTTTATAAGTACCTAATCTCCTAATTTTATGCGTGTCTTATTCATAAACACAACGAATGATTGATAATTGATAATAATGTGAATATAAGTTTTTATATTACATTTGCAATTTATAAAATATATTCCGAATAATCTAGACATAATCAATATAGTATGCAAAATAATTTTGTAAATTTGTAATCTAGACTTTGTGAATCGGGTTTATATCGTACTCGGGTACCTATATAATTCCGATTGCGCGAAAAAAATACGCAGTCATAAATATCCGAATTTTTTTATTGTCAGGTATTTACGATTACCTTACTGTGTGTGTGTGTGTGTGTGTGTATTTACGAGACTGTAAATGGCGTAGATGAAACAATAATATCGTTCTTGTTTAATTACATCAGTGGTTCACAACCTACGGTCTATGGGATATTGTGAAGTGGCACGCGGGGGCCATTCCAATAAAATCGAAAGAAGTATAACGTGGTTAAAGATAGTAATTGAGTTTATTGCGTCGTTTATTTGTACGTTTATCGCGCAAAATGTCACTTGTGTTACGAATTATTATAACCCGTCGAATACAAAGTTACGTACAACAAAAGATCTGCGACCTGTAGCGGTTTGCGGTCTACCGAGAGTTCTTCAAGTAGTCCGTAGCGTCAAAATATGTCGTCGGGAACCTCCGGTTACATAAGAGACCAATACCCAATAATTATAACCCTCGTTCAGAGGCGAGCGTATTTTCGCGACGGAAATATTCGTGCGTGCCCGTTCGTTATCAGCTAGGAGTCCGACATTTTGTTGTATAGTTATTGTCTTAGTTTTCGGCCAGAAAGGTGGCGGTCGGAGGGTAAATCGGGCACAAATAACTCGGAACCACGGTTACGTAACCGTGCTCCGAACACAATACGATATCATCAAACGGTCATACCTCGTAAACGACATTCAACAATATTATTCAATTGCCAACGAACGGCTCACGGCTCACGGCTTAAATGCGCTTGGTACATTCACACTGGTACAGCGTTGGGAGTTCGGACTTCTCAATGCGGTATAACATACGTTATCAAAAACCGGTAATAAATCACGGACGAATTTTTCGGGAGAATTTATCTAGACGACCATTAAAACGATCAGGTGTCCGTAATAATTGAATGTGAATTAGTTTTGTTTTTTTTTTTTTTTACACGATTATCGTTACCTAACGCTATAATTATTGTTTCTGTTATCTGGGCTCAACACCGACTATACCGCCGGCGCGTCGTCCCCTAGCCGAACGCGATTTCGCGCCGGTTGTAATTAAACAGCATTTTAAGAATTGGGATTCCCAGACCGGGGACGGCTAATTGGCGGGCCCGCCGTTTGTGTCTGACGCGAGCGATATTTTAGCGGCCGATGATGCCGTTTCGTTCTGGACGTTTGGCTTGGGTCGGTGACGGTTTTTTTTTTTTCGAAACTTGAAATTAGTTAATTACGGATCCCAAAGTAGAAATATTGTTTTGTTTCTTTGGAACGTAATATTTCAGTAGCGGGCTATCGTGGAGAATTACATCATTTTCGGGGGTACATTTTGTGCGAATGTAATGAAATAATAACGTACGGTTTCGTCGTTGTTAATTATTTTACACGCGCGCCGCACAATCTGTTAACGTGAAAACAATTTTTAAAAGCAAAAATCCATTCGCGCAAAACCAATCGCCGGGCGCCCGGCCGCTCGCAAAATCGCGTTCAGCTGGCACGCGGCGCGTGACCGTTGCGTAACATCTTAGGCCGCAAATACTACGGACAGAACATTGAACTTTGTTACGTAACATAATATTAAAGTAGGCAAGGTATTAGGCAGTCGTAATTTTAGTTCAACGGGATAGAGAAACATTGCGCACGCGTGTCCGATCGAATCGGGAATGCCTGCGATTCGGAATTTATATCGCTTATTTTGAACGTCAAAACATATGTAACACTCAAATTTATTTCGAATTGTACTTTCATTTATTTTAAAGTTCAATGACTTCCGTTTGTAAATTATTTTTAACATGATTTATGTCTGGAATAATTTTATTTCATTAACATATCTATACAAATCATCAGATCTTATTGAAAATTCATTTTGCGATTGTTCCATGATATTAAGAAATTTAAGTTTAATTAAATCCCACTACAGTAGTTTACGAAAGATTCAATCGCAAATCGTATTTACAACACGAAAAATGATAAAATTGTTGTAAATTCAAATGATTGTACGGTAATTTTAATTTTACTTGAAACGATTTAACATCAATATACATATCTGGCAGACATTTTTTTTTTCAACAAATATGTTTTATTCATTAACATTTCTATTTCTAATCGAAGATTGAAAAATCGTTAAAATCAAAAAAGTGCTACTATCTCTACTCAACCATCTGACATCTACAAAATATAGAACGTCTACACAGGGCGATTCAATTCCATTCAAAAATTGTTGAAATTAATGATAATCAAAACCGACCATTAACCGAATAAATAAAATTTAGATATTGAGCAAATTACAACACCCATGACTTCTTTCCGTGCAAGAACTTTACAAAACAATGGTTTTTGGTGAAACCTAACAAATCAATTTAACATCATTGTGTGGGCCATGAAAAATTGCTTTGCGGGCCGCGGGTTGCCGACCCCTAATATAGAAACTCACTTCAGACGAAAACGCAACTAACGAAACACGGGGAACGCAACCAAAATATTGACATAAAAAAAAATTATACTGCGACTATTAATATTGTATCGAGAAGTACTATTGCAGGTTTTTCCAGTGTTGGTAAAATAATCAGGTACTGATTATTTGACATAATTTATTACGAAAAACCTCAAATATGCAAGATTAAAACTACCATTGTAATTCTTTGAGTGATAAAACTAATTCCTATCTTACTCTGCATTAATTTAGATGTAAAAAAATATGATAAATGCATAAATATCCGCTCTCTAATTATCACTTATTATATCATACAATTTGCAATACACGAAAAAAAAAAAAAAAAAGAGAAATTATGAGACAAGGTAAATTTTACTATTTTATGTAAAACATATTTTCATAAGTATTTTTCGTTAGTAATAAAATAATAACTTATAATTTTGAAAATTGCACGGTAGAGGAGGCGATACCACACCCCCGTAGATCCGCACCTGGCATAATATAATGAATGATAACCGAATAAATAAGTTTGAAGGTTAAATGAATACGTGACTAGGTAATGTTAAAGCAATTACCTGAAACCATTGTTTGTATTTAATTGTATTATTAAAATTAGATTGACCAATAATAGGTGGCAATTGTATAATGTATTATAATAAATTACATTATTTAATAATTTAGTATAAAAATAATCTAGATTTCGGACAATGTGTTTAATGTAAATAACCTTCATACGACTGGAAAAAAAATAAAACACATCTTAATGACGGTTTAGGAACCCGAGTACCTACAACATTATCATCTGTTTTTCTGTAAATTGTTTCATTATTATCAGTTTATGGGTTTCATATCTGTAGTAGACTTAGAGTTCACTACAGTATTATATATTGTTTGAACTATCAGTAAACATTTATAATAAATTTAAAAACTAAAAAGTTACTCGGGTACCTTTTCAGTCACATAAAGAATGAATAAAATTAATTTCTCAGATATGTAATAGACAAATATATAAAATAGAGGCCAATATTCAAGTCCATTAACCAATTATTTATTATTAAATTAATTAATATAGATTTTTATATTTCTGGACAATTTTTTCTAATACTATCTAAATCAACTTAATTATTTGTCATTAATAATACTGAACTTTAATGTGCACGATGAAATTAATTGTTTTAGGTCAACATAAGTTTTTTTTACTTATTCATATGAAGAAAACATTAATTATTATATATCTTTTTTTTTTTTTTTAACTCATAAATAATCAATATGTCAACTATTAATTATTAAATAAATAATATTGGTTGTGTATTTTTATCAATATATTGATTATAATAGGTACTTTTAAAACAATACAATGAAAATTGTCTATTCAAAACTATAGTTTTAAATAGTCTTTTGTCTGGATATAATATCAGTTTAAATGGATTATAAGTAGGTACTGGTGTACAACATAAGAAAAAGTTAAAAATCGGACGTTATTTTAATATTGTATACAGTTTTACTAATTGGAAAATTTAAAACATTAATTAGGTATTGTAATATGTTACAGTTGCTGTTGATATCTTAGAATTTTTTTTTCCGAGTGATTCTTGTATTTAGACAGACCACACATATTAATCATAATATTACATTTAAAGTTTAAATAAATATAGAGTGTGACTGTAAAAATAATAGTATAAAAACTAATAAATAATAATAATCCGTACGAATACATCATAAACTAATAAAATAACAAATAATATATAGGTTGACACCTAATAATATAATTAATAATAATATGAATTTTACACAATGGATAAAATGGAAGTGATAAACTTGTAAATTATTAATTATTATAATGTAAACTCCTGTAATAATTTGGTCCTTTACACTGTTTCATATTCTTCACGAATAGAACGACTACGAAAACACGCTAAAAGTACGGCTAAGAACTAAACAAAATAAACAAAATTTTACACATTAATATATCTAGACTTAACAATGTAAAATAAGGTAAATTATATTTCATGATATTAATACGAGTTGGAATAATTTTACATACCTGAACTAAAGCAAATCCAATAGAACTCCACATTATTGTTTTTTCATTACCCTCAAGTTGAGTTTCAAATCTTTTAAAGCAGCCCAATTTATAGGAATCTATTATAGTACAATGTCCATCTACAGGGATTTCTCTACAGCAAGTTGTTGGCAGTTTGTTGTGCAAAACTGGAGCCCAATCTTTTGGTCCATTAACTCCACAACATTCCATCTAGTTAATAAATTTACCTATTTAGTTAACAATATTTTAATATTAAAATTAATTTACTTACTTCAGATTGAACTAAATTCCAAATTTTTGTGGAAGTTTCGCCATTAGTTGTATTATAAGAAGGAAGAGAATCGTTCATTTCTTTTAGTGCATAATCTTTCACTTGATCACCCATATAATAAACAGCAGCGGATAAAACTAATTCTCCGATTAGAACGATTGTGAGTAATATAGTAAACTAAAAATAACCGAAAATTCAGAGTATTTTCAACTAATAATTATTTATAATACTAGGCAAATACCTAAGAACGTAAGTTTAAAACTAGAATATCATACCAGAATTAAAAGACATCTGCTGTCTCTGAGTACACCGCATATACCAATAAAGGCAATTAGAAATACTCCAATGCCAATGAAAAGCAGTATTTTTGGTGCGCTGATCAAACTTCCGTCAACAAAACTGTCCCATTTCTTGAAGTTTTGCCAGACAATGAATGTGATCGACAAAATAATAATACTCGATATCTGTAATACGTACAAAAATCTCGACTCAGGGAACTATGCTTAATGTAAAAACGACTATCCGTGTCAACACAACAAAATACTTACAAGACACAATAGATTGAACAAGTACAAAGCGTACTTGCCCAAAAACGCGAAGATGGACATTTTTTTTGATAAATGAAAGCTAAAAGTTTATTGAATATTAGACACTAGCAAGCATGGATATAGTAGCAAATATCAAAAACAATACTACACTGAAATAAAATTCTGAATCGGGAAAACCAACGACGAACCAGACACACTAAATAAAACAAAATGCTAATCAATAGTGTAGAACTGCAGACAACGGCGGCAGACTTCCACAGTTCCACCTCCTACGATATAATCATAATGACATGGCTACAGGGGCCTACAGCTGTAGGCTGATATTGAATGATTCACCGTGTTATCATTTTAAATCAAGTTAACAATAACAAAGACAGTAGATGCACAACATATTATTAATATATAGTTATAGTTATAGTATTGGTATTACGTAATATTTGTTCATAATTTCATATAATTAATTTGTCCGTATGTATGCTATTGTAATTGTAATATTCGTTATTGTTATTGCAACATTTTAAATGTTTTACCAGTTAGAGCTCTTTATAAGCGATTTGCAATTTTAAATGTCTCCAAAAAACCTATAGTAAAAAATGAAAGTAAAAGAGAGTTTAGAGCGTGTTTTATTAGTGTACGGTGGTTTACTTATAATCAATTTGGTTAGAGGTTTGTTGATTACCCGGGTCCAATTATGTATCATTCTTTGTCTTTGGACATAAAAATTAATATTTCTAGTTCCACTTTGATGTGTAATTATATATAAATTATAAGAACGGTTAAAATTTGGTTATTAAATGATTTTGTGTAATAGTTATGTTCATATTAAATTTATAATGCATTGAATTAAGAAAATATAATGTATATCAGCATTTAAAATGTAATATTATTGTATTTGTTGTAAATACTTTTGTTTACAATTTTGTGATTCATTTGTCCCATCAAAAGCTATGCTCTCTGTGGTAAATTAATCAAAATTGTTTACTTATATATGTATTTTATGTGTTGTAATTTGTTTTTGATCTAACTTATAAAAAAATTTGAACATTGTGTATTCGGTAAATCAAAATTCGCAATAGTCAATAGGTACTTGCCCAAGATTAATGGATATAGTAGTTATAAGCCTTTTCTTTCAAGAAGAAAGTGTAAATTGTACACAAGTACTATGTAAGTCAGTAAACGATGGCAACAGTTACTAATGAGTGGAGTGTTGTGTTAAACAAACCCCCGATAGTACAATTACAAAAATAAAAATAAATAGTTATTACAGTAATCCCAGTTTTGAGAGATGGGAGGAGAGAGTGAATTTTATATTCATATAGGTTATGGGAAACAATTTCTTAAGTATTAGGTTGTAGGTAATAACTAATAATAAAATAGAGGTGAAAAAATCCCAAGTGGTAGTATCAATTGTCCCCCTACTGAGCTTGGGTAATAAATTGATTATACAATACTGAACAAGTAATGAACACTTGTTTCCTGAATCATAAATACATTTGTAATGATTACATTTGCTGACTGAAAAGTATAAACTTTTTTTTAAAATTGGTTTCAAACAGCATGACAAACCATTTTTGGACGACCAATAAAGACTATATAATATGTAATTATGGCTTGTAAGTAGTGATAATTATAAAAACAATATATTTTCAATGTGTTAAATTCTGAGTGTAGCGAATTTGGTTTTTATACGATTTATGTGGTTTTTGACACTTGCCCCACCCAATAAATTTCAACAAATTTTGTCCAGTTGGAATACTGGGAAGTTATTTGATCATTTTCATTTCGTATTACTACAAGATGCATACACTTATGTATGCATAAACAAAAAAAAAAAAAAAATACAAAAGGTATTAATGGTATTGTTAATAATTAATTTGTAAAAGGAAATATGGACAAAATATAACAAATATATTATTTTTTTCATATATATATAGATATATAGATATATATATGTATTAAAAAAAAAGTTACGTGGTACATAAAATTGTATTATTGTATCATCACTTTACATTTATATACACATACTTAGTTAACATAAAAATCACAATAAAATATTTCAAATCTATACATATAATTACAAAACTTGTTTTATGTGTACCATAAATGTTCTAACACCGTTTTTGGTTGAAAATCGTATCGCTGACACATAAAATAAAATAACAAATAACATATATATTGTCAAAAATTACGAAAACACTTAGGTATTGCATTCTATTACTCAACTGCGAAAAAAAAAAACAAATTGATATATTACGGACCATTATAGTTATAAAATAAAAATAGATTATACATAATTTCATATTCAATAATCTGATGGAGTAATTATGATTTTATTAAGGAAAACACAAAGATATAATAAAATATGTATCAGTTTTTTTTTAAAAAATATTTTCAAAATAATTATAAATACTACAACAAAATTACACCATAATATTAATAAATCACAAAATAGAAAATAATGAACTATAAAATATTTATTTGTTTGACTGTTTTATATTACAACACAGGGCTTCTCTAAAAGCTTGACAATAAAACATAAAAAATATATATATTTACATATATTTCTATTTATATTTGCAACTTACATTAATAGAATGAGATTAAAATAGAAAATTATTAATCGTGCAAAACGATCCCCCAAAAATAGAAAAAATTATATAAATCTGCCCTATAAAATAAGATACTAAAAAGAATAGTTAATTTAATTTTAATCACGAAAGAAAGACAAAGGTTTATCTTTCAATTATTAATATTATTTTATACACAAATGGTTTAAATTAAGCAGCAAAATAAAATTCTTAATGAAACACAATGCACGATTCACTTATTATGTTAATCTAATAATAATGATTATTATTTATAACTGGTAACTTAAATAACTTTTTTTTTTAATAATTTATAATACTACTTCCATGTAGAAATTTATAAATTATGTATACACAGATATATTATATTAAACAATAATAGGAACAAAAGCAATGAAAAATTCATTAGATATTCTTTTACAAAACTAACATAAAATATTTATTTAAGTTTGGGGTTTATTATCTATTTAATAATTTGAATTTGGTAGAATAAAACTTGTATATATATATTTATATATTTTAAGGGTCAAAAATTAGCTTGGAAAATAAAAATTAACCCTGTGTGTCCTATACTGCCCTTCCAAGCGAAAATGCTATAAAAGTAAAAATTTTTTTTAGATAAATTGTAAAATTCAGCTTATTCAGATGAATATGTAAATCTGAAATATTGCTCAACCATTATTTAGACAAATTATTTAATTTAACTTATTAAAACATTGACAATACATGTAAACATGTCTTAAGTAACGAAGCAAAGCAAAAACGTTAAAAAAATATTGTTGGAGATAAAGCATTTTAAAACTTAAACGGTAAAAAAAACAATAATATATGGCATTTTTACTTAATTTATACATAGATTTAAAATATTATATGAAATAATAGTGTTTTAAATTAAGTAACAATGAATTTGAATAGTTTTACATCATTACAACAATGATAATAAAACTCATAGAAGTAATAATACTTGTTATTTACAGCATTCTTGCTTACAAAGGCAGTATACTCCTATATTATTATTATAATTAATGTTGTAGGAATTACACATATAAATTTTTCTTCATCTTTGGAATATCAAAAATAACATGATTGCACAAATACGATGAAATTAAAGAACTGGAAAAAATTAATAATGTTCCATTGATAAATGGAATACATTTATTAAACACATTTAACTTACATAAATATATATATAGATATATATATTTCAATTTTTTTTTTATCAAAAATCTGAATTAAATAAATTAAACTATTTGAAATTAAATTAATTGCACAACAAGAAATTTCAGTAATTTGAAACATAAAAAAAATAAATAAATAAATAAAATAAATGTAAACAATAATTGTTATAAGAGTAAAATTGTTCATAAATTTCATATGTAAAATAAACATTTTCTACATAGAACAATATAATGTAATTTATGTCTAAAGGACATTAAATAAAGATAGTAGGGAGAATAAAATAAAATTGTTATCAAAACATAATTTAATTTAAAAATGTCCAGAAAATTTGGACTACCTAGATTGTGAAGATTCTTCTTTTTTAGGTAATTGCATATCCGGAGGCATTTGTCGATGAGTGTTAGGGGATGAATCTTTTGGTCTTAAATGAGCTTGAGAATGATAACCAAATAATTTGGCTCGGTGTTCTTCTTCTTCAGCTCTATAAGCAGCTGCAGCAATCAACGGACTGAACCTCAAAGAATCATATCTATAGAATATATACATTTGATAGATTATATACAATATATGTAAGTAATAGATGAACTATATGTTAAGATAAATAAACCTACTTTAATTTGAAACAATAAACATACAAAATAAAAAAAAAAAAACTACAAAATGCTAATGTAAGCAGTATTCAGAAAGTTTCAGATTTCTACGATTGTTTATTACAGAATAAGGTACAAGTATTTTTATAAAAAATGGTCTAAATAAATAAAACTTGGAAAAAAAATACTCCATGTGAGTAAAGGTGATAACCGAAACAGTGTGAGTGGTTAAGGGAATGAGTTTTTCGGGGATAAAAATTAACACATGCTGTTTGCAATGATTTTAATTAAAATTAATATTATACCTGCTGCTATTTTGTAAATTTTTTTTTTTATAAATGTTATCATGTGTGTGCTTGTTTTAATCTTTTAATATACTATATTACTTTAATATATACCTATATTGATCCCACGGTGAAAAATGTGTTGGTAGAGTTCTCTGGGGATGTCTTTGTGGTGGTAGGTAATGTGATGGTGGTGGAATACGACCTAACATCATATTATTCATATCATCTTCCTTTGACATCATATTAGGATCTTTTAAAGGAGATCTTTCTCTCATCTTAGCTACTTGTTGCTGGTGCTGTTGTTGTTGCTGGTGTTGATGTTGTAAATGTTGTTGCTGTTGATGTTGCTGCTGTTGTTGATGCTGCAATTGTTGCTGTTGTTGTTGCTGCTGCTGCTGTTGTTGCTGCTGAATCATCAGTCTTCTTTTTTCTTCACGTTTTACTCGTTCTCGTTCTCGTCCCCTCTCTCTCTCTTTTTCCCGTTCTCTTTCACGTTCACGTTCTCTTTCCCTTTCTCGTTCACGTTGCTGCTGTTCTGCTCGTTCGGTTTCTACAGGATCTGGTTTTATTGGCCAACCTCCTGTAGGACCATAGGCTGAATTTGGTGTAGGTAGTCCACGAGAAGGTTGTAATCTAGCCCATGGATCATTCATGGGATTGGGAGGGTAAGAGGGTATTGGTGGGAACCCAGTTGGATACCTAGAAAACATTGCTGCAGCACCTAAAAGTTCATATTATAATAAATATCTTCAGAGTAGAGAAACAGTAGACAATATTTACCCATAGGTGGATATCCAGGAGGTAATCCTGGATGGTGATGATGAGGTGAAGTGAACGGAGAGAGATCATGTGGTGGTCGGCTGGGTGGAAACAAATGTATTGGCGGCCTTAATAATTCAGTCTTTGGCACTGGGTTACTGGCAACATTTTTGGTTTCAGCAACTTGTTGTTTTTGTTGATAATGATATATTTCCCAAGCTAAACGTACATGCATTGCATTCCATTTCCCAGGTTTCTATAAATTTTAATTTTATTTTTAAAAAAAATTACGGACAAATTTTGCAAAATAGGTGGGCTACTGTTGTTGATAAGAAGTTAGTTAGGTAGGATATAGAGGAAAATTGAATACATATGTGTATGCAACGATTAATCTTTGATAACGAAAAATGATTCTGAGTGAAGTTTAGTTATACATGTTTTAAAAGACCGTAATATTTATAATTTGAAAATAATACATCATAGAAAAACAAATAGATTCCTTGCTGTGCTAAGTATCTAAAATAAAGAGATACTAAAGATATTATATTTTATAATTTACTTACACTTGATTTTGTAGGCTTAGATGTATCAGTCAACTGCTGAAACAAAAATATATATCGATTACAAAAACATAATTCCTTAGAATTAAAATAATAATACATTTGGAGATTAAATCAATATATTAACTAAATTTTTTAGTATTAAAATAAAAAAGGCTCATTTTTTTTCTATAGTCAATCTTTTAGTTATGTTAACAAATAATATTAAAAATAAAAAACTGAATAACACAATAATATGCTGATAGAAAAAACTTTAATAGTACAAATTTGAGAAATGGAGATAACAAAGTAAAATATTTTCTTAACATTGTTTGAATTTGTTTAGTGATTTTTTTTTCTTATTTATGTGGAAAATTGAGAATATTATAATATACACAATATTAAATTAACTGTAAATTCTAATGTGTAAATATTGATGATTCTGATAAACATAACAACTTTTTATTTTCTTATAATACATAGAGCAATCAACATAATAAAATTTTTATATCAAATTAAGATATTTTGCAATAAATTAGATAATAATTTAGAAATAAAAATATACTTTTGGAGTAAATGTTGGAATATGATTTGGTGGTGTGAATGGTGTATGGCCCATTGAAGAATGTAACAAGCCTGGTGTAAAACCTGGATAACTACCCGACAATAAGTTTTGTCTGTAGAATGGCGAATCAACTCCACCCAATTTAGGTATTTCTTTAAACTAAAAAAATAATAATGTATAAATATATATAATCATTAATTACAACTATAAAATAAATAAATTTAATATATATTTTCATATTATAAGCTAACCAGTGGTGGAGGATATAATGCTGATGTCGGAGCAGGTGGTATTGTTGAAGGATTTGGTATAGCTGCGGCACTTACAGCTACAGCAGGAATGAGTGGTGTTGCTGTGTGTTGATGAACATGTGTATGTTGATGTTGATGATGGTGCATCTCTGTGCGTAAATAAGGCGCCAAAGCTCTTTCTTGTGAAGATGCCAAAAACCTAGAGTCTAGTTCTCTCCGCAACATATCCGCTTGATCTAAATTAAATAGTATTATTACTTATCTTAAATATACTATATTCTATTTCAACTTACTGGATTGAAATAAAGATTCTGCAGAAAAAGGATTATGAGCTGGTGGCGCTGATGGTAATGAAGAAGATTGAGAAGTAGCAGTGGCTACTGGCGATGAAAATAAAGGAGGTGGATATGATGACGGATGTTGTCGAGTTATACTTGCCATAGTAGACGTTACAATACTGTTATTCCTAAAAATAATATAATTTTATGACATCAATAAGTTTTAGTTTAAAATGTGTGTACTTACCCCATTGGACCCCATAAGGGTGGTTTATTATTATACACAAGACTAGAAGGAGCTGATGATGAAACAGTAGGCGGTAAACTTGAACCAACAGTAGGAGGTAATGCTAATGACGGAGTATTAAATGGTGAAATAGAATTTAATGAAGGTCCTGCACTCCGGTTTAAACTGTTAATAACAAATAAACAATTTAATGATGCATGTCTTAATAAGTATTGTTAAAATATCAGTTTAAAGGAGGGAATATAAATAATATTATATATATAAATTAAGATTTTTAATAGAACAAGGATTATATTATAATAATTTCGTCCAAAATTTTTAAAACAGATGGATGAAAAAAGATGGATCTTTTGAGAAGTAATTTTTGAATTTTAAATTTTTATACTTTGAATATATTACAAAAAAAAACTATAAAATAGTGAGAAGAAGAAAGTCAATTCTGATGTTCACTTAAAAATACTCTTTTTATTATTTTTGATAACTTCTCTAATATTCTAATCTAAACCTTAAAATAAGTGATAAATTAATAAGTATATAATAATGTAAATCAAAAGTTAATTCTTTTTTTAAGAAACATAAATGATACTGTAAAAAAACTAAACAGTTAAAATTTTAAAAATATTATCAGGTACAAACATGGTATACATTAAGTTTACCTATAACTATCACGATCTCTATTGGGACTTGGACCTCGTGGCGACTGTCCTCTACCTAAGAGAGGATGTCCACTCAAAAGTGATGTAGTAGTAGTAGTAGTTGAAGCAGCAGTAGAAGCAGCTACTGGTGGTGGTGGTGCAACAAGAGTAGGTGTTGATACCGCACTTGACTTTGTTGATATCACAGACATTGGAGAAGATCTATTTAATCTCTATATTAAAAAAAAAAATCAATGTATATTAAATTAATTAACATACTTATGAAATAAATGGATAAACTATACGTAGAAAAAAAAAAAACCGTTTTAATTGTTAATTACTTAGTTAAGTTTAAAAAAAATTGATAGTTTCATAAGTGTAAGATTAAATTGAGAAAAAAAAATTTAATTCAAAACATAAATATTAATTAGAGTATATTATAAGAAGCGAGCATTCCAAACTTAATTTTATTTTCTATTATTATTTAAGTATCTAAGACTTTATTCTTAAACGTAATAGGACAAGGGAAAACAAATAAGTTTCTGAGGATAAACTTAAGTAGTAGAGCCTTTCACAATCTTTTGCTTTTTATAAGATTTTATTTTCATCTAAATACAATAGTTTTTTTTATTTATGTAAATAGAATGCCAGATTTTTTTTAATCAATAAATGATTAATACCTCAGTGATTTAGTAATATTTAATAAAATAACAATAAGACATTATTTCATAATTGAATACAATTGACTTATCATAGTAAATTAAATTTAAATAATTTTTTTGTTTTATTTTTAATTTGAACCTATTTTGGTTATTTAACTATACTAAGTTATACTGTACTAAGTGTATATTGTAAAAGAAAATAACTGGGGATATTTTCGTTTTAAATTATGTTAACAATCAAATTTCATACTAATAGAAACCAGTATTCCATTTATATTAATATATGCCTTTAAGGTACTTTTAAACACATTTATGTCTGATCCATCAAGATACGGAAATACGAATTTATTGTTTTTCAATGCATATAAAATGTATGTACGTTCGATATGACTCCGTTCCGAGCCCCATCTGATCAAAAAAAAATTTTCGCTGACCGATTTTCTGTCTGAGCTCGGACACGGAACGGTGTAAAAATCTAAAACACTGAATCGAATCGGATCGGTGTACGTGAAAGTAACTTTATTATTATTTATTAACATAATATATATAATCTGCGACTTAGACTATTGATGTCTGTTAATATTTGGACAAGACTGATTTTGAATATCAGTAAGTCAGTAAATGATTAGACATTAAGTTTTAAAGGCTTGTTTGCACATACACGAAGAAGGGAGTTTTAAAGTGTTTAACGAGGGTAAATTAAAACTGGAAGTAAGTTGGTGGCAACCCAAAAGTTTATATCGGGCGAAGCAAAAGTCGATAAGCGGTGAGCTTTACGTAGAAAGGGTATCTGGGGAGGTGGGACTCTGTTGTAGTAATTAAGGGAGGTACCTCTACCACCGTCACCGTCATCGTGTAGTTTTATCATTAACCTTCTCTAGACTTCTCGGAGCAGCCGAATGGAAAAATTAACATCCGTGCCCAAGGTAAAGAGAGAAAAGACAGACAAAGAGAGAGAGAGAGAGAGAGAGAGAGAGAGAGAGAGAGAGACAGACAGACAGAAACAGGCGTATGAATTCTGTGCAACGTTTCCCTCGGCTTCCTAATTACAAGCCAGTTTTCAGCTTCGTCGAAACTCTATTAATATTAATGACGCTGTTAAGTTTAACAACAAAACGATGGCCTATCTACTAAACCATAATCAAAACTATGGCCAATGAATTTTCAAATAACATTAAAATTGATGGCGAATAATATATACAAATTTTATTATTAATTAAGCATAATAATTTTAGAAGAACCGTTGTGCTTTATGAAACTCAACTGTGATTAAGGAATATTGCAATGTACGGGTACAAATAAGCAGTAAAATATTATTCATTAGTTTTAATCAATCAAATCGTGAAGTTTTCAAGTACATTTTTTTCCTCCTAAATTTAAAATGTTTATGTATAATATAATATACAACCTTTATTAATATGGCGCATTAATCTCTAACTCTGTAAGTTAATGCGTTGCAAACTTTGGCGTATGAAATATCACGACAAGCTCCAGCCACCCAAAGCACTAGATTTTTGTTTTTTCTAATAAATTTTAATAATTTGATACGAATGACAACAATTAAACGAGTTTATTTTTATATTTGCATTTACTTAGGTACAATCCACTGTACATTTTTTTAAATTTTATTTTAGCAACACCATTTATTAAGTTTGCAAACTTTTAAACTATAAAACTTTCGAGTTGTTTTTAAGTTTATAATTATAATAATTTTAAACAAAATATTTTTACCTACCTAATTATGAACTGTTTCGTATTAAATCGCAATAATTGTCCACTTAAAAAAAAAACTACTCTCTTTATACAAGCAGTAAAACAATAGTATACTTACGGCTGCATTTGACAGCGCAGACGGCATATAAGGTGTACTTCGGTACGGGGCATATAACGGTGGATAATGTTGCGGATGGACAGCAGACTGATACGGAGAGTTGAAATTGGTCGCTTGCGGTGCCGCTGTGATCTGACTACTGGAAGTGCTCGGAATCGTAGCAGAAGCCGAGACAGTCACGGTGGACGATTGAGTCGTGGCATACGGCATGTACGAGCTGGATACTGTAGCTAATAATGACGACGGGGTGGATTTGTACGGACTGGGATGATAGCTGGAAGGCGACGGATACGGGGCACCGTGAGGAGGATGATACATCACGTTCGGCGGTTGTTTTTGTATGTTATAAGGAGAACTGTGTTGGTGAGGAGAAGGCGTTTGATTGGAAGATTTTGGGATGTAATTGGACGCGGCGTGGGATAAGACGGGATGTTGTGACGTCGAAGGGGTGATATACGAATTGGTTATGCTCAAAGACAACGGACACGCTTGTGGCGGGGTTTGATATGGCGGTACACTCGCGGGCGGTGGCACCGTGTTCGTGGCGAAGTTCCGAGGACTGTTGAGTCCCGAGGACGGCACCTGAAAACGAATAATTGCATAATATAGAAAACATAGAAAAATAAAACGACAATAATTTTAATGATTATAACAGAATTATAACTATCCATTATTTTAGCAAAACATCAAAAAATACTCTATCAATCCAAATACGTCTATATATGGAGAATATTAAAATCTGACATAATGTTATTAAGGGCCGAATCGCAGTCGTATAAATATAAAGTTGTGTTTAAAGCATGACAAAACTGTAAGATTTGGGTTTCACAGATTTTAATTTTGATGAAATTCGATTAATTAACAAATTAACCTAGAGTAGATTTTGACGGAGATGATTTTGAATATTTTGATGAAACAATGTACAATATAAATATAAGATCACTATATTTGTGTTCATTTGATATCACGACTGAAAAAAATAGATAATTTTAAATCGATTCCATCATAACCTAGTAAATTTGTTAGTCAATCAAAATCAAAAACGCCCATATAAACGTACCCCATACCCTTATATGGACGTAAAGAGCAGTAGATTAGTGGAAATCTAATTATTAAGGTGGCATTTAAAAACTAAAAACGATTTTCTAATTTTAAAAACCGCGAATCCAACCCCTTTAAATTTTAATGGAAGCACGCTATTTTTAGTCTTCAAAAATTAAACTGTGTATAAACTATTATTAGCTATGTTAATTTAACTAGTATTTACAACCAGCGAGAAATAGATAAATCAAGAATGCAGTATAATAATATGAAGGTATTATTAATTACTAATTACTATTTAGTAATTAGTATATAATAGCGCATTCTTTAAGTCGGTATTTCTATATTAACGAATAAAACTGGTTGTAATTAATACACAACGTTTCTACTATTCTGTAACATTTCTTATAAGGTAATAATACTTATTTATTTTATAAGTCACTGCAACAATGATAATTGTGATGCACGTGCGAAACATGAAAATGATTCGCGAGTGGTATACCGACGTGATTTTTTTTTTTAACCAACAAGTGCGATATTAGGCAGATTACGGCTGCTGGTTTATTTCTTACTGAGAATACTGATGTGATGGATAAACACGATCGATTTAAAATGAACTTGTTTCTACAATATACACGATAATTGTAGGTAAACGTATTAAGTAGGTATTCTGTTGTACTTGTAATGTCCCCACATTAATAATAAAAAAATGTGAACAGCGACAAAAAATAAATAATAATATCTTTGCCAAGAATGGTAGGTACAAAGAGAAACTCGAAACGAGTGTACAGAATAAACAATATTCTCCGGTGAGGTTAAATTGTATACTATTAATATCTATTATACTATATGCTTTGGATTTATCTCTACAGGTTGACGGAAAAAAAAAATATACAACGATCCAAGTGTACTTACTGTGTTTATAGAATCTAAGGGAGTCCCATATCGGGTTTTCAAATTTTCTTCAATTATGTGAGATTTGGAAATGATTATGAATAATTTTAATTTTAATGATAATAAGACTTTTCTACGGCCCAATACCCTTTTTAAAAGGAAAGGCAGACGTTCGTTTTCAATGACGAATATATGACTTTAGGAGAAGAGGGATTACTCATTGCCAGTTCAATATTTTTACATCGTTTCATTTTTAAATCATAAACAACATGATACAACTCGATAATTGAATTCTGAATTTTGTATTTAATTTCAGTTGATAGTCTAAAAGTGTTGGTCAAAAAACGCCTAAAATTGACATAGTAAAGAAATATTTAAATATTTGATATTAAAATATTAAAAACGGAGTTCAATGTGCAGATCGTATAAAGTCTTTCTCTTTCCAGGAGAAAAAAAAAAAAAATAAAAAAAATATAATCAAAATCTGATTATTTTACAAGGCATGATTATTTTTTCCATAAGGCATGTTGTTTGAGAAAAACCTCGTTAGCACCGAGCCCCTTAAATACAAACTGTAATTTTTTTAAATAGATAAATTAAACTTTGTCACTACTTTATTCAAATTTCGTTTATTTTCTGATCAATTATAACGAGAATTTAATATTTAACTATATTTTCTTCGTAAAAATCCTTCACCAAAAACTTTTATTTTTTAAATGTTTAGTATGTGTAACCTCTATACAATTAACATTATAGACACGCAAATAATATTCAGAATTTTACTTACCGGGGAATACCTCGAAGTAACTGTAGCGGGAGGCGTTGAAGGTTCATGTCCATTCAGGTGTGTATTTTGAGGTTTAGGCGTAACGGGGGGTGTGGATTCTGGAGGAGGTATTGTAGGAGACGGGCATTTCGGTTGAGACACCTGTAGAGCCCGAGGAGTTGTTGATGGAGGCGGTAACATGGGATTTTGTGAAGACCTGATAATAGTGGTCGTAGACGCCGTAGTCGTTTCGGGTGCCGGATGGTTATCGAACTCTACGCCGTTAACTAATGGAGGGGTCGGTTGTCGGCTAGGTGGCGTTATTGATATAGGTTCTTTAGGGACTATATTAATATTAGCAGGTAAATTCTGTACAGGTTCGGAAGAAACTCTTCCTGGTAATTCATCTGAAATCATTTATTCAGAATATTAATTCTTATACTTCGATGAGTAAAATTATATGTGACGTTTAATTTAAGATATCGCTTAGTATAAAATATATATATTATGAATCTATAACAACATCCTATTTATAAATTACGATATACTATACACTATTATTAGAAATTTAAATATTAGCTATTTGAAACGAAATTATATATAAATATAAGGACGCATTATTTAACATCGCCAATCATTATAAATGTTCACTGTTGTGTTCTAAAAGTATATTAATTTTATAAAATTTAATATTATATTAATATTATTCTATCCGTATGCGTAGTCGGTTATGTGTTATCGCGTATGTTACCTAAGCATATTTCGGAAAATTTCATTGCATAGTCGACAATTAGGGAATCATTATTACATAAAGTATCTCTGAAGTTGAGTGCACTTCAATCAACTGCACTTAACCACCCCGTAAATAAATATCGCGCAAATTTTTCTATTATATCTGATCGAAAATAAAATGAAATTATAATATTATAATTCTGAAACAGTAATCCAAGGATCGTAAACCTACAATGATTGGCTTTTCTAAAGAAATAGTCGCAGATGAGTTTAACTAATCCAATTATTACACTACTTAGTACTTATAGTTACACATTTCATCGATCTTTCAGCTTCAACAACTATACACAACATCAAATTTCAAAGTAGTTTAACACAAACATGTATGATAATTATCCATAAATAACAATAACAACCTATTAGTAACAATTATTAAGTAGCCGTGTGTAAGCGTTAAGAAGCACCAAACAATAAAGAACTGTGTCACAGATTATTGAACGTATTTCAACAAATGTATCAACCATAATAGTACTTGAGTTATTTATTTTCTTATATTTAGTTAATTATTTTCGAATATTATGAACGAACGGAGGGGTAGTTCTGCGTTATAAATAACTAATAATAGAGAATAATAATTAATAACACTACTAAAAAATGATCAATATATTTAATAGGCATAGAAAAAAACTGATTTTAATATTTTTAATTTATATATTACGTAACTACGTTGTACTTAAATTTAAAACTATACAATCAAAGTTAAAAAATATGTTGAATATCTGCAGGTACATGTCCCGGTTACTAAGTATTACTCAAGCCATTTTAAGTAATCGTAACGTACTGACTACACATAAAGGGGATATAGATATCGAATAGTTTAAATGTATTTATATAAAAATAAATTTAAATACTAGTTACATTAACTTAATATGAGTATAAATATTAATAGGACAACACTATACAGGAAGTAAATTACGATAGTTAAGTAGATTAAAATGAGCTTTAAACAACGAAAAACTCAATAAATAGAAACTGTTTATGCCAGAAACTCCCAAATAATAGTTGACGTATACAATTATAGGTATATATAAGACCTATAAGTAATCAAAGACTTGATGAAGTAGACGGAATGGTATATTTGGTGAGAAGAATTGGAGCGTAGCGAATGCACGTGAGACATAATACGTTATAATAGATACCGATAAGACAAAAATGAGTAGCAATGAGTATGTAATAATAATAATTTGAATCGAGAGGAATATAAATTGAAGGGAAGGATTTTAAGTGAATTTGATTTCTGTTTTTTTTTTTTTTTGAACCCTATCTCATGTACCTTAAATAAGTACATAATTTTATTTTTCAAATAGGAACCAACTACACTTTTTGAACACATATTTGAATAGAGAATATATATATTTTTTATTGAAATCGAAAAACAGATATTCATATCAATTATAAATGTATATAATATGTATGTATGCACGTATCAGATTTACCGTTTATGAGTTATAATCTGGTTATAACCATTTAAAGTTTATAGACTGGAGGAATAGGGAAGCGTAATAAATTTCACGATTTCACAAATTATTGATTCGTGAAAAAAACACCCTGTACATAGGAATATCGACAAAGAAAAACAAATGATTAAAACGAGACGTTGGAAAACAGACGGGCCCAGAAGAGCTACGTAGCATAATACAATTATAGACAAGGGCACGATAGAAGGGAAATTGCAGAGCGATCACGAAACTTTTATAATGTACAGGGTATGTTAAAAAAAAAGCGGATAAAATCAAAACTTTTAAAGAACCGGAAGAAAGGGCGAAGGAATCGATTAGAATCGCAGAGAATTGCGGATTGTGACTATAACCTACAACACGGGTTAAAATAAAAATAACAATAATAATAATAATAATCATAATAAAAATAATACTAGTTGCTTACCTTTCCTGGAAACCAGACTGGCGCGGAAAAGATCGGAATTATCCGAACCCTGAAACAATTAAAATTTAAAAAAATATATTATATAATCAATTATATTTGTATTTTTTCAACGTCCGATAAAATAGACATTGTATTCGATCGTATTATTGGAGGTTATTATAACATTATGATATTCTCAATTCCTGCATGGTGACTAGTTCGCTATAGAAGAATATAGATGTTAGATTTCAAAATTCCCAGAGTTTCAATGAGGTACTACATAATATTATATATATGTATCTATTATAAAAACGAATTTTTTTTTTTTATATGATTTATCTACGTTTGTGTTGGTAGTAAATATACATTTTTTTTTTTTTTATATTGTATCACTAATTAACTTTACTTGACCTCTCTCCGTACAGAGGTACAGAGTGTAGAGACTCTCTATCGCGTGGTATTCGTCGAATCCGTGTGTGGTGTAAAACGATAAATTAAAGCTCACAATATACAAATTTTTCTTATCATTAAAACACGATAAAAAACAATATAATTTTTTTTTCTTCCAATTAATACAGTTATTGGTACAGCACTATGTACAGACACGGTTAGGTATACATAATACCTACAACCGCGATTCGATACTCTGAACATTTTTTTTTTCTCATTCCCCCGGAATTCTATGAGAAATTAAAAATTCCTTGATATTTTCAGATAGCGTAGCAACTCATAAAAACTATATAGGCGTAATTCGCGCCATTCGATTTGTAATAACCCGCGTGTGTTTTACGACCGCGAATCTTTTGAACACCGTACGAAAAATAAAATAAAATACGGTTCGTGTGCACACACAGTGTGTGTGTGGTACACCCACATAGCATTATTATATCCATAGTCGAGTTTACGATTCGTCGCGACGATCGTAAACTATCATATTGAACGTTGCTATTCAAATTCAGTGACATTAAAAAAACGATGTCAATTTTTAAGATTGTAATATATTGTCGGATTGTGTAATATAATTCGACGGTGAACACTTCGGGCGGCGATAACTAAACGGTATAATATGATATAGTTTAAATCGTTAATCCACAATTCGAGTGCGAATACTTGCAACCTATACACTACCACTCTTCATACGCGATTACGCGATCATACACACGCATAATAATACCTAATAGAAAAAAAAAAAAAAAAAGAAAAAAACCGCCGGATGACTGTGCCATAGAATATTATACGCTATTAATAACATTTTATTATGTTTCGAACACCGCGAATATCGTGCACATTACATATATATAAATATATATATATATACGTATACAGGTAACAATAACTAAATTACTAATAGGTAACTGGTAATTTTATCTTTTCAATATTATAAAGCGAAATGTTTTTTAGTGAAAAAGTTACGAGTAGGTACTTACTGACGAAATATACCGTACAATTTTATGTATAAAAATATAGGTATATTGTTTAAACACCGCGGGTATAATATACGCACGTACCGCGGGGCGAGATATTATTATTATTATTATCTAATCGCTATAAATATAATATTATAATAACAATTACTGTGTAATATTATCGGTTGGGTATATTGTTGTTATGTATTATTTTAAAAACGGGAAAACGGACGAAAAAAAAAACGGTCGGCATGCAGGCGGCAGGTAGGCATAATATATTGTTCTCCATTTAAGGCCCGCGTCCATCGTCCACGACCGCGGCCCGTAGTGATAGTATTATTATTATTTTTTTATTTAATCGTTGGAATGCATACGAAATAAAGTAAAAGCGTTAAGGCGCGATAACACGCGGCTCGATAATAACAACAACAACAACAACAACGACGACGACGACGACGACGACGACGACGCGCGCGGTACTCGCCTAACGACCGGTAACACTACGAATCGTCGACATGCCGAGATGACCGAGCGTTTTATAAAATATCCGTGAATAATAATAATAATAACGAAATGAAACGAAAAAGTAATAATAATAATAATATGTAAAACGAACGAGCGTAATAATACGTATAATACGCGACGTGTTATAATATTTTAGTCCTATTACACACCGGTCGCGAGCGCGCACACGCACGCACACACACACAATATATATACACATTTTCCCACTTATATATTCGCCAAGAGATAATATTTTTTTAATATCGACGTGTGTGCGTGTGTGTGTGTGTACACACACGAATCGTTATGTTTTAATATATCTATACGAATAAGCGTGTTAAACGAGGTCATAGGTAATATGGTGTGTGTATAGATTACGAAAAATTAACCGCGTGGACTCGTAAACGAAGCGAAATATTGTTATACAGTATTATTATTGGCCGCGTCTGTAACACATACAATACGTATAATAAATATTATAATAGGCGCGCCTATCGATTAAAAAAACCGTAATAATATTAAAAAAAATAATATTCCACCGGGACAAAGACTACGTACCTACGCCGCGTGTACGCATTGTACGCGACTAATTTCCGTTATAAAACTTTCAGACGCCCGTCTGCGTCATTATCTCGTTGAGAATAACACGCGTTTGCAGTTTGCTAGTAATATAACGTATGATATTATTATTGTCTAATTAACCGATATTATAATATAATATAGTACCCTAATCAAAAGTATCGATAAAACGGCCGAGTGTCGGCGATTATACGAGTACAAGGTCTGTCTGTTTTCTAGTAAACTGCGGGATTTTTATATATTTTTTTTTCTATAATTTAGATACACGAGAGGTGAACATAGACAGAAAAAAAAAAAAAACCACGAATAAAGATATAATATTATTATGTAGGTATAGACTCGCAGACCCGCTGACGAAATGCGATTAATAATATTATAATACATCACGCATCTATTATATTATACAGCCAATAAACCGCGAGTGCTGAAGTGTCTCTCGACGTTACAGAAAATCAGAAAAAAAAAAATAATAAAATAAAAAATAAACAGGTAGTAAAATATCGTCTCGTTGTTAATGTACAATAAATAGGGGAGTTTGATTCACAGTTAAACTCTACGAGCATTATGCGTAACCGCTTGCCATAAACCACCGCCGTTTCCTCTCTCGTCCTCCGCGGTATCGTATAAAAAAAAAAAAAAAAAAACCGCCGCCAGGGACGACTACCCGCGGTATCACGCCGCTATTGTATACGTCGTTCGAGAGGCGAGGGAGGCGGAACACATAAAGTCGTGTTGTGCGCTTTAAACTGCCCGTAAAAAAAAAAAAATAAAAAACAAGGGTTAAAGTGAAACGAAACGTTACACGGGAGAAGATGAAGAATAAGGGGGAAAAAAAAACAACACCAAACGATAATAATACAACGGTCCGAGCGCAATACTATTATACGGGGACGGTAAAAGACATAAAATCCGACGATAAGGTTTCGCACGTAATACGATATAATAAGACGCGGGCACCGAAATAACGACCGATAAAACGCGCGCGGAACTGTTGTGCAGCAGTGACGGCGGAAATCGCAATAATAATTATGTTGTACACCGGGTACAAACAATGTTGCCGTTAACGGTACGCCGGGATGTCAAATGGAGACAGACGGAAAATGCATTTACCGATTGACTGTTCGGTCGGTCCACAGTCATAACGGCGGTGGCGGCGACGACGGCGAAATGTTCAAAAGGCGGCATTTCACGACGGCACGACCATGGTCGTCGTCACGGCAGCGGCTGACGGCGACGACGACGACGACGACGACGAAAACACGCCGTCGCGGCCATTCGTCGCGGGCAATTCGAAAAAACAAATCCGCGGGCAGTATTACCGATTGTAGTAAAACGGACGGTCACCGGCGCGAACACGGCACACAATAACAGTCGCACCGTAAAACGATAAATAACGCGTTACGAACGAAACGGAGATGAACACGTGAACGGCCGTTTAAATTTCGGCGCCAACGCCGCGGATCGGGAAGCGCGCGCGCGATTCAACGGCGGACACGTACGCGCGACGATTGGGCACGCACCAAGTTCACGCAGGCGACTGACTCGTGGCTCGTTTTTCTACACGGCGGCGGAATACTCGCCGTAGTAGTCGTCGTGGCCGCCGCCGCCGCCGCCGTCGTCGTCGTCGCCGCGGGAAGGGAACGACGACGATGCCGAACGATATAGCGCGCACGCGTCTCGTCGTCGTCGTCGCCGCCGCCGCCGTCTGGTCGTCGTCTCCTCCTATTTGACGCCGCGTGTATTTCCCCCAAGGGTCGTAAAAACTTTGGTGAACTTGTGCGCGTATACGTATGTGATGGCACGCGCTTGCGCGTCCGCGTGTACGCCGTGTACTTTGCGCGTGTGTGCGCGGCGCGCGGCCCTAATAGCAAAATGAGTCAGAGGTGTGTGCGTGTGTGCGGGACGCGCGGGGAAAAAACACGGGGGAAAATTCCTGCACGTCTGGCCGCCGGGAGAAGAAGAAGAAGAAGAAGAAAAAAAAAAGAAAAAGTACCCGACCGAGTCAAAAGCGGCAATCACATAACAACTACCTATACTACTACTACTACTACTACTACTACTACTACTCTATACTTTCCCGCGTCCCTTCTTTTATTTATAAAATATCGACCCGCTTCCTACTCGTCCTCGTCGGTCCGTGTTGTTGAATAGAGAAAAAGGTATTACCGCTTTTATCCGCGCGACATCACTCCGCCGCCGTACATAATGCAGTCGCCGCGATATTATATTATTATTACGGAGTATTAGCCACGTATACAGTGCACAACAACAATAATAGTAATAATAATATTGTATTTCGTTTACATCGAAAACTGCCGTACGGATACGAATAATGTTAAGAGGACGTTTTACCCGCATCCACTGTCTCGGTCCAACTACCTGCCGGGTGCAAAAACAATGCTTACGCAGAATATGTAAAACTAGTTTAATTTTGATTTTAGAGTAAAATTGCCCGTCATGTGCAGAGAACAACATTTTGGAGGGAATGTACATAGGGTTTTTGGATTATTCAAAATATACAAGTCGATATAAACGATACAAATACATTTACATTTTTTTTTCTTCTTTAAATAACTGTAACCCTTCTAATAGTTCATAATTCAAAAAACACTCATGATATTCTATCCAAAAAATAATGTTCTCAATAAATTTCATACTAGGTACTTTTTACTCTAAAATCAAAATTAAGCTGGTTTTACTTATCCTCTCTTCTTAGTCCTCTTAACCGACGCGCGACCGGAGAAAATTATCCGTCATCATTAGAGTATCGTCGCGGTGATCTTTAATGCCCGGGCGGCGATGAGCAATAAAAAATTCAATATTATATTCAAAGCCAACACAGTAAATATGAGGGTAGCGCGATGCATAAAGAGACGGTGGTATAGTGGCGATACCGGACGATTTTTCTTGTAGCCACTCTCTCTCGCAAAAGTGTTATATAATAAATATTCATGTCACTACCGCTGTAAAGCGATGTCGAAAGGCCCATTATTATTATTATTATTATTATTTGTAGAAGGAAAAACATCAACCAAGATTTCACCCCTCCGTTAAAGATAACTTTCAGACTTTTGTGCGTTCGCGTCCGGACAGAAAGCGGAGAGATTTCTACTCGCCGACGAAACAAATCGACGAAAATAAAAACTAAACGGATACACGGGAGAGAAGAGGCGAAAAGGCTCCGGGCCGACAAAAGATTTAACGGCCGTTCTCTTTCTCTTTCTCACTCTCTCTCTCTCTCTCTCTCTCTCTCTCTGTCAGTCTCCCCCTAATCGACGACGACAGAGAGAATAAATATAATATTTTACTGCTTTTTATTACAAAGATAATCAAGATTACACGGGACAAAACGAGCTAATGCGAATAAAGGTTATGGACTGTGATTTTCGACACAATACCCGCGCGAACGATATTGACATTATTTTCGACCTCGTAAAAAACAAATATTGCGCCGCATAAAAGTTAAGCCGCAGTCTTTACAACTCAATTACACAGACAACGAAATATTTCGATGGGTTTAATAAAAACAACTGTTTATCAATTAAACGTTCTTTAAAATTGAAGCATCATTATAATTAAATATGCACATAATATCACATAAATGATTATAAGAAGTTATACGTAGTAATAGCATTACGAAAAAATGATTAGATTAAGTATGTGTAATACGTCAATTATTACCTATAATACCTATATGATTAATACAAATTAAAAACGCCCACATAATATCACGAAAAATCAAAGATTGCCGATTTAAACTTTAAAACTTAATACACAAGATCAAGATTATTAAAAGCGATCGTTTAATCGTTATATTTCAGGGTTTATTAATATAAAGTAGAATAATCTCAATAAACATACCTTGTCAAATTGACGAAAAATGTATTTATATATTAAATCAAGAATATCCGAAATAATAAAGATTATTATAAAACTTGATTTTGAAATATCGAAATACTCATTGATTACCTGTATACGTATATTATGTACTCTCACATAATATTAAATACTTGTATTATTTTACCATAGTTCTATTATATTTTATACTCAAAGGATTAAAATACAATAATATGTTCCAATTATTCTTACCTTATCCCCATCATCTTCACTATCACACTAGAACAAAATAAAATAAAACAGTTAAAAATAATTTTTACACGTGCAAAAAAAAAAAAAAAATAATAATAAAAAATAAAAACGAAAATAAGTATTATAAGTTCTGACAATAGTGTTAGGAATGATAATGGGACATGTTCATATTATACCCTTTGAGCATTTCGTAGGCCATTACTATAGTTAGTTCAACTAGTCTACAATATTATTATAATTGCGTTTAGATGGACAGATGGAAAATAACGACAGTTGTCATTAATATGGTCTAGGGGCTATGGTATTAAACTATTAAAAAAACAATAAGGAAACAACACATCATATTATAAAGTAAAACGTCAGAATCTAAAGTAGACTATTTAGAGTATTTACAACTTTACAAGAATAATTTTTTTCATTTATAAAAATCATTAAATAATTTTTAAACTTGACAATTATTACTATTAAGTAGACGTAAGCGGACGAATTAAATACATATTAAAATATTATTTAAATTAAAAAAAAAAAAAATTACTTAACGTTTACTATGCGCATTAGGTACACGAGTACCAACATATTTTTAATAAGAGAAAAATATTATGATTATTATAGGCATCTATGTATAATATATATTTATACTCTCGGTATATCCGTGAGAAAAAAACCAAAATTATTTATTTGTTTAGCACGGACGAAAATAAACGGACAGTATTATTAAAGAATGTAAGCATGCTATTAAATAATTAACGATGATTGATGGTATTTTAATTAATGGTGTAGTTAACGACACTGCTGTAAAAATTATATTTTTATGTATCTAACAAATATATTCACCCAACTGGTTAACCAAAGAATTTTACTAATATTCTTAGATTATACTTCACTGTCTTTATAATAAATAACCTAAACAAATATATATATAATATGACGATGCATACCACGAATTGTTAGGTTTACTTAAAATAATTTTATATCGGTTGCTCTGGTCTTTTAATATTTAGACACAGTAATACTGCCGTTCTAGAATAGGAATTTTTGTTTCTATAAGAAAATAATCGGTTTTATACCAATTTTTTATGTAAAATTAATATATTTAACGTTAAAAACAATTTAAAATTATTAAGTGTAAGCCAAGTCCAAGAACTATGATGTTTTGTAAGTGAAAAAATGGTAAATCCAAAATGCTTATCAAAAATTAGGTTATATCACATGAAAAACGACGGAATTACTGTTTTTGAAATTAGATTACTTGTTATTGCGGTGACTTTAAATTTTGATCATACGTTTTATAAATTAAAATTATAAATATTTTTTTTTAATTTTAATTAGCTAAGAATATGTATTGTATTATTAATTGATATTCGATGTATTAAGTTTATTCCTAATGACATCATAATATTCGGTAGTTACAAATTAATGACGATTTTCCGTTAAAAATAAATTATTCGTTATTTTAATTCTTAAAATTGGCGATTACAACTTGTATATAATATTTGTTTACAAAATATTATAACTAATTTATAATTGTTTTAAAGCATCTTTAAATAACTGTTTTTTTTTTTGTTTATTTAATATTTAACAATATAATAAAAATATAGTATTATTCTTATGATAAACAATAAATTAACATCAAACATTTATCACGAGTTAGGCAAAAACTGCAAATCTATAATTGTATAATTAGCCTATTCCCAAAGAGAATATTCATGTAAATGTAAGTTAATTGTAAAGTCCACTTTTAACAGAGTTTTTTGCTTAATAATCCAAAATACATTTTAAGTTAGGTCCATTTCTCCTTAAAACCCATTTTTTTTTTATGTGGCCAATCATTTAGAATTCAAGTCAAAATTTCAATTTCTCGACGTAATAATTTTACTATTAATAATATTAAGTTATTTATAGCGATTTGAAATTTAAGTTATTTTTAGGTTGTTTATTAATGAAATGCCATTGACTTATAAAATCTATATTAACCGTTCATAAATAGTTGCTGCTTTTATAACACTATACAAGTATCGAAAATAATAAAATCACAGAATTTCAGGCCATATTTTCCGATCTTTGAGAGTAAAATTTCTTTGGCTACATACAAATTAATGGCGAGTATCAACATGCGCCAATATTGAAATCTAATTTTTTTTCAAAATCGAAATTTGACTATTGTTATCGGAGAAAAATCTCTGGAATATTAAAAAAGTGTTAAAAGCTCGAGTTTCGATTTTAAAAAGACGGACATACTTTGCACGATGGGTGCAGTTGCTGTTATTGGTGAGAAGTTAGGAAGGTAGGATATAGAGAGGAATTTAATGTATATCTCGCAGCAATTAACCATTGCTAATAAAAAACGATTCTGAGTAGAGTTCGGTTATATATGTTTTAAAAGGTCATAATATAAACGACTTTCATCAACGTTTGATATTAAAATTCAAATTAAAAAAAAAAAAACTACATTAAAATTAACTTTTTCTAATTGACCACTATAAGTACAACTTATAACGAATCTCCTGTTATATCTTCAAAAATTTCTGTTTGGTCTAACAATTTTATCCACAAAGTACCTACTGAATTCAAATTACGTAAAAAACTCGCAAAATAAAAAAGTTCATAAATAGCTTAAATATTTTAAAAATTTAACCACGTCTATAAAAGGCAAATACAAATTTTCTGTTCAAATTTCATGTCTCTAAGAAAATTTTGAATATAAGATAATAAATACGAAAAAAAAATTGAAAATAATAAAAGCATTATTTTCGTATTTTTTTCTGTTTTTCCCCAATTATTATTAAAATTGTTTGGAAAATAAAAAAATGACCTCACTAAAGTAAACACACTCAATAGGTACGCAATGTATTGGTATACATAAAACGGTAGTATCCATTATAACAGATGAAAGATTAAAGTCTTAATATTATTCTAAAATATGCATTCATTTATAGCATTTGGTTTTGGATTTTAGATCATATCGTTCAGTATACGACACCCGAATACGTGAATCAAATTAATATCTAAGTAATTATTAAATTGAAAAGATAGAAAACAAATTACGAAATTTCATAAATATTTGAATATATATATATATCTGTACATATTATATTTCTATATGAATCAAAAAAAGGCCGCAATATTTACTAATAAATTTCGTATATTTTCCTGTTTTTCCCATTTATTATGAAAACAGCTGGAAAAATCAAAAATATTACCTCTTTAAAATATCACCATAGTCAGATTTCCTTTCAGAAAAAGTACTATAATTGAAAATCGGAGCCGAATTGCTGGTAGAAAAGTTGTTCACAGATAAAAAAATAAATATAAATAATAAACATCATGGAAAAATGACTACATTCTTCGCTTCACTCAGAATCTAAAATCATTTCGGTTCACCACTAATAAAAATGCCCAATAATTTGAGACTGATAAACACGGACAATTTATATTTGTTTTCAAATTAAGTTTATCAAAACCTGATTAACTGCACCCAGAATCGTTTTTTGCAATGATTTATTGTTGTGTAGAGATGAAAATTTAATTACCCTATAAATTCTATAATTTACAAATAAAAGCCTAAAAATACAAAAAATGGCCCAAAGTATGTGTAAACTTTGATACGGTTGGTAATAAATAATTACACTATGCATTCATACACATTATTAATTAATATTAATCGTAATATATCTTTCAAATAATTATTATGTATTAGTTTATGTGAACAAAAGGTTTGTGGGCCAGTCGTATTTTATAAAATATAAATGTATATATTGTCGTAAAAAATTACTATATAATACCTCGCACTTATATATTTTTTTAATGATTATTCAATAGGTAATTTGAATTAGGTACTTTTATTTTACCTGTAACCTGTATATATGTTTCACTTTTATCTCTGAAAATATCTGTTGTGTGCAAGACTTTAAAACATAAGTACGAAGTACACATTTAAATGAAAGAACTTGTCACAGCCAACGATTAATTGTTTTTATCTGGAGGTACTATTACATAGTGTTTTATTTAAGCATGTTCAACCTAATTTTTTTGTTATATAATGCGGAAATTATCCGTATCCGTTTTTTCCACCACCACCCGTTTCCTTCAATTTAAAATAAGATTTGATTCCTATTACCGTCAATATACCTGCCATGGTAAAATTATTAAAATAATTAAAAGTCAAAGAAAATGTATTTATTTATTTATATATATTACAGTAACAGTAAGAATACCGGTGAAATCTATGATTTACAAATGTCCGACGTCTAAATTTCGGACTTTTACCAGACGACAACACCATTTAAAAGTATTCATTTTTTTAATATTGAAATTAAAATATTATAGAAATATTCACATTTTTTTAAAAAAATCCAAAATATAGCAAAAAACAATTATGTTGATAATTTTTTATACACTTATGTGTAGGTATGTGCAAATATGAAATTTTCTCCAAAAATATTAAATAACAGTACATTGGGGGAAACGAGAACCAAACAATTTAAGTGTAGTGAAAGATGATATTTTTCAAATACTATGATTTTTAAGGAGCATCCTGAGGAAATAACAGTGGGTTTTTAATTTAGAACCTGTATGTCTTAAGATGACGTTATTATATAACTAACGCGTGTTGTTTCAGTCCAACTAACGGGTAATATAGCAAAATCTACCTTACACAGTCTACGCAGAACTTGCTTAATTTTGGTTTAAGTGTAAAATCATAAATTAAAAAAGGACAAGATGACACATTTTTCACATTAGACACATTAGAAATAAAAATTAATTCATTGAATGACTTCAACATTTAAAAAATAAACGCATCGTTTTTCCCTCTGGAACATTGTCTTTATTTAATTTTATAACAGGTGTTTTTACTCTAGAACCAAAATTAAGCAAATTCTACACAGTCTGCGTAAAGTAGATTTTCATATATTGTCCGTTAGTTAGACTGAGAAAGCGCATACGGATATAGCGTCTTCTTAATACAAACTGTAAATCAAATGATTTTATAAAAAACGTTGAAATATTGTTATCGAAATTAAGGTTCTAAATTATTCAACTTAATTAATAGCGGATCCACAAGTCACCCAAGGGGGGAGGGAATTTCAAAAAAATAAATTGTCTTTTTATCTATTTAACTTGTATTGGAGGCTAATTGTTTGTATTATTTCAATAAATTTATAAAATAAATGGTATACAAGTATAGGACTGTTTGAATGAACGAGTGGTATAATATGCCATATGTACGTAAATATAAAATCATTGGTTTTATGAAATACAGATAAGATAATGTGGGTTCTGCTGTTTTTCAACATATTCCATGATTATTAATAATTTATTATTAGCAATTAAACGATTCCCGGCGTATATGTATATGAATATGGCATTGGTTATACTTAATTAGAATAATAAGAATCCCATAACAATTAAAAACAAACCTGAAATTTAAAAATGACTAATTATTTATTTAGAAATTATGAGACAAAGTAAATTTTCTATTTTATGTAAAACATATATGTATAAGTATTTTTCTTTAGTAATAAAATAATGTCAATAATTTTAAAGGAATGCATAGGGGGAGCGATCGCCCCCCCCCCGTGAATTCACGCCTGAACTTAAAATTAAAAGAATATTGATTTATAGCACAAAACCAACAGTTTTTCAATAACTGTAATATTCAAAACAATAAATTGCCTATACACAACTCCTATGTAATAGTCGGTTAAAAAAGTCTATTCTTAGTATTTAAAGTAGAATAACTTAAAAACATTTCGTCCCTATTTCGATTACAACCTATATATAATCTACATGTTGTAATCATTTGAAAAATCAAAATTGGAATGGCCCTAGGATATTCATTAAATGTTGTGAAAAATCAAAGTATACGAAAATATTTTCTTTCATTAGACTTAAAAATTCAAAAAATCAGAATTTGAATGTATACATAATCTAATCATAAAATGTAGCGAGTATACTTAAAAAATCATCTTGTATATAATTTAAAACGTATTACAGTTATAGCCGTGCCATTGAAATATACATTAGTTCTAATTGGGAAATATTTTTTATTTAAATTTTAAGTCACGTTCACGCAAGCTTTCAGCATTTCAGTCAAATGCTAATAATACATATGTCCGAAACACGAAGCCACCGATCAAATTTTAGAGATATTGCATAATAATTATTATAATAGTCTTTTATTTAATCGATAATTTATTTCATACCTAGTAAAACTGAACAATACACGTACAATAAAAACAAACATAAATAATGCTATTGATAGCTATTATAAATGATTAAATGCATTAAAGTAATTTTAACTAGTCGTTTTCTACAATAAACACTTATATTTTGTAAAATGCAATGTATGCTGTACACTTAATTTTATGAGATTTTATATCTATAGTATTTAACTTTTAATTTATTGGAGAGAAGAACCAATTAGGAATAATTTTAAAAAATGTAACCTATAATTTAATTTATATCCGTACATAACAATAAATTATTTTAAACAATAACCGATTCTGAGCGAAGTTTAATTTATAATATTTTGGAATATCACGATTTTTAATATTTTCATTAAAACTTGAATTTTAAATGATACAATTGTTTATGAAATTAGAGGCGACTTTTTTTATTATTAACCAATAAGCTTAACTTATGATAAGCCTCGGATTTAATTGTCAAACATTTTTGCGTAGCCAAAACAACTCTATTTACATAAACAAAATAAAAACTCAAAAATGTTAAACAGCTATTAATTTCCAGAATGTTTTAAAAATTGTACAACAGTTAGAAAGGACTAAGATTTAAGTACAATTCATCGTGGAAAATTTGTGATAGTATTTGGATCTAATTGGTGCATTTGAGAAATTGTATTTGAAATTTCTTGTATTTTTCTTATTATTATTGACAATACAAAAAAAAAAAAATATGAACAATTTTGAAAATGTACGCAACAGTGGGTGGTTTTTGCAATGATTTATCGTTGCAATCGTTTACCTACTTAAATAAAGGCTTACTCAAGGTGCGAAGTTCATTGTATTTAATTATACTAATAAAGCTTAAAGGTGGTATAGGTGAACATAAGACTAAAATATTTGCCCATTATTACATATATAATGGAACAGAACATTATCTAAAATAAATTAATAATTATACGTGCATTATCGTTTTACAATATTTATATTTTAAAGTAAATTTTGAAGTATTTGAACTATTGTAATCTAAATACAAATATTTTATTTGCATTTACAAATGTTATAACAAGTCAACATAGTCTAATGTTTACACACGATTTCACAGTATTGGGAAGTACAAAATCCACCTTTTCTGAGATACCTACACAAAGACAACGACGACAATGGCCGTGGGTGTAATGTCCTCTTGAGTGGATCGTATATATAACATGGTCCCCCCACCACGGATAAGGAATACTTGATTACACTGTGTTTTAATTATTTATTTATGTTTGTAATATTCTTTTTAAAGATTTAAAATCTATTAAATTAAAATTATCAAATAAGAATACGTTGTCTAAAAAATGTTTTAAAACTTGAAAAGTTAATATATTATCAATATTTTAAAGTGATGATAGATTTATCGAAAGTTATATCGTTTTACAAACTTTGAAGAAAATATACAATATTTTGAAATAGATACTGAAAACTTTATTATCTATAACCTATAATATGTTGTGTTGTTAAATTTAGAACGGTAGAATGAGCACCGTTGAATTGTATCAGTGGTTTTCAACCTGTGCGTCGCAGCTCCCAGGGGCGTTATGATTTAGTATCAAGGGTGCCGCGTCTATAGTAAATATAGTAGTGTAATACGGTAAATTAATTTACATTTATTTGTATATTATTATCAATATTCATAAGCGAGCCACTAACTTGGATTTCAAAATCAGAAGAACAAGGCGATAATCAAGTTTTTTTATATTTATATATATATATATATATGTGTGTGTGTACCATTAGGTCTAAATTTAAAAACTCATAAAATATCTCTTAAAATTATTTAAAATAATGATAACTATACAATACTTACAATATAGCCTCTGCCTGAACTACAATTGCTACTTGCCTATAAGAAATAAAAGAAGACATGTTACTAAAAGTTCTAATATAAAATAAATAAAAATAATTAAAAAAAAAAAAACCGATCTTACATCACTGAATTCTCTTGAACTTGATCGTCTTTGACCACTTTGACTAGGTGACGATGTAGACACTTTGGGTCTTTTAAAAGACTGTACCGAATTCGAATGCACAACAGAAGTATCATTCTCACCTCCTTCGCTGTCGTGTTTTAAATCCAGAGACGACGAATTCTGCACGATAAAAATCATAGTTATTCATTAGAAAATTTTTGATTATTAATAAAATTAATTGTTATAATACTACACTTCAAATTAAGGAATAGGTAACAAGGTTTATAGTAAACGTTGCATTTAAATAATACTCGTAATAATATTATCGTTAAGAAAGTCACTATTTATAGATATGATTAACACAAATTATTACAATAACCCATTAATTGTCAGTTTATTAGGGATTAATTAAGGTATGAAAGGGTATAACGCAGAGTATTAAAACGAATAGAGACGAGTTACAACAATTTCTCTAATGTTTTAAAGTTTTTAATCATTTAAATGATACGACTTTTCTAATAATCTACTACCCGATAACTATTTAAGGGGAAAGCGAACATGACGTTTTAGACCAAAAACCGGACAAAACTATAAAAATTATGCTTGAGAAGTTTCGATTTGTTATGGTTAACTCTTTAAATTTTTTACTAGGATACGATGGAATTTTATTTTAAATTTTAATTTTCTTTATCAAAATTAATAAATAAAACAAAACATTTTTTTTTTTAAGATTTTGAATAAAATAATTAAATTTATAATTTTAGTATGTTCTATAAAAGAATCTAGAGAATCATAATCTGTTTTCAAACTTGAAATTCGTCATACAATTCGTATAGTTTTATCTCACTTTTGGGTTTAAATCGACTTTAATGTATACAGTGTTTTCCCGGACATAAACGTGTTATCTACCTTATTAATATTTTTTGATGTATTTTTGCTGTATACAAATAAATATTATCAAAAAAATATAATGTATATTATAATTTATAGGTACCAAAAGATTATTAGTACCGAAACAAAATTCAAAAATCATAGTTAGCAAACAATTAATTAAGAAAAGTTATTAACGGGGATAAACATAATGGAACATTATTCTAATATAAATACCAGTATATTAAAGTACATATATGATTATTTAACAAAATAGTTTTACATGTTTGTACAACTTACCTTGTTATGATTAAAATTATTAGGCGTAGTTGGTGGGCTGGGGACATTATACTCGGTTTTTACCGGCGTTACTGGAGTACTGGAATTACTGTCATGATGATGATTGTTGTTATTATGATTATGTACATGACTTCGGTGATGCTTATGGTGATTTCTATGTAAAAAGTTTTGAGACGTTGGATCCAGTCCAAGAGTTACTGCATTCTTAACCAAACACTGTTGCACGCAATTCTAAAAAATATATACACATTTATTTTATAAGTTATTAGTGCTATTAATTTTCTAACAGTTTGAAACAAACAACCGATAAAATTCATAAATAATATGTGAATATAAATAATATCAACGGGCGATGTTTTCATATTCCACATATAACAAATTGGTTATTATAGTTTGTGTTTTATACGTGATTATAAATTATAATAGTCGTATGTTGTAATTGATTTTTTATAAAAAAAAAAAAATAATAATAATATTACTATTAAAAACAATATTAATTTTGGATCATTTTCTCGAAAATGTTACAATATAAATAAATTTGTTCTATTATAATATTACCAGACGGCAAGTTTTGACTACTGGAGAATTATAAATGTGTATTTTCCATTTTTAAAAACGATCTAACATATACCTTATGTTTCTTCTTAATTCATATGCGATGGCATCTGCGGTGACATAACTGATAACGCTATCTAATCGACCACAGATGAAATAAAAAAATACAGGTATAATAAGATACAACAATTATATATAATTTCTTCATTTATTTTGGTATTTTTAGCTGGTTAATCGTTACATTATTACCGTGAAATTAACATTTATCAAAGAATTAAATATAATTCATAAAAATATTTTTAGAATTTAGCAAATTCGGATTTGAAAAATGTTAAACTATGCTTTTTGCATGCAACTATGCAACGATTTTTTTAACGCCACCTCCGTCTGTTCGTGTGATTTAAAAGTAATAAGAATTCTACATTAGCTGATTTTCAGATTTAGTTTGGGGGTCACGTATCATTATATATTGGCCGTTAGGGAATACTTGTATATCTTTAATGTGTTTGAAACTAGTCTTCCCAATAATATATAAGCTTCAAATAACAATAATACAAGACTTGTAATTTACATTCACCGCTATTGCGACATTAGATCATCGCAAATCAACATTTCAGAACAATATTCTAAAATCAATATTATTATTATTATTATTAATAATAATAATTAATAATTATTAATAATAATAATGATCACAATAATAATATTGTGATCATTATAACATATCTAACAATATCTGGGACAAAAAGTATATACCTTTAAGTAAATACTTTATTTTTTAAGAATAACATTATTTTAATGGAAAAGCCAACATAACGTGCTCGGTTAAAAAGCTGCTGTCGTTTGTTAAAACAGAAAGACATATAAAAGCTTTCTACTATTACTCTTGGTTTTTCTTCAATAAATTGGATCAGTGATTGTCTGCGGAGCCGAAGATTTTTTTTCCGGTTTTTTTATTGAAAAATATCCATCTAATAAATCTATTTTAGATTGTGAGCGAAGCAAGAAATTTATTGGTTTAACAATTGTTTATTTTTTATCTGTAAAAAATTTGTCTACTCAAAATCTTGCTCTGATTTTCAAGCGTATTATCTTTTCTAAAAGAAAATTTTATCCGGATGGTGCTTTAAAAAGATAATTTTTTAATTTTCCAATCGGTTTTCAAAATAATTTGGAAAAACCGTGAAAAGGGAAAATTTACAAAATGTATTATTTTCAATTTTGTTTTTTATTGCGATTCAGTTCAAAATATTCGTAAAAACTTGAAATTTGGAAAAAAAACTTATATATTTGCCTTTTCTTCTAGACGTTGAGGATTGAACATTTCGTTAAACCCCTAAACTCTTCTGTGTTTGTCATTTTCAATAATGATTGTCTATGTATAACAGTGCAATTATTGGAAAATCAGAGAACAAATTTACGTAGGTAATCTTATTTATTCTTAGCAATGTAGTTTTATTTGAAACAATGAATATTACATACTATTGTACTGAAATAAAAGTTAACGAATCGATTGTAAAAACCTAGCCTCTATAATCCTATCTACTTTTAATTTTAAAAACGATAACCAGTCATATTAAATTTATAAATAAATGTAAATTTCCTTAAAATTAACACTTGTATGAACAATCACGTGAACACATTTTGGATAGGTACTTGACTAATTGTATATTTAACTTACCTAATCTAATATACTACCTATCCTGAAATTATTACCCACTTTTAGAAATACAAACATGGATTTTGATACCTATATACTAGTAGTAATTAGCTATTGATATAGGCAGATGCAATATAAACTATACATAAAGTTATCCTTATAAATTGTCATTATCATGTTAATACAAATTCAACTATCTACGATTGTGTTTTAAATTTTTTTGAATAGAATTGCACAACCAATATTGATTTTATAACTTATAATTTTACTGAAATAGAAGATATGTTATTACTTTACATTATAATTAAAAAATAAATCAATATTATGCATATAGGTTTCAAATATAATTATATATATATTTTATATAATTATAATAGGATTTTATGACTCAAGTAGATTAGTTTAAACATATTTTTAAATAATGCACCGTTATACTCATTAGAATTTGTTTCAAATACATTTTGTTTATTAAAAATATTCAACAACTTTACCATCTGATTTCTTAAAAGACTGGAAGATATTTTAGCGTATATACACGACATTATTTCACCCAACGTCTACTTTAAAAAAATCAAGCGTTTCATTTATGTTATATACATACTTAATTTATAGCCTACTTCAAACCTTATAAATTACAAGAAAATAAGTTCCCGAGAGCGTTTTAATGAGGGTAGCATATTTGTTCACACCCAGTCCCCACTGTACTATTATAAACATATTTTACAAGTGCTTAGGGGTTGGGACGCACGTATACACTTCTGAAATGACATACCTAACCTAACAAATACTTAATCACATTTCTCTCTGTAGTTATCCCTTCAATGCGAGTATTATATTAGGCACTGTAATTTGCTCCCTTACCAAACATTAAGAACAAAAAAAATCCACACACGAGTTGTTTTGGATGTTTAATTGACCACGAATTGCCCTACATAAATTAATAAAACATATTGACTGGCAGTAATATGTATTTAGATACCCGGTAAGTATTCCAGTATATGATACAAAATATTTATATGTTCCAATAACAGCCAATATTGTATTATATTTCAACTAAAATGCTTTAGTACTTTATGATTACAACCTATATATTTTACCAAAATAACACTGGGTGAATTTAATTATACTACACTAGAATCGTACAATACATACAATATACAGTAGTATATTGTAGTTGTATATTATTTAAGTTTAAAATTATAGGTAGGTAGTCGTGCGTAAAATAGTAATATAATATCTATTTAAATATTGGAATTTATGACAATACATTATATTATAGTGTCAAATTTTCAATCATTTTTTTTTTTAAAATATTATATTTACATAAATCAAACAACCTAAATAAACTCGAATAGTTGTAAATAGGCAATTCTAAAGGGCTAAACTATTTTGCAAATTAAACGAAGTCTATAAAAAATAACAATATATTTGGTTACATATTCGGTGAAAACGCACGTCTCTACGATTAGTTATTATTGAATGTACAACAAAAAAAAAAAAACCCTAACTAACGGCCAATGTAACAAAATCTACCTTACGTAGACTCGCTTAATATTGGTTTAAAAGTAAAATCAACTATTATAAAATTAAAAAATAAAAATATTCCAGAGGGCAAGACGATACATTTTTCATATTATTCCGAAGATAATGTTATAATAAATAAAGAAATAAAGACTAATTCATCGTTTTTAAATGACTGTAATATTTTGAAAAACGAACTTGAAAAAAGAAATGCATTATTTTGCCCTCCAGAATAATTTTCTCTTTTAAGTTTATTATAAGTGTTTATACTCTAAAACCAAAATTAAGCAAGTTCTGCATAGTTTTCAAAAACTGGTCGCCACAATAATATTGTACATAAACAATAAATAAACATTGTCTGAACCAGAAATCTGGTAACGGTGTTTCTATCCGGTCAAAAACGTGTTAAAACGCTCTTGTATTTAATTCTAATTAGATGATATTCAAGTATAATATAAAAGAAATTTTTTCAAAATTAATTTTGAAAATTGTACCTGATGTGTAGTTTATACAAATGGTGAGTATTTATTAATTAATAAAGTAATAAAGTAATTAAATAATAACTGTTAAACTTCCAAAAAAATTGAGTTTATTTGTGTTAGGGTGTGTACATAATTGCAACATTAGTAATGTTATTTTCCATAACAATGCGGGAACATAATTATGTTTGAACGTACAATATTATCATATGATTAAATTTAATCTGGTTAAATGCAGTAGTCGGAGTTGAAACAAATCGAAACATTTACAAACTGTTATTTCAGGGATTATTCTCGCGCATTGTTTCGTCGCAGAATATTCAGGTGCGATAATAATTGTTATCCGGAGTCATTAATTTCAACCCAGAAAAACAGAACAATCGATTTAAATTTGTTTACTATTAATATTACTTTTTACCGCTGCACTAAGTATCTTCCTTAGATGAATAGATTTTTTTTCACCATAATTTTAAAACTATATTACTTTAAATTTGTTCCGATATAGAAATGAAAAACTACCACGAAAAAAACGAAGAATAATGATTTGAAACAATTATTATCAATAGGACACTACGGTTAATGCAAGTTTCTAGTAACAATATCATTTTTATATGGTTAATATAAATAAATAATAATAATAACAACATGATATACAAATAGGTAATCGAGATAAATTAAAATAACCGAAAAAATAGTTGTAAAAAGCAGCCATGGGCGATGCCGCTGTCTAGGGTAGAAAGTTGGGAAAGTAGTGTATAAAGATGCTTAATTTTATTTATATCCGTAAGCAACAATAAACCATTGTTAATGAAAAACGGTTCTGAACGAAATTCGGTTAAACGTGGTTTAATTATCTTAAATTGAATTTTCAATTCACTAATTTGTTAATACGAAATAAATTTGTACAATAATTGTCCGAGTTTTGTAGTCACATATTTTTTTAAATCCTTTATCCTGTCCGCGTCTAGATATAGTGACTATGTTATAATAACATTCGTTAAAAGTCTCCACGTTTATTTTTATCTAAATTACAACGAAAAACCAAAATCGAAAATATAACAGAAACCGATGCGTAAATGTTCACGTTTTTCCGAAATTATTAAAAAATCTAATAAGAAAAGATAAAAGTATCTCCCTAATGCACCAACTAAATAAAATTTGCATACCGGAAACCAACGAAGTTGATGATCGAATAAAAATTCCTGATAGAATAAGGAAGGGGAAAGCTCACATCTGAGTTCAGAACCCTAAAAAAATGTAACCCAAAAAGTACAAATTTCATCACAAAACACATGGTATACCTTCAAGGTCTTTGAATTTAAACGAATGACGAAGAAAAATAGATTTTATTTTTTTATTCACGAGAACAATTAGTATTATAATATCCTATAAAATATTAAATTTTTAAACAAGCAAGACAATATTTATTATTATTGCTCGGTTATGAATTGAATTATTGAAACGTAAAATTGATAAAAGTACCTTTCGTATATTTTATTAATAACTCAATTATATATTGATACCTGTAAACTGTAATTTTTTTTTATTATTATTTGAATGTATTACGCGTAACAGTATATAGAAAAAGTACTCGAACTTATTCGTCACGACGAGATTAATAATAGTCCCTAAAGTGAAGTGCTTGGAACTCGTATAATTCTATTTGAATTACCTATTACCATTCCATATTATATGGTTTATTAATAACGGATAAGTGGTTTGAACCGTAAAATCAGTTTTAATTATAATACTCTTACGAATATTATTATTATTATAAATCAACAGTTGGATAAAACGAAAATATCTCTTTATAAATATAATGAGTACGTTATTCATATCGCTTAACCGCGTTTAGTCACTACGAGTAGTCATTATATTAGTATACAATTCAAAATGTAAAAAAAAAAAAAAAAAAAAATCTACTCAAATTAATTAAATTTCCGAAGATGGAAAACCATCATTTTTTTTTTGTTTCAAATAAAAACAAACACCGCCAACTATTATTTTTGTACAAGCAAATTATACATGGAGATTATACTACTAATCGTCTTTATAATGTAGAGCGATCGTTAACAAATTCATTATATAAACTCACAAAACACGAGTTATTAAATCGAATTATCAACATACGAACCGAAGAATAAATATTCAAGGAATCAAATTATAATACAATATAGATAATGATAATACAGTTATTTGTTGTAATTTTTATTGATTTATAATTAGTGACAGGCACGACCAAATTAGTCATTATTTAACATATTGAAAACTGTATTTGAATAATTTTTAGTTTTGTTTATGGGAAAATAATCGAATAGAGTTCAGAATAAAAACGTTCCGAGTATTAAAAAATATTCGATATTTTATCTAAATCGGTGGTTCTTAACACCACTCACAGGGGGTGGGGGTCATTTCGGTTTCTCGGCGAGACGATCAATTTGAAGTTTTATTTAAATACTTAGAATACTCGCGGGAGCTATTCTCATAGCAATGGAAAACGTTTTTCGATCACCAATCAATTGAAAATAGCATTGGTTTTGATTTTCACTAAAATGTATATTCTCAAAGTATTTTCAACTGTTCTTTCGGTTGTTGGATTCAATGTTTTACTTCGATTGTCAAAATCCAGTTGTTTCCTCGATTTCCGGATATAATTAGTATTTTTACATTAAAACGATTCGCTATTGATTCTTCTCTTTGTCATAATTATATTAATTTGACTTATGAATTTACAAATTTTGTTAATAATGATGGACAATTAATTGGATATTCAAATGCATTTTGACAATAACAATTTACAATTGCAAATAAACCGAAAATATATTTTTTATTCGCACCAATTATATTATTAAGTTCGGAGCAACTTGCTTCCGTGCCAAATTTGCTTATTTTTCAAATTTTTCTTTTTGAAACTCAGGATGAGCTTTCATAAAGTTAACCAGCGCATTTTTTTATTCTACTGTTATTAATTTTCCTTTACATTTGAGCCTACTTTCTTCATATTATTTTGATTAAAAAAATAAAATAAAAATAGGTACTGTAGACAATTTAAAAAAAAAAGTACGTATAGGACTACACTAACTATAATGTAGCTGACATATTTGAAATGTTTAGCAATAAGTAGTAACCACTAACTACTAAAGTAGTACATTAGTAACTCCGTAACATTAACATATTATTGTGATATGTAAACAATATCAGACCGGAATACTGAATTAACAATTAAGTGATAACATTTCGATAGTAGAAAACTCGAACGAAATTCACGTTTTTCGATAATGGAATATTCGATTAGTTTTTGAGAATAGTGTAAATCGAAAAAGTACCGATTGACTCGATTATTTCGATCGGAAAGTTGACAATCTAATAAATATTTTCGATTATTTTGAAAACAGGCCCCCGTTTTATGAAAACGTTCCGTTATTTTTTGTTTCAGCAATAACATCGGCAGTCGGTTAATTGATGGAGGGGCGCTGTACCGAAAACGGTTAAGAACCACTCATCAAAACTAACGATAGTATGTGTAAATTATTCGGAAGCGTCGAACACGAATGATTATTATTATATTTTATATGTAAATAATTAATGATGCGCGAAACCGATTAGTTTTGACTATCGATTGCCAATTGGTAGTTTAAAAACAACAGTGTGGTTTAACGATTGAACAGATATTTTAATCCATCGATTGTTTTGTAATCTATCAAATGAATTGGTAGATAGTTTTAATTCAGTAGTAACACCGACTGGTTACGATTGTCGATAGTTTAAAAAACAACCTAGTGTTTTTTTCAAGTAGACAGATATTAAACAATAGAAAGAACTACTCGATAGTCCGATAGTTTTCTTTCGGCAGTATTGGCACCGACTGGTTTACAAAACAACCGAGAATTTTTTTGATTGAATAAATACGACGTCACACCACAGATATATGATATACTATATACTAGATGCCGGATCTATATTTTACCGTGTACGGGTCTTTGAAGCTAAGAAGGTCGGGCAATGTTTACAATCTGTTATCAATATTATTATGAAAACATAATTACAAATCGTCAAAAATATGGTTTTGAATACACTACAGTCTACATTTAATTGAAAATTTAAATACTATTTTAACATGGGTATAATATCAGTATGTTTTAAATTATTATAATTTTGTTAGTTATCACTAAGATTGATAACATCGGCTTGTAAAAATTTCCCAATCTACATTATGGCGGTTGGCTTCAAGTATGGGCACCGAGTCGGGCATTGATATAATACAATATAGTAAATATCTGCGCATCACACTGATAAATAATTGATAACACTGTTCGACGGCTTAGAGATTAAAATGTCGAGAATTTTCGACAACCTGGTGTCGATTGTTTTTGGTGGTCAACAGTTTCGATGACGGTCCTTAGTGTCGATAGTTTCCGAAAACAACCGAGCAAATAGATAGTTTGAAACTATCGAGTGGTTCGATAGTTTTCACTCGGTAGTGTTCTCCATCACTACGAATAATGCACCACGGTGGGGGTACACGAGCTCGTCGACATTATTACATTATACTTATATCGGCAAGGCGGCAACTAAACCGAGTCGGTGTAAATTACAGTTTTCGTAATACGAGTGTTATATTCGTATAATATTGTCTACGTATAACATTGAAACTCAACCGGGTTTCCGCGGTCGAATGAGTTTGATCGCATCGGCGGCCGGGTAGGTCGACGACGAGAATGCGGCGGCTGCTCGAAACCGACGTGGTGTGGATTTACTTTTGTGTTCGATTTAATTATTACGAGTAGTTTGACTCGACTAAATATTAACACACGCCGGTTAACCCGGTGTAAACGACCCAACGTCGTAATAATAATAATAATAATAATAATAATAATAATTGTATACGTTTCGAGATTGTATAGAAAAAAAAAAAATAAAAAAATAAAAAAATGGTAAAACATTTTCCATTAAGATTATTCCGCGATGAAAAAAAAAACCTGTCTTGTGTATATCAACGACGACGTCTAACGTACGTCTCGGTTACGGGCATTAAAAACGAGAATCGTTAAATTCCTATACATATATAATATAATATAACCGACAGTTATTTTATGCGAAAAAAAAAAAGCTAATGCTATTATAATATAGTAACAGCGCGCGAGGAGAGAGACTTAATGCGATTTAACGCTAACAATTTAATCAAAAATGGAAAGAAAAAAAAAAAAAAGTAAATAAATTACTTTTTCGTTTAAATCAATATTATTGTAATTCTTTAACCGGGAATTTAAATACAAAGAATTTCGTGCACGGACACGTAATCATTACGTGTTTTTCGCCGAACAAAACAACCGTGTTTCCTTTAGAAAAAAATACATTAATTCCGGACGTTTTGTCGAACCATCAAAGGGCGAAAAATATAATAACACAGCATAATGACCGATAATACCGATAATTGAGTGTTCGCGAAGAGAGAGAGAACAAAAAACCAACCAAACAAAATCGTACACAATTGCGCAAGACTTTCATGACGGGACCCAAAGTAAATATTGTGACCACCCGCGCGCATGACCCCGGGGGACAAACGCGCGACCGTTGGGACGGACAAAGGACCGCCGCTTCCGGGAATCGGCAACACAAACGTGCGTCTGGACAATCACGTGGCGCTACGGCCGCGGCGATTCGCGCACGGCAAAACACGGTGGAAAAGACACTGCGCCGAGCCGCTGCTCCTGGCCGTTTCCCCGGGTTATATATACGTATCGATCGGGCGGTAGCCGACCGCGGCCGAACGAACCACCGCCGCCGACCCATCGGTCATTGCTTTTGTTCGATAAGGTTGTTTGGACGGAACGACGGTGGCGGGACAGTGACGGCTGGAAAACGTGATTGGAATAGGTAGGGGGTTGGTGGGGGGAGGCGCATCGGAACCGGCTCGGGTCTACGAAATGCGGGGAACACCGCCGCGCCGCCGGTCCAGCCACCGACGGGCACGGACGAACATGACACGAAACAAATTATCTCCTTCTACTCATCCACAAACGCCGCCGGCCGCTGCCATATCCACCGCCGACCGTTTAATAATACAAACGACACTCATACGGCCGGTAACACGACACAACATATTAGGCTCTTCTTGTTTTTTTTTTTACTTTTATTTTCTCGGCGGGATTGTCGTACGGTAGTTGAACTCGTTCGGTCCGGGACATCGGACGATACACGACGGACAGGGACGATTTTAAAAACAATAACAATAGCCAAAGACATGAAATTCATAGCGTAATGGGCGGCGAAAGAGGCAGAGTACCTTTACGTTAAATAAAATGAAAAAAAAAAAAAGCAACAAGTACTATTATTAACGCGCAGGTACTTACTGAATATTTATATTATTTTTTCACGACGTACAACAACGTCCACCCGACGACCGAAATAAATCGCGCGTAATTTTCGTCAAAACGATCCCGGTTGAACGTTTAATATCACCGTGGTAACCTTATCCAAGACAAACATTTGGGGGGGGGGCGGCGGCGCACGGATAAAAACACGTGCGTGAACAATGTAAAAATCTATTGGTTATTTATTTTCATCTCTCTCTCTTTCTCTGACGGGACGTTCGCCCGCAGTAGGGGAACGCGCGCGATATTTGAAAATGCCCACAACGGGCGTTTTAAGGCGAAGTTTTTACACGGCTCGTTCATTTTTGCCGTGGGTCGGGATTGACGGCGGCGCGGGCATTCCCCCGAATAGACGAACCGACACGGCGCGCGCCGGTGGACACGGCAGTCGGGAGCGCTTTACTACTAGCCAATTTCATTGGGTTACCGCGAGACTTGGCAAAAGACGACCGGTATCGTAATAAATTTAATTTCAAACGCATCGCGGCAGGCGCAGGTACAATTAGTTCCGTTACATTGTCGGCAATAATATTATTATTAATATTGTTGCGCGACCAACCGCAATTAAAATCACTTTAATTCTACTGTTATTAATATCAAACTCGCTGTTCATTAATAGACGGGGAAATTTAACAGGGAAACATAAAATAATCAAACATTAGATATCAGATACCTACCCCGGTAGCTAAACCGCGAATACTACGACGAAACTCCGTGTTTATCAATAATATTTATTTTTAATTTTTAAATAAAGAAAAAAAAAACATTATACCTACTTCCGATACACCGGGGTAAAAAAACCATTTAAATGAATTAACATTAAAACGCCGTTATAGGCAAGTGTAAAAATTACGGAAAAATATCAATACACACGAACTGTCTGCAACGCAGAATATATAATTAAGTAGAAATTGTATATTACGCGCATAATTTATAATTATAAAATTATAACTCGCTAAAAACCGAATTCGATACGTAACACAAACCTACAAGTTGTTATTATATATTGTTCGAGTCGGCAGGAATATTATAATTAATAACGAGCGTAATATTTGTTAAATTGTTCGCGTATTAATTAGTTTACGAAATTGATTAACTCGTTTCATTCTTATTATACTATAGGTGTGTTAGTAAAACTGGTTTCTTTTCAACGTAAGAAAAAATTAATTTAATGTATGTTATCATACAGTTTGCTAATGCATTCATTAAAATGATAAACAAATTCACACACGGTAATCATTCAAACGGTTCGAAAATGAATTGCCACGTACGTAAGTATCAATTAATAATTGCTGAAATAAACCAACAGAACTCGATTCGGGTGTTTACATGTAAATAAATTCGTGAATAATTTTACATAGATATCGATTTCGAAAATCGACCGATGATTTGTTTTATTTTTTTCGTTTCTATTCGAATATCTGTAATATTATGTACCACGATGTTCTGTTAGTAATCTGATAATGGCGCGATGCCGAAACTAAGTAGTTACAAAATACATGTTTTACATTTCTGAGTCTCGGTTTGAATCGTTTAAACAATTTATTTTTCCGTTATAAATTTTATGTTTAAAAAAAAGTACAACGGGTCCAATTAACAAGCTTCTATAAAATCGTTAATTTATTGTAATTTAATTAGTTATTCAATTTTAAACAATAAGAAAATATCATTGATGGTTTTATTTACTTGGTGCCGAATTCCAAAATACGGTAGGTATTCATAATCAAATGTATTTGAATTTCGTAACATTTACGAAATAATAATTTCAATATTGACGTTAAATTGTAACACTGGAAAACTATATTATTTTATGTATTGGGTACTCGGTTCGTTTTCACCGGCATTCAATAATTGCCTACTCTCAATGGCGGACACTATTCTCGTCGATGCAAAGAGGTATAACTTACTGTACTATACCGGATTTTTACCGTCATCCCAATTATTTGGGGCCGGTCAACTGTATTATGTTATTATACGTCTTGTACAATACAAGATATTAATTTTTATTATTCCAAAACAAATTACATCAATAATGTAAATAAACAACGATAATTTACAGATATACGACGTAGATAACCGTGATATAAATGAATACTAACTTGACGATAAGATAAGATATTTTTATTAATTAAAAAAATCATAGAGCTTGTGACTTTTCAAATAGGTATACGTTAACCTTACCTACTTAAACAAACACGACTGTTTTAACCTCCGATAATATGTAAAGCATACTAAAGAATCGATATTTCGTGTGAATCGGGTTCGTCAAAATGTTGAGCGAACCACAGGGACGGCGGATGTTATTATACCTACTAATCGTAAACTTTAAACGGTTTATCGGAAAAACGGAAATTTCATAAGAATGTACTCCCTAGTGCATTCTGAAAATCTAAAACTTATGGGTTACATAACTGAAATTTCACACGAACCTAATTAACATACCTACTTATTTAACATTTAAGGGAATTCGAAAAGGAAGGAGAATTTGCCCTTATCTTTCTTTGTAGCATAGCAATTTTTTAGACCAACTTTTTATAACGAAATAACACGCATTTGAATTCATCGTAAAGTAAACTCGAGATCGACTTGGCCACGTTTATCAATTAATTTTGGTTTATTTTTTATGCATTTCCAAATTTCAAATCGATTTTTTTTGAAATGAAAAACTAGAATTCGAAAAAGTGGTCTCGCTGATCTCATGAATACTTCACGATGAATTCAAATCTGTCTTCACACTTCGTATCACTTCATTACACCAATTGACATAAAAATGTTCTAAATTGCCACGCCGCGTCCATATCAAAAGAAATCTCCGTTCCGTTTTAAATACGTTAAAGTTCAAAATATCGAGTTGATTTTATTCAGAATTATAAATTATGAATTCATAATTATTGAAAAATTGTAAGTACCTACATAATACACTTTTGCCGTTTTAAAAAATGTTTTATGATAATAATTGCCAGTATTTTTTTACCATTTTAAAATACGTTTTCAAACTTGATATTTTAAATAAGATTTATATTGTATATATTATAATATATAATGTTAAATACGATGGGTAATACCGGTATATAGAGTCTCAATAAATATTAAATCCCTATGTACATTTTTAAAATATCTAAATAATTTTCCGGATACTAAACAATTATAGAAGAACTATTACATATTATTATTGATAATATATCAGGTACTTATGTTTTAAATACAATTTAATGCAAAGTATGGTTAAAGATAATTAAACAGAATTATACTAGATTAAGATTGCAGTGACAATTATAAGATATAAAGTACATTATAATGATTACCTATGCTATTATTAATTGTAATTAGGTAATTTAATTTAAATGAATTTGAATATTGTTATGAATACAATGCTATATACATTTCAGAAATTAATGGGTTGAAAAGTATAATAAGAAAAAATAGACAAAAGTTAGTAATAATTAAATAGAGATCATAATATAAGAGTTCAAAACTATTAATATAAGTAATATCAAATAATATTAGGAATGTTAAAAGTTTATTATTGAGGATGGTACTTATTTTATTTAATAACAGAAAATGATAGATGGAGTCTAAATTTAATGAATTATCATTTATGAAACTTTTGGTACAGATTGTTCTAAGGGTAAGACTTCTTTATTAAGTATGGTAAATGCTACCTAAAGTATTCAATAAATAAGTTGGTATTGATAATATAAAACTAGATATTTTAGTGAGGCCAATATCAATAAGTCTGGTGCAATTTTATTATTATTTTATTGAATGTATAATTAAACACATGCCAGAAGCACAACAATAAATTTGTATAAACAAATATTGCACTATTAAAATGACAAAATAATGAAATAAAGTACATTAGGTAAATAGGTACTTAGAAATTAAAAGAAATGTAATATGATAGGCAAGTACTTGATATCAATTTTAAAAAATCAAAAGATTAGGTATATTGGTTATTATTTGAAGAACTGGTAGTATACCAGGATAGAAATTACTGAAAAAATAATTTAGAAGGAATGAATACAATTATTACAAAATACTATAACTTTTACCTAATAAACATTAAATAATTTCAAATTGTATAAATCAGGTAAATAGGTACTATATAGGTACCTAATACCTATGTATAACAGTTTCTTTTGGAAATGTAATTCATTAGGTAAATTTGGTCTTTTAACTAGATACTCAAAAATATCAATTTTTTTTTTTTTAATGGGCAGGTAGATATTATAAGAATAACATAAAGGTAAGTATGCCATATTATATTAGATAACCATACATTATTACTATCTATTTAGTATTTACATAATATACATTTGTGATTAGTAATAAATATGGTTAAATATATAGCTAGTTCCAACATTATAATTCATAAAATACTAACTATATTTTAGGAAGGTATGAATTTCATTTTCAAGAAGAGTCCATACAAAAACATCAATTTAGATTATTGTAATTTAGACTAATCTTGGCTATCCTAGGATGTAGAGTGCTTTATAAACATATTGTGTCACATAAACATGTCATCCAGGCAATGTTACTCTATGCAATGTGAATTCTCAGCTAAACTAACAGCTGTAGACCGAGTTGCACTATGATGACATGATTCAGAATTACACAAAGATACCTTATTCAATTCCAGTATGAATGCAACAAATACATTGGAGAGGTACCTAATAACTAATAAATATAGTAGGTAATACAAATTCACAAAATATGTACCTATGTTAATATATTAGGATCTAGACATCTAAATAATAAGTTTCAATTGTATATCTATAAATTATCTTATATTTAGAAATATTTGAATTAGTGGCAGGTATCCTATAGTGAATATAGAGCAAGAGCAAAACTTTTAACTAGTGGTGGTGGGAGTTTGTGTAAATTTCCATGACTGTGAATAATAAAAAATTGTATGGTACAGCAAAATATTGTGTACTTTAATCTTTCACCATTATTAAGTAAGGCCATCTTTGATTTTCTAAATTTTATTTTTGAAAATTGTATATAATTACACTATATTGGGTAGATAATATGTAACATGGATTAATATTGGTGAGAACGGGTGGCAGAGGGGTAGGTATAATTATTTTTGGAGGGGGGATTTTGCTTTACAATTATTTGTAATAGGTGTGGATTAGGAGTTGAACAAAGAATGAAACTCCTGTAGTAATTTTAAAATGGGATGGTTTAACCCCCTCTCCCTAACCTATACCCCTGGTGGTTATCTTTTATAATTTGCTACACCTATATATTTTAGGTTAGCCTCTTTTGATTTAAATAATCAAGAATACGTACTTAAAGAATAATACAAAATTTTAATTTTATACATTATTTCAACATAATATCACTTATATCATAATTGTAAATAATACCTACTCCAACTACCTTGCAAAGTACCTAAATATTAGTACTAAATATCTCTGAAATATAACACACATTTTTGTTCAAAAAAAAAAATGCATGAATTTGAAATTATTCAATGTATGTATTTAAATAGATGAAGATAACTAGGTATCTGGTTTAAATATTTTTTCACACAGCACCTAGGCAAGTACTTATACATAAATGTTACAACATGTAAAGGATGATTTTTTTTGTAGGTGGGCAAAACAACAGTGTAGCTTATTCTGGCATAGATTACTTATGTTCTGGTTTGTAGGTAAATATTTAAACTGTAAAATTAAATTTGAGTTCTGAGTTTATAATGGAGATCTATTCATTTTCAAACAAAAATAAAAAATAATTTGATATGATAGCTAGGTACCAAGGTATTCTATATGCAACTAGAAACACAAAATATTAACAATCATGTGATGATAAGTAGGTATGTTAACTTACCTACTAAGTAATGGACTGTTATTTTCAAATTATTTTATTAGGAACCTATATTAAATAAACTGAATACTCTATTGATAAGATGATAAGCAGTTAACACCTAACAGGCATTGATCATTTTTAACTTTTGTTCCCTCCGGTCAAATAAATATAGTATCTAAATTATTTATATTATTTTAAATATTTTGGTATTTATACCAACTATGTATGTATACATACAATAATAGATATTTAAAATAAAGCATAATATTATACTTGTAACTATTTGCAGTCACTTATATGATTCAATAAATTGCCTACCTAACTGGTTTTAATTTAATTATTACCTAAGTACACCATTTTAATTTACTTTAATGATCTATCTACTTAAGTATTAATTATTAATAAATTTATTACATTGAAATGATTTCTACCTAATCAAACCTAACCCAGAGGGTAAATCACTGATAAATATTGTGTACACCAGATTCTAAAACACCATGATTATCTCAATGATTACCAAAATTTCCTATAAGATTACTAAAGATTTCAATGAATACCGAATCCATTAGTGATTTACTCTCTGACCTAAACTCTCTATAAGATATTTAGTAACGGGATTAATAATAAACTTGGTAACAAATTAATTTCATTTACCTACATCTAAATCTTAAGACAATAAAATTAATTAAGATTTTAAATACTTCAAAAGTTCATATTTGTCTAACAGATTTACTTAAAAAATAAATAGGCACATAATAGCATTTTCCCATACATATTTATAATCTAGGTATTAGGTAGCATACATATGATTAAGATAAGAGATAATTATATAATTGATAATCCTTCAGTTATGGGTATTGTTCTCTTATCAAATTTTAAAAGTACAAAAAATAAATTTATTTAATTTGGATGACATATTATTATAATAAACATGAGTAGATATAATCAATTAATAAATACTTTATGCATACAAATAACAAATGTAAGTAATTACCAATTAGCAGAATAATTAGGTAGGTACAAAGTAAATAATAACACTTACATTAAAATTAATTTACTAGAAAAAGATAGAACTCATAATTACCTAAACTAAATAGATACCTACATAATATTAATATAACACTCTAAAAATATCTAATCCTATGATAAAAATAGCCCAAACTTCAATTAACTGTATTAAAAGATTAACATAGAAAAATCTATATTCATTTTATATAAGTATTTAGGTACACATTACAATTTAGTAGATACTATAATATTGATAGATAGATATAATAGTGCGAGAATTATAGGTAGGTCATACAATTAATTTAAGATATGTGTACATTAAATTCTAACAATTTGTTTTGATAACTACCTGTTGTATTATAAAATATTTAATAAACATACATAGGTATAATATCTAACTATTTTTATAAATAACCTCCCACAATGATAATATCTCGGATGATATTTATATTATTATAGGATGTCAGTGAAAATAATATCCAACCTAATCTAAATTGGGTAGGTATATTGATATAAAATAAAAAGTACCTATGCTACCTATACAAGTTGAGTATTTGGATACTAAGTAAGAGTACCTACCTATATATATCTTTGAAATTAACAGTTTATTGATTTACAATACAGTCAAATGTAACTTAGGTATAGGCATGATTTGTTATTACACTATGCTGTGTTTACCTTGTACAAGTGATTATGACCTGTATAATGTTGTGATTGAATAGCTTACCTCCAGATCTTCATAGGACTTGAACGAAAGAATGGAGAATCCATCGACGACGTCCTCGTCGAACAGAGCAGTCTCCTTCTTTTTTCTGCGGTTTGGTGGCGGAGGCCTTTGCGCCTTCTCCTTTGCTGACAGTTCATCATCCTCTTCCCCACTGTCTAATTCATGTTTCTTGGCATGCAAGCGCTGGGCCCGTTCACGCCGCTTGCTGCGTTTGATACGCTGTTGTTTTATATCCGTTTCCATTTTATATCAAGACACGTCAGTAATTTGGCACAAAACAAACTTTAACCCGTCACACACCGATCGGCCGATCATCGCGAAAAAAACCAAAACAAACCCTTTCTTATCACATCGGGAGAGCGGTATACACACAGTCGGTACACAGCGAGTAAATGATAATACAATAAATAAATAAATGAAAATTGAACGATTTCACTCGGCGCGGTAGGGGACCATCACCATTCACGATTCACGATTCGCGATTCGCGATTCGCACTCGTACGCAGGAACACGACCGGAACTACTGTGGAAACGCGGACGTGCCTGGATTTTCAGCAGACGACAACAGCGGCGGACACGTTATAGGGCCATAATTCCGGACGACGGCAACGGTGATAAATATCGTCCCCTTTTGCGTTGATGGCCGAAGAGTTGTGAAAAAATAACCAAGGTAGTGCGTGGAACGACGAAGCGGTCGTCGTGATCAGATCGGCGCTGCGTCGGGACCAAAACGCGTACGGGGCAATTGATTTAACAAAACACGCACGCACACATACACCGACACGAACACACACACACACACACACACGTATACAATTACGCAAACACACGGACGAACAGACACGACGGCCAGCTGCGGCAGTAGCGGCGGACGGAGAACGGCGACGGAACGCGCGCACACACAAACTCACTTGTCGTCATCGTCGTCGGTTTCGGTCGGGCACGTAAAAAAAATGCACTGCCCGTCTCGCACGCACACGCGCGCACACGAACACACACAAATGTATCACAACACACGGTATACACGGGGGACGCGCGCGCATACACCCGTCGACGAGGGCCCGGTATACGATATATACGCGGCAGTGGTAATCACAATGCAAAGCTGCAGCCTGAATGACGGGACCAGAGAACTCGGGAAATCCGCCACGGCCGTGGTTGGTAGGCACTGGGCGAACGCTTTCGGGCACGGGCCCGCCACAGTGTGACCAAATAAACGACGCGATATTCGCCCCCCGACAACGATAATAATAATCATAATAATAATACGGTCGCTAAACACGACATGGTCCGATGGTCGGGCGGCGGCGGTCGTTCACGGACAAATTGACTTTATTATTTGCGCCTGTTTTCCCACACTTATTTATTTATTGTTTTCGCCATACCACAATAATAATAATATTCGTGTTTGCGCACCGTCATTATATCATCGTAGGTTTACTTAAAACACGCACGTCGTTCGTAATATACATTTTTGACTTCGGTTTTACCCGTACGAAGAGGTTAACGGGTTTGTTTTGCTTCGGGGAGATTTTTTGCTCACGTTTTTATTACATATCGTTTGCCTCGCGGGGGGTACGCACAAAACACGTAAACTCGCGTTGTGGTGGAGATTTAACAAACTCAAACGCTTAGTTAAACAAAAAAATAGGTACTTACATATTGTCATAAGCAAACCAATATTTTTTATTCCAGGAAAACTCTAGAGTGAAATGTATGTATCAAAAATTGATTAATTCATTATTGTTTTATTAAAAAAAATATTAGTTTTAAAATTTGTTCCCAATAAAATATATATATATATATATATATATATATTAGATATTTGTACCCACCCAGGGAAATTATACGTTCATTTTTTACAGCGAAAAATTATTGTAATATTATAATAAAATAAATATTGATACATATGTTAACCACAACAAGTCACTATATTGGTTTATATAACTATATATTAGATACCATCGATTTTATTAATTAAATTTAGATTTATAATACCTTTGACTTTTCGTAACTAAATTTTCAAAACTTTAATCATAAAATATTTACCTACCTTTCTGAATAATAATATTTAAGCAGGGTCCTAATCAAATTGGGCCACAAGAAATGTAATATTCATATGGGATATAATATTGGCTATAACATAATACAATTTTAATTGTTGAAGTATATACCTATTTAATAAATAATAATAATCGTAAAATGTTGAAACTAGAATGTTATTGTAAAACAATAGTTGTTATAACATTTAATCAATCTTTTGAAGATTTTTCCTAAAAACGAAAAAAAGTTTAGAAACGATTTTCCAATTTTTCTTGAATTTTGTAAAATTTGAAAATGTACACCTTTTTTTTTATCACATTATTGATAATACTTTTTTATTTTCATTAATGAAGGAAGCAATACTTAGGTATTTGTGGGAACGGGATACAACCGTTGTGACGGACGAATTTGACATTTTAAACCAATGGGCTAAAGTAAAATTCGCTCATACCGCTCACCCAATTTTAATTTTGAAAAAATGTTTGAATTTTATGTGTTTAGAAAAAATTTTTTTGTTTTTTATTTCGTTATTTTACATTGAAGTATATCATGATAAATTTACCTTTTTTTTAAAAAAATAACTCATGCCTTAAAAAATTACAAAAAAAACTTAAATATTTTCTACACAAAACAAAGTAAATAATTATATGAAGCAAAATAATTTTTCAAATCAAAAATTGGATTACTAGAATTTTTCAATTTATTGGTCTAAATTAAATTAATGGGAAAATAAATCGCTTTTAACTGCCATAAAATATTATTATATTTGAAAATGTCTTGTAAAATAAAAACAAACCCACTCTCCCTCCATTCGAAAATCTTAATTAGTAAATAAATAATAGTAAGGGAAAAAATGTATGTAAATGTTAAGTAAGTTCCTACTACAAACAAAAAAAGGGAATTTTTAGTTAAAAATTAAACGAAAATATATACTTATTGATAAATTTTATTGAAGAGTGAAGATGAATATTTTTGTGATAAAATTTTACAAGAATGTGTTTGGGTATGTACAATTATCTAGATAGGTACCTAATATTAATATTATAATAGTTTATTACATAAAATATTAACTACAAAAACGCGTTCTCTTATCTTATCTTGACTGGCGACGCATATGTAATTTTTAAAAATTGTGACAGATTCTAGAGAATTTTGAAGAATTGATTCACTTACAGTACCTAGAACCACAAACAAGTAAAAAGGACAAAGCAATATTCCTAACAGAGACAGCCGAAATTTATTATAAAAAAATATTTATTATCCGTTTATAACCATGCACTAAGCGAACTAGCAGCCAGAATTTCAAACCATCACGAAAAGATCGGGAACCTCCAGATCATACTAATAAAATTTATGAAAAATAAGATTGCTAAAAACAAAACTTAAAACTCTGGTGTGTGAGTTTCAACTATGGACCAAGCAGTAAAAATAAATAAGTGTTAACTTAAATGAGTTAAATGCAATTAAAAGACTGAACAAGTATGATAAATTATTTTGTTCTCTTATTTATTTTTAAAATTTTGTTCACTCTTCCCGTGTCAGTTGCGAGTATGAAACGTTTCTGTTTAACATTAAAGCCCTTAATGACGTATTTACGAACAATTTTTGTTCAAAACCGACTAACTGAATTAGCTCTTCTAAACATTTATACGGAGATGCATTGTTGGTCGTTCAAAAATTGTGATTAAACTAACACAACGTAAGCAACGACTAAATTTAATTGTATATTATTTAATTTTTAAAAATAATTAAAATAATATTAAATGTATTTTATTAATATACTTGCAGTATTTGTTATTTTTTCACGTCAGCCTATTACTAATAATTTAAAGTCAGAACCCATGCCATTAATAATCTATACCTACGCTCCAGGTCAGCTATGCGTATGGGAAGTATATAATTGAAGTTGAATATTCACGTAGGTGAATTTGGCATCACAGACAGCTTACGACATGTTTGAGCGTCATAAATATACGTTTTTACTTTGTGTATCACTATAACATCAATACCCTCCTCTCCTTATCTCTCACCACACCCTTCCCAACGAGATACAATACCTATTAAATTACATAAAATATTAGAAAGGTTACTCTAAATTTTAATAATCGATATTATTTAATCTCCAAATCGATCCCAAAAACAGTTAGAACTAAAAGAGCATATATAGGTATACTCTTTAGGAATTTTACGGACTGTAATATTCCTAACAAGAAATTTCTGGAATGTCAAGCACAAGAATAATCCGGAATTACAAAAACACTATTAATACTGATAATCGTGACACCGGGGCTGAGCATGTCTATCTAACAGCTATAAAATTAGGAACCTTCTTTTAATCTTAATTCGTTTATTCTGTTTGTACTGTGTTTGCGAAACATAACCATCTATCAGTGTTTTTTTTGTTAAATTCTGGAAAGTTTTTGTCCGGTACATTATAGTGTGCGAATTATTTTATTCCGGATTTTTACAGTCTGCCATTTTCTTTTCTGTGAAATTAACATTCCGTGATTTTACAGTTTGTACTATTACTATTACTATTACTTTCCGCAAATTTCTTGTCCGAGGCATTACAGTATGCGTATTTTTATATTCCGGATTATTATAGTCCGAGACTTTCTGGGATAGGCATTTATGCTTTCCGGATTTTTACAGTCCGGAATATTCTGGTCAAAATATTTATTTTTCCTGCCGATTACAGTCCGGACATTTAAAGTGTTTCATTCATTTTTACATTCCACCGTTTTCTTGTTTATAAATTTATACGTTCCGAAATTTTACATACCGTATAAATGCTGCTAATGATTTTTTTTCCGGAATGTTACAGTTTGTATGATTACTAAAAATATCAGGATTTTTACAGTCCATCTGATTATTTTCCGGACAATTCTAGTTTACCCTTAAGAACATCCTGGTTACAATCTCTTTACATAGAAAAACTTCTTGAACTTTACTTTTAATAATAAATTGTTGCATTTCAAGTATAATTATGAGTACAGTTTTGATTTTGATATTAAATAGTCTTTAAAATGAAGACATTTATTTGCAAATGAACAAGATAGGTCATTTTTATACTTTTTATGTAGTAGATTAGCACAATTGATCAGATTAACAGAATTCGATTTAGTTAAGTTAAACAAAAATCCAAAATTATTAATTATTTTGTCGTATGTAATTTTTCTTCTTTCTAATTCGGATGTTAAGCCATCAACTATTTCAATGTAAGTATTCACTCGAAATTTAGTTCTAGAATCTTGAACTATTTTATTTTCCTTGTTTCATCAGGAGCAAGTTTTCTTTTTCTTTTTTTTTTTCATCATACTCCTTAACATTTGATAATAATAATGTTTTTTTTTTTCATATTGTTCAAACATACTGGTACTTCTCAGCTCTTTGACATAATTAAGAAATATAGACAAATAAAGAACTATATAAATTTGATTCTGCTATTAAATCTATTGAAATTAATTGAAGTTTCTTGTATATAAGGTTGAATCGTTCAATCTCACCACCCCAGAATTAAACTAAAATTGCCCAATTTATTTAAATGAAAAAAGAGTTGTTCAGTATCATGCTTTACAAATTCGTACACACATAAATATATCCAATGCGGTTTGTGATTCTTGCTATCTACACATGTACACGTATTATCATTTGATTATTTTATCAATTATTTTGATACCGCCTACCAGTCAACGTTAAACTTTACAATTTTTTACATCAGCTACAGACTATAGTCTATACTTAAATTTTATTTGAAAATAGAGTCAATCAATTGGTCCATTTGGCGCCCTTTTGGACCTGGCACCCTGAAGCAGCAGCCCTAGGTCGCCCCGTGTGTAGATCCGCCACTGGTAAATATATGTAACTTTTTTAATTTTATTAACACATATAAAAGTTGCATATAGTTAAACCATATATTTATTAAGTGTCTGAAAAAGAAGTCAGTATATAAAATCACAAATCAAAAAATTATCAGCTTGTTTTACTATATGTGTTTTTGTATTTTCTTTTTTTGTTAGTGAGCAACTTTTCTGCCAGAAATATTTTTCCAATTGAAAAATTACAAGAAATCGATTTTGTTCTTATTAATATATAGTCATTAACGGAGAAAGTCATATTTTGATAATAGTTGAAAAACGCCAAAAAAAGAACCAGAAAAATATTCGTATTAACAAACATACGTCTACAGCCAAACAATTGTATTATTTGTGGTAGGCCCAAAAAAACAGTTGCTGTTTATTTTTATAAGAACACTCGGTTGTTACATCGTTAGGGTAACTTTTCTACATAACGAAAAAATATATAAAATATTATTTCTCTTTTTGTGCACAACAATTGTTTTACTTACATATTTTCGATATGAATATAATATGGAAATAATACTTGATATGATAAAAAACGGAAAAGGGTCTTCGACCCAAACTGGAAACAGGATTACTGTTGGTAGCAAACCGTCGATAGCACGTCGGTCCGCTGAGCGTTCTGAATGTTCGGTCGTGAAAGATTATACTGGAAAGAAAAGAAGCATATCACCGTCATCGCCGGATTGATGGTTTGCGCTTGGAAAGTTCATATTGTTTTGAACCCATCTTAATGAGCAGTGATCTTTCAAGTGACGGTGATGAAGATGAAATAACTGTTTTATACTGCCTCATTGAAGGAGATCTGCCCGCTGAAATATAATTTGTTTAAATATTTTTACAATTTACCTTTATTACCTATTTATATAAATTATAAAACTTCACAATTGCCTTTCGTTTCTATGTTGTACAAATGTTTCACATTATATCGTTATGAATAGATGATATTTTACTTAGTATTACTTATAGTTTATGTAAATTATCTTATAAATTATTAAATTAATGATTTTATTTATAAAAAGCTGAACTATCTGGCTTGGCCCGTATTTGATTTTGAACCAAATTGTACTATTTATTAAACCTAACTATTTACGAAAATTGTTTATATCAATACACACATGTTTTATTAAATATATTAAATATTATTACATTTGTTCCAACATACAAAATTTCTATTGTATTACGTTTGTAATATTTTTATTATTAAATTAAATTAAATATTTTATATGTATACAATTAGCCAGAAATCGGTAAATATTTAGGTATTAAAAAGTTTAAAAATGACCATTATTATGTATTCATGAAATATATAATTTCAATATACGAATATAAATTCAATAAGTAGGGATACTCTCATTATCTATAACGCACGCGATCGTCTCAATATTATTTACTAGTTCAATATAATTCTAATTTATTCCATTATGGGTAATGACTCGGTAAGAAATGTCGGAATATTACGTACTAAAAATAGTACAACCTTTTCATATCATAAAAAAGCGTAAATAGGTAAGTACTTACCTATTATAGGTATTGCTTATAGTATAAGACAAAATTTGTTTATTTTTTTTTTACTTTCATTTAAAGTTCGTTGTTATTTCAAGAATAAAATTAAACTTAACATGAATATTTGTACAATCTTAAAGTTAGTAAAATTTTTTATAATTTGCAAACAAATATGGGCAACAGAAAACATAAATGTATTGAAGTATGTATACCTATATAGTCAATATTTTATTTTTGTAGATATGTATTATTATGTGTCATTTACTTATTGTTTTAAAATTTTGATAGAGAGATAAAATCGGAATCTGAATTTGAAAATTTGGCTGTAGATTTAACGTATAAATGGATAGATACCGCTACATGCTTGAATTTAATACTTGATCAATATCATAATAATTTATTAGACAAATCATTTTATCATTCATTCATTGGAATACCTTTTTTTAAAGTAATTTAATATTATTAATATATAACAGTATTGTGTGCGAAATAATAATATTTGAAATATTTTAATTTAATTTTGCCGAATTAATTTAGATATTTGTTAACGACTCTGAAGATCTGTTATCACCAAAATTTCAAATGTGGCAAATTTTAAATCAGGTTAGAAAACAAGGTTGCAATATGAATATAATATTTATATTAAATGCTGATCAAACAATAAGATTATTGAAATTTAGTGATAAGTAAGTTTTACATAAGTATTAAGTACCTATACATAACTATTATCTTTGAATTATTTAAAATTTATATTAATGAAATATTTTAGGCATAGAATGTTGAATTTAAATTCTAAATTCGTTTTGTTACACGATCGTAGACTTTTTATTAAGGAACATCATACTTTATGGACAAAAATTATAAATGTTGTATTTATTAGAAAATATCGTCTAAAGGAAATATACGAATTGTCTACTGTTCCATATCCTACTCCAATTAAAGGAGTATTGGTTACGCTTAGACTAGATTTATGGAGTAAACGGAAGTTTCAAAAACAAACCGACTTATACAGGAATAAAGTTTCAGATTTACAAGGGAACTCGCTTAAAGTTGTTACTTTTAATTTCATTCCATCTGCTATAAAAAGTGCATTAACAAATGATGAAAATAGTGGTTATAACAAGGGCTTAGAAATTGAGGTTTTATTAATCAAATAAAGATTCTATTTAAAGTACCGATTACACTTTGTTTTTTTAGGTTTTAAAATCCCTTGGAAATGCAATGAATTTTATTCCAGTTATTTATGAACCAATGAACTGGCGTACTGAGCAATGGGGGAGAAAACAAATGAATGGAACATTATCTGGATTGTTGGGTGAAATGTGGTCTGCTCGTGCCGACTTAGCACTTGGCAATTTACATTATACACCTTATCATTTAAATATTTTAGATTTATCTATTCCTTACAACACTGAATGTTTAACATTCTTAACATTTGAATCAAAAACAGATAATTCATGGAAAACATTGATTCTTCCATTCAAGTAAAAATACAAGATATTATTGTTATAATCGTATAGACAGTATTAAAGAAATAATGTTATTCATTATTACCAACATTTTTAGATTGAATATGTGGGTCGGTGTACTTATTACACTTCTTATTGGAGGATTTTTATTTTATGCTTTAGCTACAGCACATAAACATATTGATGATGATGAAAATACTATTGAAACAATAAGTGATACTAAAGAATTGGAAATAAACAAAAATATGACAGCTAAAAATATTTTTAATATTTTAAAAAATAAGTTTAAAAAACCAAAAATATTAGAGGACAAAAAATTGTTCATAAGTTATACAGGAAATAACAAGTTGGATCAACTTACAAACAAAGATGTGGTTGGATTATATTTATTTGAGCATATTGGCAATAGTATTTTGTATACTTATGGAATGTTAATTGCTGTTTCATTACCAAAAGTACCTACTGGATGGGCCATTCGAATTTTAACAGGATGGTGGTGGATATACTGTTTATTAGTTGCAGTTGCTTACAAAGCAAGTATGACTGCAATTCTTGCTAATCCAGATACAAGGTTATTAATGTTGTAATACAAATTAAAAAATATGAACAAATAATTATCTTATTTTATTTAATACACTCATAAATTAATGAATTTATTAGAATTACAATTGATACAGTAGAAGCTCTTGTCGATAGCAATGTTGACTGTGGAGGATGGGGAGAGCAATCAAAGGAATTCTTTATGACTTCTTTAGATAAAATAGGGCAAAGAGTTGGTCAAAAATTTGAAGAAGTTTATAATGTTGATGAAGCTATTGATCGGGTATCAAAAGGGCAATTTGCATACTATGATAATATATATTTTTTAAAATATGTAAAAGTGATGCAAAAAAATAAAACATATGGACAGGATATACAGTTAATTAATGGTAATAAGTATATACTATCTAATATTCATTACTTATTTTAGACCTTTTTTTAATCATCTTTGACCTTATTTAGGTTTTAAATGATATGTGTACCTATTTTAAGGAATTAATTTTAAAATGTTTCTAAATTAAAATCCTTATAACAAGAAAATTCTTTATATAAAATTATTACTTTTATTTAAAAATATATATCTTTTAAAATGTGTATTTGGTTCCATATTTATTTATTTTCTTTGAGTAGTAAATATAAAATACTTTATGTTAATATTTTATCTTTTAAAAGTATTGGAAATTTAAATAAATTAAATCTAATTAGACTTACATTATTATAATATATTGGATAAATGATATTACTTCTGAAAAGGCTCTATAGTATGACATTAAAAAAATATATATATATATATATAAATTCAATAAATCTAAATTTACAGTTTATTTTACTAATCTCCACAGAATTAATAAAAATATAATTTTTTCATAATTTAAATTTAATTGTATGATACAATATATATTAAATTTGTTTGTTGTAGGTACTATGAATGGCACAAGTAATGGAGATTTTACACTTTATATAATGCCAAATTGTATAATTAATATGCCAATATCATTAGGGTTACAAAAAAATTCTCCAATCAAGTCAGTTATCGATAGATTTCTAAGAAGAGTAACAGAAGCTGGTTTAGTGAAAAAATGGTTAAATGATGTAATGTTAGATACGGTAATTCTAGAAGCACAACAACAAATTGAAGAAGTCAAAGCACTCATGGACTTAAAAAAACTATATGTTGCATTTGTTGTTTTAATTTCTGGTTATATTTTCAGTATACTAGTTTTTTTATTTGAAATAGGTTATTGGTATGGAGTGATAAAAAAAAATCCACTATTTGATGAGTATTCATTAAACTGTTATTATACACACAAAAAATATTAAACATGATAAAATGTTGGGATTTAAAAAAACCAAGGTCTATTAAAGTCATTTATTAACATTTATTTTATAAGTAATTAAAATTAATGACTTAATTTGTAATTACCTTCAATTGGAAAAAAGGTTTACAATAAATATTTTAATTATTTAAAGAGCACATATTTTATTTTATTTTAATTTTGTTATGTTAAATATGGACAAAAATCAAAATATAAATTAGAGCTACCGCCTTTTGAAACCATATTTTTTTCGTTCGTAAAATAGATCTGTTTTTGAACTTCCCAAATTTACAATCTTTGGGCATCCATCTCTCTGTAATCAAATACCATATATTCATATATGTCAATTAAATAATGAATCATATATACATATATATAGATACATAAATTTATCTATAGAACTTACATCTTTTTCTTGAACTGTACATTCTTTGCAGTAATAAGCATCTGATACACCAGGTCCACCACAAATTACACAACGACCCTGATATGAACCATAATTGCACTCGTCACAAATACGTACTAACGTACATGGTCTGACATAAGAGTCGCAAATTACACATTTACCATCGCATTTTTCACATAATCGTCCAATAGCTATAAAAATAATAAAATTTCAAAATAACCAAATAAAATTTACATTAACTTAATTTACACTAACTCGATCATTTGACAGTTTTACAGCAAAATTATCACAAAGGCATAAAAATGTATATTTTGCTGTAGTACCTATTTCATAGTTGTTAGTAGAAGGAATATGGGTAATATGATTTTCAAAAGAAAAATATCTTTCCATGTGTTTCTATGAGAAACATTAATATTGTATTTTATTATTTTTGAACTAAACCTGATAGTGTTAATTCACACACAATTTTGCGATTGATATAAAAGTTCAATACATTTTTTTTTTAAATTAGGTATTAATACAGGATATGTATGTGTCTACTTTAATCTCAAAAAAAAAAAAATAATAAAAAATCCACGGCATAATTGTTTATATATTATTTACAAGTATACTATACTTACCAACACCAGGTTGTTTACGACAAAATATCAAGTCTGGATGATGCTTCGCCATCTTCTTGACTCAGGATCAGGAATTTATACCTATTATATACTAATAATTAATATACAATGAATTAAACACTTTAAGATTAAACGAAATAGTAAATTCTGATTTTCGAATAAAATATACAAATCACTTATCATTTATCAAGCCGGATAACAAAACATACAATAGGTATATCAAAACAATATTGTGTAACGTCAGTGTAGCCAGAAGTAGAACTATTTAATTTTTAGTAACATCAACAAAGTAACAACTTTTATTTTATGAATTGTTGATGAAATCGTGGAGGTTTATTCAAAAATTGTTGATTGACATATCCGTTTAGAAATGTTGGTGTCAACACAACAATATCATCGATTGATACTTATTTACAAGATATTCAGTCTCATATTATTACTATATTTTGCAATTAGTTTATACTTTATAGTGGCAATTAAGAGATATCCTTTTTTATACGTTCAAAAAAAACATTAATTATTAAAAAAAAAATATTTTAAATTTGTAATAAAATAATAAATATAATAAAATCAGTCTGACAATAATATTTCATTTTGTACTGACAATGTATAATTAAATAAATATTATTTTGATATCCTTTTCTGAAAATGTATTTACAATGTTTTCTAAATTTAATTTGTTATTTATATCTCTTTCTATACTTAAAATTGATAATTTAAAGCGATCCATTATTATGGAAACAACTTAGCCAATTTTTAATTAATCTCATATAAGAGAAAGATCTTTATTTATTACGTTCAAAAATTAGATGAACTAAGCCTACCTAAGCCCCCCCTCTTTATTTCAGCCTATGAATTTACAAGCGATTTCTTAATTATTATTTATGTGTCTAAATATATTTATTCTTTTACTAAATTTTTTATGTTAGGTGTATCTAAACACTAAATTTATAAATTAAAATAGAGGTTATTCAGTGGTTTTGTTTGAACATTATGACTGGGTAGGATATAATAGTGAATAGGATGCAATTCTCAGTTATGCTCTTAGTATTTTTTGTAATTCTTTGTATGTATCGCATAGATGATACTTATAGGTACTATAAGATTTCAACCTAGGTTTCATTAATTGGAACAATGTAAGTATATCTATTATCTACACCATATTAAAAATAATTAAAAATATTCTCATTGCTTTTTATGTTTTTTTTTATTATTGATTTTATATTACATATCCTGCCCGTGTTATGAAAAAGTTTTTTCCCGTATCCACTTAATAATAAATGTTTTTTTTTTTATGTCATCCAGCTAACTATAGTTGTACCTTGTACGCCCCGCCCCTATCACCGTTAATCCACGTTCCACTTTGACCGTGCCAAACTAAATGTCTATGATAACTTCTATACCTGTCTTGTGTCCGGACCCCCACTCCAACAATTCCTTTGCCTTCACTTTTTACTCTAAGTCTATTTTATCTTCCAAAAATATCTCATTTACTTACAAAGTTGAATGTCTTAATAAAAACATTTTCGTGTGTGAGCCAGCCTTAAGGTGAAAAACAAATAAACCAGATTAAATAAATACAAATTATAATCAGTAGGTATATAAAAAGTAAAAGTAGATTAAACAATTTTATTAAACATTGATGTGTTTGGGATTTGAACTAGAGTCCACTGCAGAAACAAACTACTGCGCAGGCATATTTATGTGTGTGAAGTCATTTTTTCGGCGTAATAAAATAACGGTACAGTTAATGCGGTAAACATTTCCGTTTTATTTACGTTTTTTTCCGGTTTTCCAAATTTTTATGAAAATTACTTGGAAAATCAAAAGGGTATCATATTACTCACCAATTATACAACATTTTCTTTCAGGAAAAAGGTTACTTTTGAAATTTGAAGCATGGTTTCTGATAGAAAACAAAAATCTACAGCATTTAAAATAATTAATTCATTAACGCTGTAAATATTTGTGCGTTTTACGTCTATATGTTTTGCCAAATTATTATCAAAACTACTAGGACAATCAAAAAATAACTTTTTGTTCAATTTTATCAACTAATAGTTTCAAAATATAACAAAAAAGTTCTTTGTAGTGAACCGGACCTGATGTACGGTACAATAATATTATATGATGGAAATCACTTTCTGTAAACGATTCTTCAGTGATGTTAGTAGGATTAAAATGCTTTAAAGAAAATACTCAACATTTAATAAAGATAGAAGTATGGATTTCTTATTGAGACTTCGACTAACAAGCCCGTGGATCGAACATACACGTGGACGATTCCAACGGTCGTCCATTCGTTCTAAAGAAACAAAGCTATAAAGTTTGAACAAAGTCTAACTTTACGTATGTCCGTATATCTATATATTCACCAAAACCGAGGGCGTAGCCACTTATAGATAAAGTGTTGGACCTAGGTATAGAATGCACGTTTCACATACCGTGAACTTTTGTCCATGATAATATTATAATTTCCCAATTATAAAAAATATAAATAAACACAAATAACACTATTACTTATAAATTCTCAACAATTTTAAACAATAATGATAATAATGTTAGGGTTGTTTTCAATAATAATAATAATAATTTAATGAAACGAATATATTACATATTTTACTGCTAAGGGCTTCAAGAAAATGTATCCCATTATTGTGATAATATTGGAGTATATAAACTTAAATGTGATTGGGTCATTCTCCAAATTTGATAATATTTGGCATTTATTGCATTATGCATTTTCGGAAATTGAAGTTGAATTCTTGTTAAAACTTTTTATACTATTATTACCTTCGTAAAATGGTCTTTGATAACCTCATGGAACAGGCATACACTTAAAGTTTTAGTGTTTGAATTATATTAGTTTGAAAAAAAGTAATATTCTAGAGAGTGACAAAATGAAATATGTACACTATCATTTTTGTATACAATTTCCTTTTTTAATAATGAAATAAAATCCATACATTAAAACAAAAACTTAAACTGCATAAAAACATACATCATAATAATATTATGAAGACATATTATGTCTTCAAAGTAAATAACTAATGTATTTTTACTTAAAACTTATGTAACAAAAAAAAGCTTACCTACAAAGTTATGATTTTTATAAGTAACTAAAATTTAAATTTACGCCTTTTTTTCATTTTTGAAACTTATATAGAAACTTTACATAAAACAAAATATAAAAACACACTTGAACAGCTTAATAACAAAAAAAAATGTCTAATTGAAATTCAATATTAAAGAAATTAGGTTTCAAACATATACAACTAAAAAAAACAAAATTATTACAAAGTTATGACTTTTTATGTGTGTTTAGCTTTACTTTATATGATGTATAAACTTTTTATAGAATTTTTAAAATGTATAGCCATTTGCATTAAATATATAAACTTAAACAACTAAATAACAAAAACCAATCCTTTTAGAATAAATAATTATAATACTCTGATTGAATATAAAAAAAACGTATAAAACTTTAAAAAACCAAGTTTGCAAGTTTACATCATCTGCTATTTTACTTCAATTTTGGAGGGAAATGACAATACTGTTTTTTTCTTTTTTTTTTAATGAGATAGTGATTGGAAGATGTTTTAGAATATTTTCTTTCTTTATCTCACAAACATCGTTATCCTGAACTAAAAATTGATACATAACCTTATTAATGCTACGAAGTCCCCGAAAAATTAAAGACTCATTAATATTCACTTCATTTATACCGTAAACATATTTATAATCTCGCGTGGTTGAATGTTTTTTTGAGTGGTTAGTCAATCTTATTAGTACATATTCCCTCGTAAAACAGTAATCAGGTGATGGCACGATTGAGGTGATAGGTTCAAAATAAAGGTAAAATAAACTAAGAATAAAAGTAGGATAACAATTTAGAATATAAAATAAAAAAAATGTTTAAATGTTTAAATATTTTGTTTGAGTCAATAAGTGGCATTTGATATTGCCTTTTCGTTGGCTAGAGCCAAGTCTAGGTACCTATAATTTATTAAAACTTCAAAGTGAAAAGGAAATGCTGATCATAAGTAGACAAATAAAGGTAAAGAAAATTCAACATTATTCAGGCATTAATTTTTTTATTACCTCTGTGACTGAAGTATCACCAAATTTGGAAAATGACCCAATTTCAATAAGTTCTGTATGGCAGGTAAAACAAGAACATATAAAATCGTTAAGACTAGATACAATAAATATATCTCTGAAATAAAATCAAAGAAAGCTTCTCTTAATTCTAATTTTACTGATTTTAATATGAATGATGATTTAGAGATTTTCTATAGGTAGTTAAGACAATGTTTACTCTAATTTTGTATTAGAAGATTTGTATATCCAGCACCGCAGTTGCGGCACAGAGTTAAGTAAATATAAAAAGGCTTGTGCTTCGATTCCAGTATATTACACGAGACTTATTTAACTTGTGTAATTTTACGACAAATGGTTTGATCTCTCTGTAGTCCAAACTAATGGACTGATTGTTTTGAAATTTAGATAAGTTATTCAGTATATTATGCAAATTATTCTTTTGTAAATTTCAAGTTAATCGGATAATTACAGCCTGAGAAATACGCAAAAATATTATTAACATAGTTTTTACTCGAAATGCTTTTTTCAACAATGTACGCGTTGTTACCACCTGTTTGCAGTGAATAAAAAACAATTTTGTTTATTTACTTTATCGTTGTAATACTACAGTATCGTTTTCCAGCAACATTCATAATAAGCTATATTCATAGCCATACATCATATATTCATTTACTCGATCCACAAAACAACAAATATATTTTTTGTCCACATAATTTTTCATTTGGAAAAAAAATATAGGTAACTATATTCAAAATTATAATAAAAAAAATGAGTATTATTCTAACAAAAACCTTCCGTCAACTACGTGTAAAACCTTGGCTAAAAAAGAAAACTCAAGTTAGAAAAGTTGTGATATCAAAAAGGAGCTAAGTAATTTCTTAAATTAATTAGTATAGAAATTGTTTATAATTTTTTTATATTTAATGAAGTGCGATAATTTAATACAAATAATTAAACTTAGCTTGGCAGTGATGCTAATATTTACGACTAGACTACAAATAAAGATACAATGCTGACATGAATATTTAGATTTCTATTTTATAATTTATTAATAATATCATAGTTACTCTTTAAGTACACACCATGAGTAGTCGCTA